TTCGTTGATGATAATAAATCATCGATAATAACAATAGTAATAATAACGATGGCCATATAATAAAATTAAACAATAATATCGTTGATAATGAGAATAAATTCATTTCATTATTTTCATTTTCATTGTTTTGTTTTTTCTTCTTTATTATTAACGTTTCAATGTTATCACCGTCATCATTCTTGTTTTTTCCTTTTGAATTTTTTCCTTTTGAAAATTTTTCATTTGAAAGTTTTTTTTCCCTTTCTTGTTTCAATGGACATACGTCATAACGACGACGACGACGACGACGACGAATGGCAAACAAAGAATAAAACAGAAAATTCCAAAGAAACACTCAGCTTGAATAACAAATGAATGTGGAATGTAAAAGGAGAAAATCAACAACAACGAAGAAAAACTTTAATCAAAAAAAATGTAAAAGGATTCCACACTGCTGTACGCTGTTCTCTAATCAATAAGAATTATTATTGCCAATAAAAAGAAAAAATTTATTGAATATTGATCGGATAAAACAAGGAAGAGAATTATCACTTTGACAATCACACACTAGCACCAAACACACACCAAATGCACCAAACACCAAATACACCAAACACTCAAACACAACAGCACAACAACATTACTTCGGCTGCAATCATTAATCAAAAAAAATCATTGAATTGATGGATTATTTTTGAAACAACAAAAAAAAAAATTGTTGATTGGTTTATTGGTTGATGAAAAACAATCGATTTGATGGTGATGATGTGATTGGAACAATATTTTCAATTGAGCTTTTTTGGTTGTTGAGGATGCCAAAATCAATCAATATTGTTTTTTTTTGTTTCCAATGAATAATCTATCTTCGTGCCATGTTTCATGATTTTCGCTTTTCTCGATGTTAATTAATATTGATAATGCTTTTTGGATTGATTCAATCACCCACTTTATTGTTTAAAATTGATTCGTTGATTAATTAAACAATTTGCAAGTGATCAAAGGATTGTAAAAATGAAATTTATTACTTTTCTCAATGTAAAAAAACGACAACAACCGTTGAAAAGAAAACGTTGTGGACAATAATTTATATGATGAAAAATGATGATGATAATAATGTTGTCGTTTAAAGTATATGACGGATACACGGAAAAACAAACTAAAAAAAAAATTCTTGTTTTTTGTTTTGTTTCTTTATTTGTTTGTTTGTTGTATAGTCATTACTTTAAACACGGATATGGTTTGCGACAAATGATGATGATGACAACATCATCAACAACAACAGGCAAAATGCATTATATAACATGAATGGGTACAATATATTTTTCTCATTCATTTCAGTTCATTTCCACACTGAAAACACACACATAGACATTATAAGACAACCAAGAAAAACATCAAAAACAGAGAAAAAAAAACAAGTGGAATAATAAATTCTTTTCATTAGATATTTATTCTCTCGTTGTCATTATCACTAGCATCATCACTAGCAAACAAAATTGGTCAAACAATTCAAAAATTGTTTGGTTTTTATTTTGGTTTGTCCGTTCTGTAAGTGTGTGTGTAAATGCGGGGGTGGATGGATGAATGTTTTTTCTACATTTCTCATCATACATGAGCAAATGGAACAAACAAAATTTTAATGGAATCCTTCAGCATTACATCACATAACCAGACGAACAAACAAATAAAAGAATTTGAAGAAAATAAAGTACCATTCACATTTTTGGTAATAAAAAAAAAGAAGAAAAGAAAAGAATTGTCGAAAGTTGAAGAATACAAATTAAACTTATTATTGTTATTGTTGTTCTTGTTCTTGTTTTGTTTATGGTGAAATGTGTTTGATGTGAAAAAAACACAAAACGAATGCGAATGCGAATAACAAGAAACAAAAGCGAATGGAATAAAAAAAAGAGATATACACCGAGTGAATACGGAAACTTTTTTTTTTGCAAACAATCACCATACGTTGTGGTAAAGAAAAACTGATAGAATAATAAGAGCAAAACTGAATCAACATCAAAACAAAACAAAACAATGTGCAGAAGAGGAGAAAAAGAAAAACATTGAAAAGTAATGTCAAGTTGAACCCGGATCGAAACGAAACACACACACACACACACACAAAAGAATCGAAAGAATTGAGGAATTGAAAGAATTGAATGAATTGAAGGAATACTTTTAGCTTGGATTCTTCTTCTTTGTATTTTCGATCAATTATTATTCAGTTTTCAATTATTGAATTATAATAACAACGAATAACAACAGCGAACAATAAAAACTAACAATAATAATAATAATATTGAATGTTGTAACAGAATATATATAATTTTTGCAGAATTACAACACAATGTTCAGTTTACAATAATGATGATAATAATAATTTTGATTATAATTATAATAACAAATTCTTCTTCTTTTGTTGTTCAAATGTTAGATTAGGTTACAAGTTGGTTTTTTTCGGTTGTTTGTTTTCTTCTTCTTCATTTTGGTTATTATTTCTATCCAAAACATATGTGCTGGAATTTTGAATTTTTGTCGGAAAAAAACTGTTATTGTTGTTTTCTGGTCTTTTTCTTTGTCGATTTTTTGCTTTGTTTTGCCTTCTTACATTTCCTGCAATTTTCATCTGACGACTGCTGCTGATTGTGAAATTAGTTTGAACAAAATAATAAACAAAATAACTTCAGTAAAGTTGTGGACGGAAATTCTTCGATAGATACAGATCGATATTTTGATGATAACAACAACCGCAACAACAACAAATTATCAAATGACAAAAAAAAAATGATAGGAAATCACTGAATATTTGGTCATCAGTTTTGGTGTAGGATTTTTGTTTTCCGTTGATCAAACACAACTACACCGATCTAGATTGATAATCATCATCGTTATCGATTAGTTGCTTAGTAACTTGATGATGATGATGATGATGAAGCTCAATAAGTTTTTTTTTTTGATTCTTTTGATTTGAATTGAGAAAAATGAAAAAAGAATCAATGATGAAATTGAAACAAAGAAAAGACGTGGAAAGACGTTTTGTTTTTGAAATTTTCGTGCTGTACAGAGATATACGCGCGCATTAATATCAAAACACCGGTTGTATTTGTCTATGATATGTTGGTGTTCGTATGGTGTGTGTGTGTGTGTGACTGACCCTCGAACAAGAATCGAAGACAACATTCAAACACACTGAAAGGAACTGAAAGAATCAACCGACAAAACTAAATGAAAAAAAATATAGGAAAAAAACCTGAACCAAATGGATGGTTGGTAGACAAAAAAAAAGTAAGCAGAATAAAATTTTGAACTGAAAACAAATCAAATATGAATGATGCAACTACGACACGTTCGCCTACAATACTTTTGAACAAGGAAAAAAAAGGAAGAAGAAAAAGAAATAAAAAGGCTTTCTGGTAAATATTCTATATCATCATCAACATTATTCAATGGTCCACGCCGACTCAATCAATATTGTTCCACATTAAAGAATTTGATCCAAAAGAAGAAAAAAAATCTTGTTTGAGCCCACGACGACGACGTTGTGTTCATTTATTATCATCATCATCATCATTGTCAATCGTTATTTGAACAATAAGGTTTATCAAATAATACAACAGTTCTCCTTTTTTTCTCTCTTCAATAATAATAATAATAATGATAATTTTATTTCCTTCCTTGCACATTTCAATACGGTTTGTTTTTTTTCTTTTTTTTCATTCATTTGCTCATATCATTTCTCTATATTGCTACCACATCGCACACACATAGAGAATAAATGAAGAATATTCATAAAAAATGGTGTATTTTTTTGGGGAGGGAAAATGCGCACAATTCACAGTTATTATTAAATACGGTTATTGCATAATAACCGTATATTCGGTTATTTTTTCCCCCACACTAATAAAAAAAGGCGCAAGATTCGTTTTGGATGGAAAAAAAACATTCAACTGGTACAAGTTTATATAATCAATTCATTCATTCATTCATTTCTCTCCCTCTATCTTTCTCTCTCTCTCTCTCTCTCTCTCTCTCTCTCTCTTGTTTGTTTGTTTGTTTGCTATATCAGGTATCATTTTATCAACTAGATTATATAGAATTCATTCATTCATCATTCATCAGTAATAATGATCATCATTGCAAAAATTCAATGTTAACAAAAAATGTATTGATTATATAGGCTATGTGAATGAAAAAAAAAATGAATGTTTGCTTATTATTATTTTCTTCATTCTTTACTTTTCATTTATTTTTTTTCATTTTTTTCATTTTCGGTTCTGGTTACAACATCATCATCATCAACATATATAGATAGATTTTTTGGATTGATTTGCCATTCATTCAATTATGTAATATAAAATAACAGCAGCAGCAGCAACCGAAAAAAAAACTTTAAAAAATTTGAAATTTCAATATTTTTTTTCATATATCGTCAATAATGAGAGATAGAATAACAACGAAAAATATTAGAAATAGAAAAGGTATACAAAAGATGTGTTTTGGTCGAAAGAAGAAAAGAAGAAAAGAAGAAAAAAAATGGAAACTTTTTTTTTGGGAATAGTATTCTGGTCGTGTTGTTCATACTTTTTTTACCAATTTCTATATATAGAAATGAAGAAAAATTTTTGAAAATAAAAAAAACTTTATTTTATTTCATTTTCGTGATTCACTGATTTTCATCATTATAATGAATTTCGAAAGAAACAAAAAATTCTTTTGAATTTTCAAAAACACACGCACATACCCAGAATTCAAACAGTAAAAATGAAAAAATGTCAAATGAACAAAAAGAAAATTTTATCAAATGTTTTCATTGTCAATTCATTTATGGATTTTCATTTTCTTTTGTGAAGAAAAAAATTCAATTAATTTTGTTCAATTTGAATTTTATCAAACAAAACAAAAACAAAAAAATTTGAAAAAAATTTGAAAATTTAAAAACACAAGTTAGTTTCAAATCAGTGCCACAAGATGTCGCACGGTGATTCAGAAAATTTCAAAAAAAGAAATATTTAGACACCTACTTTGTATTTGATAACTATTTTGGCCATCATTAAAATCCATTAAACATTTACCACCGGATGTTTTCATTACAGATATACCAACTTGACGTTTTTTACGTAAAAAATGTACTTTTTGTTTTAAATCCATTGAATTATTTAATTTTTCCAAATATGATAATGATACTTTTTTCTCTTCAACAATATCTTCTTGTTGTAAAAGAAGTGCTGATTTGTTTTGAATAGCACTACCACCACCACCACTAATTTCTTTATCTTTTTCTTTTTCCATAATCATCATACCAAGACGATCGGCCATATCAATTAGCATTGTAACATCTTTATCCAAATTTGTCCATGTTGATGTTTTATCCGCACCACCACCTTTTATATATTCACAAAATTCACAAAATTCTTCGCCATTTTTTTCATTATTATTATTCATTTTATCACCAGTTTTTACAAATTCTTTTGTCAATAAATCTAAATCACTCCAATTCTGTATGAGTAGATTAAATTTACTATCCAATCTAGGTAGACTACGACATTTTTTACGTGGAAATTTTTCATTTGTTATAGCCATAAATTGATTGTTTTTCGTTGTTGATGATTTATTCATTTTCTTAGGTAATTCATTAATACTATCACCATGTTCATCATGATCATCTTCTGCTTCATTTTCTTCTTCTTCTTCTTCTTCTAAACACATTGGAATAGTCGATACAGATCGATAAAGAATTGGACTAATCGAACCAGGTTTATCAGCGTTATTATCATCATCATTTTCATGTTCATTTATGATTGGAAATGGATCGACATTTCGTTGCGGTGATGATGACGACGATGATGAACATGACGACGATGTTGATTGCGATCCTGATGGTGAAACTTTTATCGAATCTGATAATGATTTTTCTTCGGGATTATCAGCACTGCGATCAGATAGCGGTGTTGTTGCAATCAATTTCTTATCATCATCATCATCATCTTCTATTGATGGAATATTCATAACTTCAGGTCTTACGGTTAATGTTGTATCCGGTGATGGTGTACGAGGATGATTTTTATGTGAATGATGCGAATTATGATCTAAAACATCATTCTTATTATCAGTAAATATTTTCTTTTCACAATAAGAACAATTTAATTGTTCAATAAAATTATTTTTATCATCCATACGTATATTCGATTGTATATGATCCAAATATGATGTATTAACTTCAACTAAACGTTCAGTTATTGGTTGTACTTGTACACGTTGTTTAATTTTACCTTGTTTTTTACTATTGTGTATACCAAAATTTAATGAACGTTTACCACCGCCATTGCGATTATTATGATTATTATCATTTTGATCAAAACGTGAATCTTTTAAATCATGACGACGTTGTTGTTGTGATGTTAATGGTAAATGAAGTGTTTTACAAACATTTGAACCCATTTATTTTATTGTTTTTTGTTGTTGTTGTTGTTATTGCATAAGAATATTCTGATATTGTTGAATCGAAGAAACAAGACAAAACAAAAAAAGAAAGCACAGCACAACACACACACACACACACATATAGGAATTTTCTTGATTCGGGATGTAACAACAACTGATCATAACGAACAATAATATGATAATGATTGATTGAAAGTCACATTCAACCAAAACCAAAACCAAAAACAAATCATTAATCAGGAAGAGAGGGAAAATAATAATAATCAAACAGAAAACTACCACCGTCACCACCGCCGACAACAGCCAAAAAAAAACTAAATGAATTTGGATTGGTCAATCAAATTAAAGCAAATATTTTTTCTTTAAACTGATACAACATAAATGAGTGAAAACAATGATAATCTTAATCCACTGTGCGAATCATTAATTTGTGAAGAAAAAAACATTCATCAAGAATTGCTACAAAAGAAAGAAAAATATAATTAGAAACAAGGACGACAAATCATTTTATCTTGAAAATTTTGTTTGATCTATCCAACACACACACACACCGACCAGACAAATGAAACAAAATAAAAGTTTTTTTTCTGCCAAATTAGATTCAATATGATCCAAAGTAAATCTAATTCCAATCATCATTATGATGAACAATAATAATAATGATAAATGAAAATTGCCTAGCTATATGCGAGGTACAAAAAAACTATACTATATAAACAAACAAACATTTATAATTTATCTATATTGATCTAGTTTGTTTTGTGTGTCCAGGCTTCATCGTTGTTGTTTGGATTGATAATTTTGGTTGTTGGTTGGTTGGCAATGTGCGAAAGAGAGAAACCCATTGCAGAGAAATCAAATTGCTTATCTGGTTTTTTTCAAAACAAAGAATTTTACCGCCAAATTCTTTTAAAAATTTTTTTTCGGGTAGCTAAGATTTTATCAAATGATAAGGATGTTTTCATCCTTCACATGTTTTTGGTTTTTTTCCCTTCCTCCCAACCATAGTTGTAATGTGATAAAAATCAGGTGTTGGCTTAACTAAGAGAATAAAGGCGAAACAAGTAAAAAAGGCGTACGTAATAAGCGAACAACAACAAAAAAAAACCGAAGCACCAAAAGCAAATAAACAGAAATTCAGCCCAAATAAGTGTGTGTGTATCACTTTAGTAAATATGAAATTGATTTTGGAAAACAGAAAAATCCCGTGTATTCTGTGTGTGTGTGTGTGAGTCTAAGGATGGACATATAAAACAACAGATAATTCTGTTCGTCATCAAAACAATAAAAAAACAAAAAGTAATGATGTTATTCTTAGTATTTTTGTTGTTGTTGCCATTGATCCATTTGAAACGATACATCACCACCACGAAAAAAATGGGAGTAAAAAGCATTCATCGACGTAATAAAGGGAGAAACGAAATACGTAATAAACAAATCAATCATATTGATGATGATGATGATTTTGATTATACGTCATGATCTATTTTGAAGTTTTTTTTGGTTTTGTTTTGTTTTTTGTTTAATTTGATTGTCATGTTATTGTTATTGCGTAATAGTGGGTGGATTGTGATTAGTATTGTGCTTATTGTAATAATCGGATATAGAAAATTATTAATAAACATTCATTACCGATTCTTTTGTTTGATTGCATCATTACATTTTTTTTGATTACATCATTATTATTATTATCGATCACATTACCGAAAATAATCGATCGATCGATCTGATGATTTTTATTTTTGAATGGTATTTTTTGTTTCTACAAGTCATCATCATTATCAATGTAGAACACCGGAGATTGATTGATTGATTGATTGATTTTTTGGAGAAAAAAAAGGTTTACATTGAACTTTCTCTTTCACACATCATCCATATTGTAAAAAAAACTTTTGTTGTTTTCATTTTTTCAAACAACATAACTGTTTACGAAGATTTGGAAAAACCTGGCCCCCACCTGTATTTAGGATTAATTAATGACCAAAAAAAAGAAGGATGTGTGTACATGATGATCATTACCATTGGTTTTATGAAATTAGTGGCACAACGAAAAAAGCCAAAATCAAACGAATTTGTTTTGATTTTAACCAAAATCAAATCTGTCAACATTTTCTCTCTCACATTCAATGGCAGAGATAAATAATCAGATCTATTTTCTGTCATCTGATTAACGGAAAGTAAAAATAAAATTTAGTAAATTAACATTGAATAGCTGATACACACACATAGTTTTGTTTATGGATAAATGAGAGAAAAACAAAAACAAATTTTCGATTTCTGTTTTGGTTATTTGAAATGTTTATCGTTCGATAGATTAAGGAAAACACGCACACAAAAACTCAATCGATCATCAGGTTGTTGTGATTGTTTTTTTCTGTTTGTTTTTTTTTATTATTATCATTTCCAATACAAATATCACCATCAAAAAAAAAGTATTATTATGGCCGGAATAATCATTACAATCATATTATTATCCATATTTGCTATTGATATTTCCAATTTAATCAATGAAGATCATTTTGATCATCCATTCAATGATGATCATGATCATGATCATGATGAAGAAGAAGATCATCATCATTATCAAATTCATCAATTATATCAATTGAATAATGATTTATTTGTTGATAATAATAATTTTAATAATAAACAAATGAAAAAAATTCTACCACATCCAAATATTGATGATAATATTATTAAGATAATAATTGATGATCATCAAAGAAAAATTAGTTTATTATTTCAACATATATCAATCAAACCATTCATTGCTTATATTCAATATGATAATTTTATATTTGTTTGTGATGAACGTCGTATTTATATAACAACGATTCGAACAAAATTTTATAATCCATTGGGTATTTATAATGATTTTAAAATTATTTATGAAGATAAATTTGCACCAGATTTAATTGATTTAGCTATTGATTTTTATAAAAAACGTTTATTTTTTCTTAATGTAAATGGTGAAATTGGTTATTTTAATCTTTGTCCACAGATACGTTTTGGTGATATGATTAAAACAAATAATTTACAAAATAATTATAAACATGATAATACATTATTATTTTTATTTGTTGATAATATTAATCAAAAATTATTATGGGGTGATGAAAATCAAATTATAAAATGTGAAACAAATGGTGATAATGTTGAATTAGTACATAAATTTGGTTATATACAATTATCAACCAAATTAGATTCAAGACCAATGGATATTGATGGTGATTGTCTTTATTGGAATGATCGTAATAGTCTTTATAAATTAACAAATAATGGACAAATGAATCGTTTATTAGATGATCCACGTTTTATAACAAATAAAATTAAAGTTGTTGATGATGGAAAATATGTTTATTTTCTTTCAATGGGTAATATACTTTATCGTTTAGATTTATCTGAAAGACGACCAAAATTCAGTAAAATACTTGAATTAATTGATAAAAATTTTACAATCAGTTCATTTGATATAATTATTGATTCTTATAATGATGAATGGTGTCCAATTAAATCATCATATGATTATTATAATACTGAAGAACATGAATCTATTTGGGTAAGCTAATTTTTGTTCTGTTTAACTGTTCAACTAATGATAATTTTTCTTCCACTAAACAGAATGAAATTGTTGAAATAGTTTTCGGAAGAAGAATGGATAAATTCCTGGCTGTATTGATAATAAATACATTGATTACTATTCTAACAGCAATAGCTATTTTAATTTATGTTTATAAAAATTTTTATCATAAATTTAAACCTCCTCACAATAATAGATCTATACCGAAAATTATCGATGATAATAATAATAATAATAATAATAATAATAATAATGATGATACTATAAATAAATTATCCGGAATTGAACAATCATCATCAATATTTTCACCATTATCGGCCACAATGACGACAATTACAAATACAAAACCAATGACAACAAACAGAACATCATTTTTATCACAACAACAACAACAACAACAACCGCAACAACCGCAACAACAACAACTAACATCGACAAATCCAAAAATGTCAATTCAACTATGAACTATTGAATGTTGAATGATTTATTTGTAATTGTAATTGTAATTGTAATTAAAAATTTAAATTAAATTAACAAGAAAAAAAAGAAACCAATCAATCAATCAATCAATCGATTTTATTTGTTCCCATTTTATTCGTTTATTTTATAAAATAAAAAACAACAACAACAAAAATAATTTTTTTTTTTTGAAAAAAAAATCGAATAATTAATTCGGATTAACATAGAGCCAAAAAACCAGAAACCCAAAAATTTGAAATGGATCAAATAGCATCATCATAATCATCATCGATAATCATGATTAATAATGTGAATAAATGACGTTTGTTTGCTTTGCTTGATGATGGTTGATTGTTTTATGGAAAAAAAGCGAGAGAATATATATGGTTGATTTAATTTTTTCCAATGAAAAAATTTAAAATTTGAATAGGTCAAACTTGGCTCATTTGTATCATTGTAGACTGTTGTCGTGGTTGTTGTTGTTGATGATTATAATGATGTTGAGGTAATGGATTTACTTTTGTTTGATTACGATGATACCATAATGATGATGATTGTTGATTTTTCATGACGTTTGTTGTTTGTAATGGTGGTGGTGGCTGTTGGTGATTTAAATTATGATTATTGTTGATCAGCATTGGCTGATTATTATTGGAGCGATAATTTTTTTTCATTGATTGATGGCTATAATTTGATTTCATTTCTTGTACGTAATTTTTATTATCATCGTCGTCATCTTCATCAAAGTTCAAAGTTGAATTCATTAGATTTTTAGATGATATATGATGATTTTGATTATTTGATTTATTGGATGAATGATTACGATTAATCGCTACAATTGTTTCATCATTTTGATTATTTTGATTAGCATCTTGATTATGATTGACGCCACAACATAAACGAACTAGAACATTTTTAAATGATTGACAAGCAGGTAGATTAACATCTTTTTTACGACAATAAACAATTGATGCTAAACAGAATAATATTGTAAATAAACCACCCCATAATGTTATTTGTTCTTTGCTAGATTTTCGGTTTCAAAATTAAAAATGATTTAAATTGAATCAAACAACAACAGCAACAACAACAACAGTAACTTACATTATCTGTATCGATGGTTTACGACCACAGCAAGATGGTTTTGTATATTCAAAACAACATTTCATTGGTTGTTTACATTGATAAACATTTTTTGGATCAGAATATCCAATAGTCGAATTGATCAGGCAATCAATACGACCATTATTATTCGGATCAACAGCATTTATCAACAATATTATTTCGGACAAATAATAATAATTAATTAAAATTATAATCATTTTAAAATCATTATAATAATAATTATAATTATAATTGTAATAATAACAATGATTATAATTGTTTAAATATTGATTTATAGACATTATAAATTAATCAATATCATATCACTTTTGTTTATTCTCTGATTGATTGATCGATCGATCGATTGATCGAATATGAATGTTGTAAAATTAATTACAAATTTGTTGTTATTGTTGTAATGTTTACACAATCACTAAACAATAACAAAAACATTGTATAAATGATCATCGGATAAACATCGAATAGGGTAAATCAAACTTTGGATTTTTTCTCGTTTTGGGTGATTCAAATCCAAAAATAAAATAAAATTTATTTTCAACAAACGAATAACCAGATGAAGAAATCAGGTCAGAATTTGACCATAAGAACATGAAAAAGTTACCAATAGTAACCAATATAGACGAAAAATGACAGGGAAAAATAATTTAAAACAAATATAAAAAAAAACCTAGTTTACTATCAATAATTCAGTATAATTTCAGTATAATAATCATAATAATGGAATAATTAGTCTTTCTTTGGTATTTCATCCAGACTGAATTGTACTAATGACGATAGTGATTTACATTGATTGTTTTGTTTTTTGCGTAAAACATTAACGACAACAACAACAACAATTTTTTTTCCCCATTATCGCATTCGCAATTCATTTGGATTTCATAAATTATTTCAAAGATCATCAATCTAGGAATCCGAAAACCAAAAATAAAAAAAAATCTAGGCTAATGAAAATGATTTGCAATGATGGATGAATGGATGGATAGAATCACACTACTACCCTAATTTGTTTCCCATTTTTTTTCTGTTTTGTTTTCAAACACCATGTTTTTTACATTACAAACATTACATAAACAACAAGAATGTTCTCAAAAAAAAAATAAAGAATTTTATCGTATACATCGTGTATTTGCTGATATTCTCATAACAGAATATTCTATATATAGAAAAAAAATAGTAGAAATTCCTATAGATTTCTAGAACCCAATAATAAAATTATTCCTTTTGTTTAAGTTTTCCGATGATGATGATGAAAAAAGAATCTTCTGTTTACTTTTTTCCTTAAAATAATATTATTTTATTCGTCATCATCATCATCATCATCATCATGATAATTGGAAAATAATAATACTGATATTGATAAACAATGACGATATTGTTATTATTTACGTTTCAGAATTGATCATCATCATCATCAACAACATCATCATCATCAACAACATCATCATCAACAACATCATCATCATCATTATAATTCTTGGTTGAATCGTCATTATCAATATAAGTTTGTGTGTGTCTATGCATGTGTTGCGTGTGTGTGTGTGTGTACAGAATTCGGTACAATATTCGTCATTGCAAAATTTTCAGAATTTAAGAATCTATTGTGTGTCTGTGTGTGTGTGTCTGATCGTGTGTGTGTGTGACGTCAATCGACAAGAATCAAGAATTTATTCATTCAAGAATTGAATGAATCAACCGAACCAAAACAAAAATCAGATCGTTAACAGTTACATAACAACAACAACAACAGAACAATAAATAGAAATAGATTACGTATACGAATCGAAAAGAATAATATAAAAACGGAACACAATGGATAGTGGTAGAAGAAGAAGAATATTGTGTAGGAGGATGCACGAATCATCATGATCGTGATCGTGATCATCATCGAATGACGTCGACATATTTTTTTTCTTCTTCTTCGAAATCTTTGAGAGAGGAAAAAAGGGGAATCAATATAGAGAATTATATAGGAAAACAAATCAAGTAATTTTTCAAAGTAAGGGTGTTTTGCAATTGCGTCGAGCAATAACCAATAACTGAGAAAAACTTTTTCGGGGCAATTCTCTTGTTTTTTTTTTGTCGCAAATGAATCAATGAAGCATCCGAATTTTTTTTAGCCAGAATTGACAACAAACCAAACCCCAGACAAGTTTTGAAAGGGAGAAAATAAAAAAACAGAAAAATCAACGCCTTGACAAACATTTGATTTTGAAGGGGATTAGAAAGGAAGGTAAAGAAATTTGATTCTGTTTGTTTGGATACTGTACGTAAACAATACCTGAAAGGGAAAGACTCAGTCAAAACAAGCAAACAAACAAATGAATGAATGGATCCTTAGAATCCACAAAATAAGACGACGACATTAGGGCGGCAATGACTTAATGACTGGATGATGATGTAAGAGATGATGATGATAATAATTGCTGTTGATTTAGTTGATTTAGTTTCGGGAGAAAAAAAAACTTTACCTATCTTTTTTTTCGTTAATCAATTGAATTCATATTTGAATTTCATTTCCTATTTACAAACATCATCCTGTATTTATTCCGTTATTATTATGATGACGTTGAAACGATTATTGATTAAAGGATTTTCCTATTTCATACAACTTAGTCATTGATCTTTTTTTATATTTACACATTTATTGGGTGATTACTTAAATTACAACAAATCCATCATATAGAATTCTATATTAAACAAATATAAACTCTCTATATTCAACTCTATTTCAATCAAATCAGATCCGGTTTTCCAAATATAATAATCTACATATTTCATATTCTTTCATTTCAATCATTTCAGTGATTGAACGAATGAATGAATCAGCAATAAACATAAACGAAAGAAAAGAATGATGAAATGAAGAAATAGGAAACTAGACTAGATTGAAAAATTCCCTTTACATAAACAACAACAACAACCAGCCAGCCAAAAAACAAAAAAAAAATTAAATAATCATCATCAGTACGACGACGACGACGACAAGTACATTATTACATCACACAATCAAATACCTCACACAAACACACAAACATCACATACATACATGTATTATTGATTACGTAGAATTCCTTGAGATGAATGAAATGAAATGAAATGAATAAAAAAACATTCAGTCATTGTCAATGTCAAACTACATAGAAAAACAAAAACAAAACATATATATTTTTGGGTTTATAAACATGTTTAGTTGTTAGTTTTGCTATTTTTATGTTCAGATAGATAGATTCCTATATATATATTCTATACATAAATACATATAGAGAGAGTATATGTTTCAAAAAGATTATTCTTCATCATTCTCCATATAGAAAAATTTGAGAATCGATGACGAATAATAACATTGATTGAAACATGACTTGTAATATATTCGGTTATTATCATTATCATCATCATCATCATCATGATTGTCGTTGTGACGTAACAATCGTATCCATACGTGTACGGTTATTCCGATTCTATTCAATAAAGAGAGATATATACAAAAATTCCCGGATCTTAATCAAAAAACAAAAAAAAAATCGTCATTCTATTATTATTATTATGTTAGTTATATAAATATAGTGGTAGTTAAAATGATGATGATGATGATGATGAAAAAAAACCAGAGATGTGTACTGAAGAGGCAATCTTCCGCATGTATCTTTTGATAGTGTGTTTGTGTGTATAGTGTGTGTGTTTGTATAAGGTTGTGTTGAATCATGAATGAATGAAATGAATTGCGACTGACTGATCATCGTAGTCGTCGTCGTCGTCGGATGTCGTCATCAAAAAAAAAATTCGTCAGCCGGCATATATAAACCAAATGATTGAATTCATTTTCAAACATAACAACTTTCTACTTGTGATAAAGACAGAAAACAAAAAAAAACGAATAAACGAATAAAAAGCATCTTTGAAAGAATCTTTGAAATTATTTTTTTGGTTTTGAATATTCTATGATCATCAACAACATCATCATCATCATCGTCGACGATAACTAAGTCAAGTGTGTAGTTCATAAAGTTTAGGCTATTGAACTTGAACTATATTTTTCTTTCATTTTTATTCAACCAAACAAGCAACAACAAAATTCTTTATTACCATTATGTGCACGTGTTTTTCATGAATGAAAATCTTGAAAAAAATTCTGCAAATTTCAACTCATCTTCAATTTCAAATCATCAAATCATCAATCGATTGGAATGATTGAATAGCAGTCACCACCAGAGAAACAATCAATCAATTGATTACATTGAAAACAACAACGAAAAAATCAAAAGCAATAATTTTTAAATGTGAAAAAAAGCAATATTTCAAGCAAAAATTACTGTGATTTTTTTCATCGGAAAAATCCGAAAATAATAATTTATATGAATCTCTTTAATTCATTTGATTATAATCATAATCACCGCCATCATCAACATCATTATCATCATTACGATCGACGACTATTATCGGTATGTGTGTTTTTGTTTATTCCCAGTTTTGCATTCAAATCTTGAAAAAAAAAATTCTTGCCACAAATCTTAAACCCTGATAAACAAATGAACAACATTTCCTAATGTGAATCAAATTACGACATAATTCTCTATTTGATTCAGAATCCGAAACAAAAACAAAACAAAACAAAAACAAAAAACAGAACCAGAATTCCGTTAATCTTGACAATGATCCACCCAAACAAACGAACGAACTAAAAAAAAATTCAAGGTTCAAAAAACAAAACAAAAAAAATCAGGGGAAAAAAATCAGGAAAACGAAAACATATTCTGTATATTTGTTTTTAAGGTGTTTTCCCATTAATAATAACAATTTTTCTTTATGTATGTTTTGGCGGCCCGAACACACACACATAGAAAAACACATGTATCACATTTTTTTGATTACATAGATTTTTTGTTTGTATGACAAATTCGAATGAATGAATGAAATGAATGAATCAGAAAAACAACAACAACAACAACAACAACAACAATAAAATAAGAAAATTATTATCCCGCCATACACATTACTAAAATAGTATTACTACACTACTGCAGCAGTTTTACACAGAGAATCGAAAAAATGCTTTATCGGAATCTGAATGAATGAATGAATGACGTCAATGGAAACAAAAATATTTTTTTTCTTCCATTTTTCCATAACCAGAATTGTACAATCACCATCATCATCATCATGTGTAGTTGATGATGATGACGATTACTATAGATATAGATGTAGTATAGTAATAGTGAAATCGACCATTATAGAATATTCTGTTGCCAAAAAAAAAACAAAAACAAAAACAAAAATTCTCATGACGTCAATGATGATGACGATTAGTATCATTTTACACTCATACAATAGTTTTCATGGCCATTTTTATCATCATCATCGTAATGATATAGAAATTCTGTACATTTTTTTTAAAAAAAATTCTGAGCCTACTCAATACAATCATCATCATTGATCGATCAAAGAAACATATAATTTTTTCCCATGTAGTTTCCAATGTAGTTTTTTCCCATATAGTTCTGATTTTCTTTGCTTCGTTTCATATACGATTCTGGTTCTTCGTAGAATTAAAAGCATCTTGAATTTCGAAATAAATAAAAAAATCATATATATAGTATATTCTGACGTCATTCCAACATAATAATAATGATCAGTATAATAATAATATTCATTCATTCATTTACAGTGACGTAACTAATTGAGAATTATACAGAATTTCAAACCGAAAAACAATAAAAAAAAAAAATTCTCATTTCCTTTTCTTTGGTTGGCTGGCTGGTTGGCTGGCTGGCTAACTGAATGAATGGCTCCTTGGATTGACGTCATCCATATCATATGAAATCGTTGATGATGATGATGATAATAGAATAGGAGACAAAAAAACTAGGACTTTCACCATCCAGATATAACCATCGTGTTATATATTTACACAAACCAAATATACACACATGTCCGGAATGTTTTTTTTTTGTTTCACTATGTTTCACATACAATGAACTATGATCATGAAAAACATGAATTTTCACAAACAGAATTTGATTATATTTGGGCGCATACTCAAATCAATTATTATTATGATTTTGTTTATTGGTAAAGGAAAATTTCGGAAAAGGAAATTGAATTTAAAGAATTTTTCCCAAGGAATTTTCGCAAAGAATTTTTTTCAAAAACCAAAAAAAACCAAAATCGACCCTATTGATAATTTTAAGTTTTTTTATATTTTCCCACTTCTTGCTTTCTTACAAAATCATTTCTTTTTTTCTAATCAAATTTTCTCATTTTCTTTTCTTCTTTTCTTTTTTTCTTTTCTTTCTACTTCTAATTTTTCCTTAACGAAATGAAAAAAAATAAATCACCACCTTTCTACTCTACACTCTTCATTAACACCTTTCTTTTCTCTTAATTATTTTCAATGTTTTCTCCTAACCTTCTCCGAAATTATCAACGAATTTAAACAACTTTAAAATTTGAAATTGAAAACCAAAACAGTTTTCTCTCTGTCTCTCTCTGTCTGTGTGTGTAACTTATACTTTTGTGTGTGTGTGTGTGCGTGGGTTTATTAACTAAATATTCTTGATTCTGTATGTTTCAACAATTCGTGAATTTGATTATAACATCTTTATGGACTAAATAAATTTTCATTGCGGCTATTTTTTTTCTGAAATTTCCAAATAGAATTCAGTGAGATTGATTTTTTTGTTGAAAAACAAATTTTTTTTTGTTTCCATTCAAAATTCTTTATCTGTTTGACCATGATTCTAGTTGAGGTATGACCGTTGATTCTTTTTTTGTTTAAATTTCCATTATTTCAAATCCAAAACAAACAAATTTCCTTTTGTGTTTTTCACACACCAAACACGATTTACATTGGAAATCTTTTTTCTTTTTCTGTTTCACTGATAGTTTTTCATTATCCAAAATCGTTTTTTTTTCTCTCTCTCTTGTGCAATAGAATTTATCATTTGGGTTAAATCCATCATCATCATCATCATCGTCGTCATCATCTGCATCATCTGCATCATCATCAAAGACAACACAATCAATAGCATCATCATCATCATCAACAACAACACCTGCACCACATTTAAATTCTCATCATCAACAACAACAACAATTAATTGATACAGAATTTTCATTTGATTTATTTGATTCAACAAATAATCTATTATCATTTGATGATATTGAACAATATTTTTCAAAAGAAACCACTAATAATCAAGAAGAAGAAGATTTATCAAAATTATTGATTAAAAATATCAATAATAGCGACATAAGTGTTAATCAAAATAATTTTGATTATAATTTTTTTAATCAAAATCAACAACAACAACAACAACAACAATTTCAAACAAATCAATTGAATATAATCGATTACGATAATCGAATTGAAATTAATAAACAAAACGAAAAATTAAATTTTTCCGATCTGGATCTATTAAGTAATCATCGTCATCATAATCATCAGCATCAGGATCAGGAAAGCCCAATCGGCTTAATAAAGAAAGGTAACAACAACAATAACAATAACGAAGAAGAAGAAGAAGAAGACGATTATATGTCGAATGGTCAAAGTGATTTAGAATTTTTTGATCAATTTCAATTACAGAATCAAAATTTATTTGATGAAAATTTTGAAATTGATTTACAATCATTAACACCATCATCAGTACAACGATTATTTACTAGTCAGATTTCAATGTCTGGATTTAATCCGAACAACAACAACAACAATAGCAATAATAATAACGGGCAGAATTTTTTAGATTCATCATTAGTATCATCGAATATTAAGCAACAACAACAACAACAGAATCTAGTTAATAATTCAAAGCTTTCAATTCAACAACAACAACAACCGATAATTAATCAACAACAACAACAACAACAATCATCATCAAATATATTAACCGCAACAAATATTCATCTACGACATCCATCATTATCACATCAATTAATTAGACAAGATTCACAATCATTATTATTTGGTGGTAGTTGTTGTAGTAGTACAAGTAATACAAATACATCAACAACATTTGATTCTATTAGTAATTACGGTAGTGGTGGTTGTGGTAGTTCATCATCATCATCATCAACACCATCAACGCCATCAAGTATAATTGGTGGTATATCAATAACGGTGGCATCATTGCCACCGCAACAACAACAACAACAACAGGTAGCAGAATCATCATTATCATCATCGACATCGACATCGAATTTAATTTCATCACCAACATCGACATCGACAATAACAACAAATCCAATATCATTGCCAAGTTTTAATGAAATTTATTCACCACCAAGATTTGGATCAACAACATCATCATCATCATCATCATCATCATCAACAGCAACAACAACGGTAACAAATATTGTTCAATCGCAACAACAACAACAACAACAACAAACAGAATCAATAAATTCAAATCAACAATCACAAACTGAATTAAATTTTGATCAATTCGTTGCTGATTATTTTAAATTTGAAGATTATATTTCTGAAAGTGAAGGTGATCTAGATAATAGTGATATATTGTTTCCATCAACAACAGAAACATCATTTATTATTGGATCTGATCAATCATCATTGATTAAAATTAAAGAAGAATCGATGGATACGTTTGATGATGTTGAACAACAACAACAACAACAACAACAATTTCAATCATCAAAAAATAATAATTCATTACGGTTTAATCAACAGAATTTTATCGCAACAAGATTATCACCAACATCATCATCGACAACATCATCTGGTCAATTAAAACAATCATCATCATCATCATCAATGATGATGATGATTAATAAAATGGAAGATGATGATGATGACGACGACGATGATGAAATTGTTGATAATAATGATGATGATTTGGATGAAAAAATTTTAACAGCAGCAGATTTTTTATTCTCTTCACCATCAACAACAACCGAAACAACATCATCACCATCATTATCATCAATGATTTCATCAAGAACAGCACAAACTATGAATATTGATTTACATAATCTTTCTTTGAATGTTTTAACAAATCCAATTGATTCACAAATATTATCATCTTCATCAGCAACATATCCGTCACAACAATTTATCACTGCTACTTCAACTACTACGGGAACATTAGCCCAACAACAACAACAACAATTACCGATAACAACAACAACAACAACAATTCCATTATCCGGTATAATTGAATTGAATCAAATGACTGCCGGTAATACAACGGCAATACAGCAACAACAACAACAACAATATCATCAACAACAACAGCAAAATGTTCAGTTAACATTACCTACATTATCGACTAGTACAATCGATACAATTCCAGCATCATCGTCAAGTCAACATCGATCAACAACAACAACGTATCGAAATAATAATCAATCACAATCGACAATTTCAAATAAATCGACAATTGGACGCGGTGGCAATAGTGGTGGTGGTGGACATAAAACTAAATCAACAACATTACAAACATGTGCTGTTTGTGGTGATGTTGCTGCTTGTCAACATTATGGTGTATTAACATGTGAAGGTTGTAAAGGATTTTTTAAACGTACCGTACAAAAAGGATCAAAATATACTTGTTTGGGTAATAAAGATTGTACAGTAGATAAACGTCGTCGTAATCGTTGTCAATTTTGTCGATTTCAAAAATGTTTAACTGTTGGTATGGTTAAAGAAGTTGTCCGTACCGATAGTCTAAAAGGACGTCGTGGCCGATTACCATCCAAACCAAAATCACCACATCAATTAGATCAATTAGGACAAAGAAAATTACCACCAATTTCAACCATTGCATCATTACTGAAAGCACATGAAGAATCATCAGTGAATAAAGCTAATCTTGATTTTAGTCGAGTATGTTAATCAATTTTTTTTTATTGTTTGAAAATTCAATTTAAAAAACAAAATACTCATTCATTCATTCATGTTTTTATTTTCATTCAGTTTAATGATAATTTTGATGAACAAATTAATATTTGTAATCAATATCAACAAGATTTATTTGATCATGAAATATTAACAATATTATCATCATCATTGGATAATCTTTGGTTATTTATTGAAAGGATACCCGGTTTTCATGAACTAAATGAATTGGATAGAAAAACATTATTTCAAAATTCTTGTTTAGAATTGTTTGCATTACGTTTGGCATACAGGTAAATTAACCATTATTGACTTGTTTTACAATGAAAAAAATACTAATGTTTTTTTTCTTTATCCCAACCAAAACAGATTAATTGAAAATAATGATAATAATATATTAATATTATGTAATAATATTGTATTACATCGTAATCAATTTAAATTTACATTAGGTGAATGGTTACCAATGATTGAAGAATTAAGTAAACAATTACAATCAATGAATTTAGATTTGAATGCATTTGTATGTCTTTGTGCATTAACGGTTATAACAGGTATGTCAAACGGTTTTTAAAAACTCTTTAAAAAACTAACAAAAAGCTAATTCAATGAATTTTTTTTCCCATTTACAGCACGTGATTGTATAAAAGATTCAAATCAAATTGAACAGATTGAAAATAAAATTATCAATTCATTAAGGGATCATACTATTTATAATAATGAAGCACAAAAAAAATTTAATTATTTTTCAAAAATTTTAACAAAATTATCTGAATTACGAACAATTGGTGAATTTGGACAACGTATTATAATGAAAAAAATTCAACAATTATCAACATCATCATCATCAACATCGTTATCAGCATCATCGACATCGTCAACATCATCATCGATAAATAAATTATATGATATAATTGAATTAGAACGAAAGATCTCACCAATTACTAATATAAATCATCATCAACAGCAACAACAATTGTCCAACACAGCCACCATTAACATACCGGTAACATTTAGTGATCTAATAAGTCATTGTGATAATTTATCAACAATTACTACAGTAGCAGCCAATATATCATCATCAACGATTACATCAACACCACCGCAGCCGCCAACAACAACATCAACAACATTAAATCAATCATTAGATTTTGATATACAAACAATAGCATCATTTTTTAAAGATTGGCCCGATGTTATTGATAAATAAACACAGTGTGTGCGTGTGTCGATGGGAAATAGATTTTCCCGAATCGAAATGAAAATATCGCTGGACGAAAAAAAAACGATTCAAATTCTTGTGCTATTCTTTTCTTGTTTTGTACTTGTGTGTGTGCGTGTTAACCCTTAACACTCCGAACGCCTTTTGGATGTTAGCTATATTCTACTCGAAGATTCTTAGTCTACCTATCGAAACGTGTATTTTCCGACCCTAAAATTTTTTTGTGAAAAACGTAACTTTACAGGGGAGAGTCCCCTGTAGCCTCACCATTTCCAATTTTTTGAAGTTCAAAAAAACTAACAAACAGAATTACCTCACCACCGATTGATAATCTTGTTTTTTAAACTGAGATTTTCATCTTGAAAAAAACACCTTTTTACTTCTTTGCATTCATCACCCATCATAATGATCATCATCAGCAAATAATAACAGAAAACATTGCAATCTTTATTTGAAAAAGAAATCACTGCCTTGATTGATTTACCCGCCGTAATTTATCATTTATTTATAACAAAAATCACGACTACCTTCAATCACCTGAATGTAATCCTTTCATCATCTTATTTCAATCAAGCGGACAAACTGAAGGAGAAATAATAATTTCAAAACTACTTCTTCACTACTAATCAATAATAATAATAACAGTTAACATCACTCTAGTCAAATATTAATAGAGTTTTACATCATTAGATCATCATTAGATCATCATTATAATTTGATTTACTTTTATTTTTTATATTTACAAATTTTATTACAAAAAGAAAAAAATTATTGTTTTCCATTTAGTGAACATGCACTTGTTGTTTAATTTTATGTTGTTTTATTCCTTTGTTTGTATTTTTATCCTTGTTTTAAATGTTGACCAATTATAAATTATAATAGCCTATATTTATAAACCATCATTATCATTATAAATCAAAAATACACAAACCGAAAATAATTTCTATTTTTTAATACTTATAATGTTTATTTATTTATTTATTTATTTATTTATTGTTGTTGTAATTTATTTGATTAAAAATATTTATTTATTTTAAAAAATAAAAATCTTTATAATTTTTATCATCATTTGGATTTAATCCGATATGATCGATATGAATTGATAAATAGAAAACGTGATGTTGATGAATAGAATAACCGACGAAACCAAACCATTTGACTATAATGTTTACGTAATGAATAAACAATAATTAGATAATCTTTTAATGATGATATGAGATAAACATTCCAATTATTATTGATTAATGATGATATCAATGTACAAATTATATCAAATAAAGCTAAATATTTACGTATGATTGATATAGATTTAAGAAAATAAATTTCCAAATTTAAATCATTATTGCAATTGAATAATTTAATAACAGCTTCATAAATAGCAATATGATTTGAATGACCACTAATACCATATTGATCAAATGTTATGATTTTTGTTATTGAATTTTGTTGACAATATTTTTGAATAATTTTCATTATATAATATGGTTGCCATTCGGCAACAGGTGAATCAATTAATTCAGGGTCATCACGAATTTCCCATGTAAATAATTCATTAAGTAAATCTTTTGAACATTTTTCCTGAGAATTTTTCACAACAGAATTATCGAATGTTGAACGAAATAATTCATTCATTGCATCATCTAATTCTTGTTTACGTTTTTCACCATCACCATAATAATTACCCGTACAAAGACATAATAAATGAATTTTTGAATGTTTTTTATCATCAATGTTATTTAAAGAATAATAATTTTCAATTCTTGAACGTAATTCATTTAATAATGTTGGTCCAAAAAACATTAGTTCATCATCGGGATGTGCAGTAATTAATAATACATTATGATCTATATCGATTCTTTTGATTCGATGTTTAAGAATAAACCATGAAATGAATAAAATTGTTGAAAATAAAAGAAAAGATAACATTTCTTCAACAATAATTTAATGGAAAAAAACAAACAAATCAAATCGGTGACATTTGTCGAAAGAAAAAATCGAGCATAAAAAAAACATCTGATACATTCATGTTATCATATTGTCCACTAGATGGTGTTAATATGGAAATTAGTTTCAAAGAATTTTCAAGAATTTCGAAAAATTCGAAACAAATTCGCTATAAAATGTTTACTTCTTTTCCAATTATTTGTTTACGAATTTGTTTATAATTATAAAAATGTCGGATGATCATAATAATAACCATAATCATAATAATAATAATCATCATCATCATAATCTTAATAAAAACTTTAAATTGGCTGTACATTTTGCACAACTTGGTAACGATTCAGCAATCGAAGGTGATTTTATTGATGCTGTTAAATATTATTCAAAAGCAATTGATTATTGTCCAGAAAATCATTGTTATTTTGGTTTCTATTTAAATCGTGCATTATGTTTAATTAAAATGGATTTTTTCTATTTAGCATTACCGGATACTAATCAAGCTGTACGATTATCATCAAAAAATTATAAATGTTATTATATTCGTAGTAGAATATTAAGAAAATTAAAACATTATGAATTAGCACAAAATGATTTGAAAATGGCATTAAATTTTCGTCCAACATGTAAAATTATTCGTGAAGAATCTGAACGTATAATCGAACGTAATGAACGTGAATTTCGTTTATTTAATGAAAAATTAAAAACATATAATTTAAATGATAAAACCTATTATAAGATAAAGGTAAATTTTCATCTTATTAAAGCACAAGATTTACCAACAAATATTTGGAATTATAATGGAATACGTGTAGAAAACATTCGATTTGATGCTCCAATCAAATTGTTAAAAGAATATTTTTCATTATTCGGTAATGTTGAACATATAAAACGAACATATGGTTATCATAATGATAAATATCAAAATCAAAATCAAAATCAATCATCATCATCACCATCAATATTTATCTATTATTATAATCCAGTAACACCAATGTTTACTATTGCATATTTTCAAGGAAAAATATTTGAAGAATTATGTCGTTTAGATGAACAAAATCAACAATATAAATCATTACGTTTATATTTTGCACCAACTGATCATCAAATTGAATTAAAATATCATCGTCCTAATCATCCATCAACAACAACACAAGAATGTTATTTTTGGCGTACAACATTCTGTCATCTAAAAGAACGTTGTCCAAAATTTCATCTACAACCATGTAAAAATATTGATGCACAAATATGGATGTTTAAATGAAGAGAAAAAACAACAAAAAAATCGAATGAATTTTAGAAAAAAAAAATGAAAATTTTTATTTTTATTTCAGCCAATTTTGGAAATGAAATTTTTGATTTTTGAGCAATATGAGTTTCATTTAATAAACAAAACAAACAAAAATATGATATGTAATTTTTCTGAGATTTAAATGGAATTTTCATCATCATCATTCGATGGTTTTGGTTTTGATTGTTGTTGTTCATTTTGATTCAAATGAATTTTTTCAATTTCATTGGCAAGCTCGTTAGTAGTGGTTTCTTCTTGATTATCATCAGCAGCGGCAGTGTTGGCAGTGGTGGTTACAATCGATTCTTCTTTATCATCAGATTCTTGTTCAATCATAAATTCAACTGCTTCATCGAATGCTTCTTTGAAGATCGAAGCATCTATTTTATTGAAATTTGAACAAAAAACAAAACAAAAAAAATCATCATTTGAAATTTTAGAAAGAAATAGCAAATAAACTTACTTTCAGCATTTGAAAAACGTATGGCAAATGTTTCCGGATTTGATTCATTTTCATAAAAATCGGCCAATGTTGAATAAAGAAAAACTTTTTCACTATTATTATGTTTATTCAATTTCATTGATCCAGTTACTGAATAGTTGAATTTAACGAGAAACAAAACAAAACAAATCATTTATCATTTTGAAATCAATTTTGAATCATAATAAATACTTACTATAATGATTAGCACAGATTTTAAATGTTTTTTCACGACGCATCAATATACGATACATTCCTGTTTGTTTATGTTGAAGAATTTTTACCGTACCAGTACCACGTTCTTTAAATTCTGGTTCTTCATCACCATTATTCGTATCATAACGATAAATACGAGCACGTCTTTGTTGAAAGTAAATGAAATGAAATGAAATTTTCAATCAAAATTCCAAAAAAAACAAACAAAAAACTTACAAATTAACAATAATATCTTCATCATCTTCCATTGTTTTGGTTTCGGTTAATGGTAAACTAATTCTTGGTGAATAATTGATTGGTTGTTCATAATGATTATCATCATCATTATTCTGTTCATCTTTGTCATCATTTTGTTCAGGTTGTTGTTGTTGTTGTTGTTGACCATTTTCATTCGAAGAATAATGATCACCACCATTATTCATTTTATCCGGTTGTTGATGATTATGATTATTATCAACAATAATAATATTATTGGTTTCATCATCAAATGTTTTCGTTTTATCATTATTATTTTTCATAATATTCATTACATTACCATCGATTTTATCATCAATCTAAAATTCGGAAAAATCAAGAAATTATTTTCAATATCTTCGATCAATGATAACAAACCTTTAATGAAATTGATTCAGCCATGTTTCAAGAGATTTTGATTTGATTGTTTTCGAAATCGGGTTGGCAATACAAACAGACAAAAAAAGATTGAAAAAACTACCCTAGCATGCAATGTAAGTGTTAATAACAACAGCAAGCAAACAAAAGATCTTTTCTTCGTTCTTTGCCAATTGTTGTCCAATATGATTATTTGGCGCGGCTATAAACCCAATATAATGGGGACTAGTCAAAAAAAAAACAAGTAAAACAACGTTGTCATCTATTTCGACTGTCAACGATCGTTGATATTTAAATAGTTTTCTCACATGATTTTTCGATTTAGATTTTTTAAATTTTTTTGAAAAATTAATTTCAATTTTTTGAAACATCATGTCGACCAGATGGTTTGTTTTTTCAGAGTTTTCTTGTTGAAAAAAATCTATTAAACAATTTCTGTTTATTTGAAGGTATCCCAGATATGTACGTGGCAATCCACAGTTAAGAATATTTCTGCCCGATTTTTGGATGATTATCAAAAAACCCGAACAACCATTACCAGCTAATAAAGTTATGTTCAAAATACCTGTTCAGTATGTTTTTTTTTTGAAAAAATAATTTGAAACCAAAAAACAATCCTTTAAAAATATGAAATTTGTATTTTATCATAAAAACAGAATGACCAGTTTTGATGTAAAAAATTATTTGGAAAAAATCTATAAAATACCTGTGATGCATGTTAAAACACGTGTTGTTTGTGGTGAAATAAAAAAAGCTAAATCAACTAAACCATATCTGATAAAAGAAGATGATTATCGGGAAGCGATTGTCGATCTGGTATGATTTTAAAATTTCGTTTCAATTTAAAATTTTAAACTTCTTTCTTCTTCTTTTTTCACACACCCAACCACCATTCTCAAAAGCCAAAACATGTTCAATTCGAATATCCAGATCTGTATGGTGGTGATCGTGTAAAATTAGAAGATGAAATTGAAAAACTTGAAAAACAATTTGAATTTATTAAGAAACGTGAAAAACGTCGTATGTTTGCTGAAAATCGTCACAATGTTCCCGGATGGTTTTGATTGTAATTTTTTTTTAATTAGTCATTTTAATAATCATCATTATTATTATTATAATTTCAAAACACACAATTTAATTGAAATTTTCATTCGGAAAAATACTGATTGAATATAATTAATAATAATAATAAAACAAACAATTAGAGAAAAACAAAAAAGATCAATAGAGAAATGTTTTTTTCATTATACGAAGAAATTCTTGACAATCAACAGCTTTATCACCATCCAAATCAGCTTCCTGTATCATTTCCATTAGTTCATCATCGGTAATTTTTTCACCCAATTCATTTGAAACACGTTTTAAATCATCGAATGTAATTTTACCCGTTTGATTTGTATCAAATAATTGAAATGCTTTCATAATTTCATCATTAACATTTTTCTCTGTTATTCTTTTGATCATTAATTGTTCAAAATCATTATAAAGAATAAAACCATCTTTATTATATTCTTCGGAAATACGTTGTACTTCTTCTTTTTTCGGTTCAAATCCTAATGCACGCATTGCAAATTTTAATTGTTTAATATCGAAACGTCCTTGATTTTCAGTATCAAAACGTTTAAATGTTTGTTTAATATCGGCAATATATTCTGGATTGATCGATGAAGTGGACATTTTTTTTGAATTTTTTCGATTTGTTATTTTTGATGATGATGATGATTTGATTGTTGTTGATTTTTTCTTTTTCGAACAAGATTTTCGTTTATTTTTACCAGAATTCTCTACACTAGAGCTATCGCTCCATGATTCATCTTGATTCTGCTCTTGAAATTCCACATCATCATCGTTTTCATCATCAACATCATCATTATTAATATTAATATCGTCATCATCTTCGAATACGTAATCGGAATCCATTTTGAGTATTATTAAAAAAACGGTTATTGATGATGATGATGATGATTTTTTTCCTGGATCAAAAATAAACAGAGCAGTCGTTAAATTTGATGTGATTAACAAAGAAAACAACAAAATATGAAAGAATCTAACTGCAAGAATCAAGAATTTTTTCAAAAAGAATATGCGCGCAACAATATTATTTGTCAATATAGCTCACAACAATATATTCTTCGAAAGTATAACTATTTCAACAATCAAACTAACAATGTCGATTTGGAAATTTATTGGCGGTAATTTCGAATTTTTCAAATGCCAAAATATTCGAAATTACCAAAACAATAACATTTTTGATTGTATTTAAATCAATTGCAAATATTTTATGTTTGAATAAATTTTTTTTTTTGTTTATTTGGTTGTTTTGTATTTTTTTAAAAAATGTCATCAAGAAAATCATCATCAACTAGCCAAAGTAATTATTCATCTACGTCAGGTCATCATGGATCATCGAATTCTAGCCAATCAAAATCAGTCATGTCAGAAGCTGCTTCTTCAGCTAGTCATTCAAGTCAAGCATCTGCTCATGGAACATCATCAGCAGTATCTTCAAGTGGTTCCAAAGCAAAATCAATGACATCATCATCATCACATGTTAGTGGTAGTCGAACAGGAAGTTCAATGAAAGCATCAGGTGGAAGCGCCTCTAAAGGAACCAGTCAAGTTACTCTAAGTTCGTTGAAAGCATCAGTTGGAGCTTCACCAATGGCAACATCAGCAGCAACAAAATCACAATCAAAAATGGGTAGTTCTTATCATTCATCAACTAAATCTGGTACAAGTAGTTCGGCATCAAAATCTGGTTCACATTATAGTTCAGTCAAACCTTCATCATCAAATGCATCAAGTTATCATTCCAGTTATCATTCAAGTAATCATTCCAGTTATCATTCAAGTAATGTAAATGGAAGTAGAGCATCTTCCGCATCAAATGTATCAAATTCTCATTCAAGTTATGCAAGTGGAAGTAAAGCATCTTCATCCGCATCACATACATCAAGTTATCATTCAAGTTATGCAAGTTCAAATGCAGCAAATCCTGCAAGTAAAGCAATGGTTTCAAATAAACCATTATCATTAGCATTAGCAAATTCAATTGAACCATCATCAATACCGGGTCGACCAAAACTTTGTGATAAAATGAATGAAATTGATCAATGTCAACCATATGTTGAATTGAATGATGTAAATGAATTACAATCGAATGGTGGTTTTAGTTTAGGAAATTTTATTGTTGAAGATGATTGTTATAAATATTATTCAGCTGGTAAAGATGGACATGAAATTATTTGTAAAATTATTAATCTAGATAAATGTACACCACGTTATCGTGAAAATATGTTAAGATTTTCATTAAAGATAACTAGATTTGTTGGTGGTTCGAATGGTTCGCCACCGATTAGTGAATATTTCGTCGATGTTTTAGAAATTTTTAAGGTAGGTATTTTTGCATAGCAAACAAACAAACATTGATTGATAAATTTTTTTTTCCTCAACAAAAGATTGGTCCACTTATCTATGTATTTATGGAAAATTGTCCAAATAAATCATTATATTTAGTATTACTTGATCATGATAAATATTCAGCAATTGATGAAAGAAGATGGACAGTACAAATTGTAAAAGGTATTGCAAAATTACAAGAATATGGTATTGCACATCGTTTCATTAAATTACAACATATATTATTTGATTCAAAACATAATGTTAAAATAGCTGGTTTTAGTAAATCGGTATTATTTTGGGATCCAAATAGTGAATGTCCATTATTACAGAATTGTGAAAGAAAATCAAGAAAAAATTGTCATTTACCACCGGAATCATTTCGTGGTCCATATGATCCATCAAAAGTTGATATGTGGTCATTAGGTGTTTTAATGGTTTGTTTACAAACACGTTCATATCCATTTAATGTAAATTCAACATCCAAATTTTCTGCACAATGGCGACAATTTGTTTTAAAACATGAAATGAATCGTTATGTACGTGCTGCTATTAATCAAACATTTTCTATTGATCCAAAACGACGTGTAAAACCGGCTGATTTTCTTAAACATCCATATTTTACTGCATCTGTTTCAAATATTGAACCAAAAGTTTTAAAAACAACTGTTGATCCTAAATATGATCCAAATATGATTGATGAATCATCTTGTCATGTTTCAACAACAGGTACAGTTAGTGCAATAAGTGGATCAAGTGTTGCTTCTTCATATAGTGGAACTACATCTAAAAATTCACATAATTCAAAACCATCTTCAGTTTGTAGCGGTAGTAGTAAAAGTTCATCAACAGCATCAGCGTCAGTGGCATCATCGGGATCAACATCAGCAGGATCAATGTCAGCTACACCAACATTAGCGGCACCAACATTAGCGGCACCAATATCAGCGGCACCAACATCAGCGGCACCAACATCAGCGGCACCAACATCAGCGGCACCAACATCAGCAAAGGGATCAACATCAGCTGCATCATCAGTGGTATCAACATCAGCATCATCAACATCAGCAGCAGCATCATCAGCAACTGCAACATCAATGAATGATGATGAATTTGGTGATGATAATGCATCCGGTATAGAAGGTGGTAAAGTTGGACAAGAAATTCCAGCTGAAGAAATGGCACATGAATCACATGCACAAGAAAATTCAGCACCCGAAGAACAAGCCGATCAAGCTAAACCAATTTCATATAACAGTAGTCAAAATAATGAAAGTTTGGAATCGAAAAAAACTTGAATGATGATTAAAAAGAAAAAAATTTGTAAAATATTTTTATTTTCATTTTTATTTTTACAAAAATATGGAATTAAAAAACAAAAAAAAGTTAATTTCTTTTCATAATGCCCAATCCTGTAAACATTTCAAAAGATCATTAACATCATTTTCAATTTCTTGTGATGTTTGACTATGTTCGACACGATTTTTTATTAAATCCATATTTACAAGTTTATTTGAATCAATTTTTGTACATTTTTCCAGATAAATGCCTAACATTATTGATATTTTCATAACTTCAATTTTTAATTTTTCTAATGATGATTCAACGGATTCGATTGACGAAGAAGAAGAAGATGAAGATGATAAAATAATACGACGTTTTTCCAATGATTTTGAAAGATATAATAATTTTGAATGTGCAAGATTTATCGGTGTTCTACCATTATTATCGGATGATGTACAAATAGCACCATTTTTTAATAATAATATTACCATATCTAATTTAGATGAACAAACAGCTAAATGTAATGGTGTATTACCATTAATATCATGTGGATTTGGATCAGCACCATTCATTAATAATAGCCAGGCTAATAATCGTTTTTGTTTGGGAAAAATAATCAATCAATAATCAATATGAAAAACAAACAAACAAACAAACAATACTAACCAATATCATTATGACCACGTACAGAGGCAAAATGTAAGGCAGTACGTTTACGTTCATCACAAGAATTTAAATCAATATGATGATTTCGTTGTGATTGTAATAATAATTGTTTGATTAGCTTTATATCACCACAATTTGCTGCATTTCGTAATGATTTTTCCTCTTTATGAACAAAAAAAAACAAACAAAAATTAGCGAATTGAAGAAGAAACAAACAAAAAACAATCATACCATGTTGATTGGATGGATATTGTTGATTATTATAATAACGTAATGTTCGTAATTTTTTTGTACATTTTATTTTTGGTATAAAATTATGTTGCTGTTGTTGTTGTTGTTGTTGTTGACCATTATAAAAACTCCATAATTTATTTAGATCTTGTTTGTTGACTGTAAAATTAAAACCGCAAAGATTTATATTTGTTTTTATTATGGGCGATGTTGTTGTTGATTTAGAATTTGATATGGACGTTGTTGCTGTTGAACAATATTGTGGTGATGATAATGTTGATGAATTACATTCATCCATTGAATGTTCAGTTATAGAAATTGAACGCATACGAAATATATTGGAACTCGATGAGGTAGATGTTGATGGTTCGAATTGATTATTGTTCGTTGAAAAATTATTGACATTCATTGATGATGATGATTGCTGACTTGTTGATGGCGATGCTAACATTATCTGCTGATTTGGATCATTTTCGGATGATTCAATAACAGGATGATTAACAACGATTTCATTCGAATGATCGATTTGATTTTGATTATGATCGTCTTCGTCATCTTCATCATCAACATTTTCATAATTCATTTCATCATCATCTTCTCTATTGAATGATTCATCATTATTTGAATCATCATTACCAGAATCAACACCAGAATCATTTTCAGACATTTTTTTTTTCTTATTTGTTTGCTTTACTTGGAAAAACAAAAAAATCAAAACAATTTCGAGTATGACAAACAGAGAAATAGAAAAAAAAACTATTTGCATTGTATAAACATCGTATGTGTTTACATGTGCGCATAATCGCGCTTTTTTCTAACAACCTGATGATTTTTTTGTTTTTGTTTGAAAAATAAACGGTCATTTTTGTCAGCAAATCACATTGAAAACACGAAACGATGGAATCAAAAATTATTGATGAATTTATTGCGAAAACATCATTATCTGAAGAATTTTTAAAATGTTTTGATCAATCATTGGTGAAAGAAGCAACAAAATTGGCTTATAATTTGGCTCGATTAGGTATTGATTTTGATCAATCCAAACCATTCGATTCGAATGTTAGGTAAGTATGATTTTTTTTTGTCATTTTCTTTCTTTTTTGCTAAACTTTTTCGCTTTTTTTTGAACAGTGAAAACATCTTGAAACAATTGGATAAACTATATTGTACATTAGGACAAACAACAACCAAAAATGAAATTGAAAAACTTGAAAAACAATCAAATGATTGTGATAAAATGATTGAAAAATTGAAAAAATTAAAATCCAAAATGGAACGTTTTGATGATGAAAAAATGGCCGAAGAAAAACGTAAAAATATTGAAAAATTAAATGAACAATTACAAAAATTAGAATCATCAGAAAAATTATCAATGATGATTGGTAATAATAGTAACAATGAACAAATCAATGAAATTGAATTGGATTTTTTATTGGATGAAATTGGTAAAAATAAACAACTTACTGAACAATTACAAACATTAACAAATGAATTGGATGGTTTTATTGATATTGATTTAAATGAAATTAATAATAATAATAATAATGAAACAAAATGGTTAGATGAACGAATAAAATATTTGGAAAGAAAATTTCGTAGTTTTTTACCTGAAACAAATAATTTGATTGTTGAATCGAATAATGTATTTGATACAATTTGTTAACAGAAAGATATAACAGCATCCTTCCACCACCAACAGATGTCGACAGCGATCTCATTTTTTTTTACTTTCGAAATGATAAAATTCAAATAAAATAAACCAAAAAAATTTTCTTGTAATTTTTTTTTCTTTGTTTATAACGATACTAAATATCTCTTCTTATGACCTAAATCTACAAACATCTTCTTGTTTTGTTTGTTTGTTTGTTATTACCAAATTTGATTGAAACGCTAAAATCAATCGATTGATCGATCGATCGATTGATTCAATCGAAACAAAAAAATGAATAATTTATCTATACTTGTTGCGTGTGTGTGTGTGTGTCTATGTTTGTCTATTTTCCTTATTTGACACACTCTCAAACACACACACAACCAATGGTTTTCTGTGGTGGTCAAATACCTTTATATATTTGGGTAAATATTATCATGATGATGATGATAACCAGGTAAGAACATTTGTTGTTGTTGTTTCTACAATTCATTTCATCATCATCATCATTTATTCAAGTAATATACATACATCATCATCATACATCGATGAACAGAGTAATCATCATCATCATCATCAGATGAAACGGTAAAACTAAGACTAAATAAGAAGAAGAAAATCCATTTGAAGAAAAAAATCAAAAATATCAATACAACAAGGGATGCGGCCGATTATTGTTATTAATGTTTTCAACAAAAAAAAAGTATACCGGGGTGGAGTAAAGACGAAGAAACGAAGTAGAAAAAAAAATCGATGCTGTTAAAGTTGAAAAAAATGTTTTTTTTTTTGATTACATATTCGGTAGAAGAAGAAAAATACTTACTACTTTTGTGTGACTTTTACATTGATCAATCTTCTTCAACAAGCTTCAAAAAAAAATTTAAGCTTCGAGGCAAATTCCTTAACATCGAACAAATAATTTTTTCTTCTTCTTCCTAAATACGGAAACACACTTATGTGTGTGTGTGTTTACCGTTAGCCAAATAAAAAAACGGTTCTTTTATGGTTATAAAGTTAGGTTAGATTATCTCCTACTACCTTTACTATTATAGAAAGAAATATGATATTAGGTTAAACTGACCCAGAACAAAACCCAAATGAAATATCCAAATGTTAAATAAACCAAACCAAACCAAACCAATATCAAAACCCTCAAATATCAGATTGAATGATAATTGATTTACAATTGGCGCACCTTTTCTTTTACTAATCTTTTCTTTCTTTCAAAGAAGGAAAAAATCCAAAACTATCTATTATTTTTATCTTCAATTGATGATCATTATCATAATTATTATCATTTTTTTTCATTTTTCATTCAATTCGATCAACGACGAATGATCATTGACCGTATAAATAATGTGTCTACGTAAGTGTATGATTTAGCAATTAATGGTTATACCATTTCTTTTTTATCATCATCATCATCATCATCATCATCGTATAATCCAGTTTTGTCAAATTTTGAAATTATATTATCATTTGAAGAACATTTCTTTCTCACTTTGCTCATTGATTTTTATACTATACACACACACACTTTTTTTCTCCTTCTTTCGAATCACACATTCGAAAGAAGAAGAAAAAAACTATTTAAAATATTCACAGAAAAAAACAACGACAACGATAATGATAATGATGACGAAGTTGTCGAACATTAAGGACATTGGAGAAAGGATGATGATGATCATCATAGGAAGCATCCAGAAAAAAAACAACATAACTTACTAACAAGAAATGTTATTTGGATGATGCTATTTGATGATGATGATGATCATGACAAGATCAAAAAGAGAAGAAAAAATTTTCAAAAGGTAGACGACATTCGACATTCGTCCATCGTAGTTTTCTTGCAGTTGTTGTTGTTGTTGCCATTGAAAGGTATTTAGTAAATAAATATCTTCTTTTGCAAAAAAAAGTTGTCGGTCGATTCAGTAAAGAAATTAGTTGCAACAAGTCTATGGAAGAAGTGCCGAATAGAAGATATCGATGAAGATGATGATGATGATGGACACACAATCCTGACATGGCCTCTTAAGACGGTCGACGTGGTTTTCATCATCATCATCACCATGGTCGTTATCATAGTGGTGGTGGTGGCGGCGGCCAAAATGTGTTTATATCATCACCACCATTATTATGATTCCTGAATGAAGTAAAAAAATTTTTTTTTACAAAAGAAATTAAAGAGAATTTCATTTAGGATTTCAGCAGTTGTGGTAGTAGTAAAATGAAATGAAATTCGAAAACACAACAGGTTGATTTTTTACCTTTCTAGTCTTGTTTCTCATTTTTTTTTCTTCTTCTTCATTTATTTGGCAGGCAGGCCGAATTCAAAATATTCAACCTGTTGCCTGCTGCTTGTTGTTGTTGTTTGATGACTTTGATCGCTAAAGCTATGAACGAACGAAGACGAACGAAGAAATTTGAAGAAAAAAGTTCAAATGAGAATGATGTATATACTGCCACCATATGCTTTACCGACAACAAGTGAATATCTAGCTTTCTTCATTATAGCAGAAATATCACATTTTTTCCAAAAATCCCGAAGACCTGTTCGTCGTTTGTTAAATTCATTGCCTGTTACCTGTTGATGATCATCATCATCTTATTTTGTTGATTTCACATTTTGTTTCTTTTCTTGCTCTTCTTCTTCTTCGTTGCTTTTATTCTAAGAATATATTATAAACTCAATAGGAAAAAAGTTTATTGAAATGATGATGATGATCATGATGTTGTTGTTGTTGTGAGTGTTTTTGTTGTTGTTTGTTTGTTTGTTCGTATTTTTCTGTCCAGCCGAAAAACAATGATCATCATCATGTAGCATTTTTTTTTGATCAACAAAACAAAAAAAACGAAAAATTGATTCGATGATCATTGATCATTGATCATCAAGATGATGGTGTAATTTGAAAACAAAATCAAAAATTCTTCATCATCATCATCATCATCATCGAATGTTTACATTGGTGTGTTCGATTCGATATATCGATTCTAGATTCCAGATTCCACCATCACTATCATCATCATCATCAATGTAATCAAATTCAGTGTTTATCTTTAGTTCTTTCGAGTGCAATTTTCTAAATTCTTTTTTCGGTTCCTAAATTTATTCTTCAACAAAGTTCCTTTCACATCAAGTGCAAATCGTTGTTAAGTTAAGTTAATTTGTTTGTTTGTTTCTTTCATTATCAACAACATCAACATCGAGATAAAATACCCGCCAAATAAAAAAGAAAATCTGTGTTAATTTTTGATTCGTTTTCTGATTTTGTTCGTTGTTGTTTGTGTAATCCGCCATTCACCCGAAAATCATTCATCATTCCTTTTTCGTTTTTCTTCGTTTACATAACATCCAAAAACAATGATGATGGAAAATTTCAAAATCATCCATCCATCCATCCATCGATCATCATCAATTCAACGTTGATTAAGAAGAAATGATCGATAACCAATTAACAACAACCAAAAACAAACAACAACAGAAAAAAATCCTCATCAAATCTTGATGTTTTAATTTAATTTCTTTCGGTGACCATCAGTGGCCATTTTTTTCTTTTGATGATCATAATTTTGTTGCCATAATACCGTTCGATTATCATCGGTTGTTGAGTTAATTTCCTATTTACACAAAAACAAGAAAAGAAAAACATCTGAAGTGAAAATGGCCGTCATTACACAGCCAACATTGCCATCGTCAACAACAACTGAAATTGATTCTTCACCACCGCCACCACCATCATCAACATTATCATCTGCAGAAATAGTCGATCAAAGACCAACAACACCAATACCGATTGAATCTTTTAAAATTGTAATATTTTTCATTTTCATTTTGAAAAAGATTCTACAATAGTTTTTTCGTTGTTCAAATGACATACATTTGATTACGAGAAAATTTTTTCTACCAAAACCAAAAAACCAAATTTCAATTTAAATCCATCACGATTCACGATGGTAGTAGTAGTAGAGTGAATCCAACAAATTATTCATTCATTCGGTTTTCGCTCGTAGAAATTTTCTAATTTTAAAAAATTTCAATTTTTTTTCATTCATTTTTTTTCAAAATTGGTTTGCTGGTTGGTTGCAATGAAATATCATCATCATCATCATTTGATAATTGAAAAAGTTCATCCATTCAAACTTTACCGTTTGACATTTCTCTTGTCCTTTCATTTTTGGTTGATTATCATCATCGTTTTTTTATGGCCAGAAAAAAGATTTCATTTTGTAATTTTTGTTGTTGAAATTCATTTCATTCATTTCAAAATGAAATTGGAAAAGAAAATTTTTTTAAATCTTTTTTCATTTTTCCTTTCAAAGACAATCGGTTTAATTTTTTTTCGGCCAAATATATTTTTGGCACAGATTCTCTTCAAAATTTTTTGATTTTGATTTATTGTTCGATTGGTTTAGTTTTGTTTTTTTGAATGGATTTTGTTTTTTTGAATTTTGTTTTTCTGAATTTTTTTTTCTTTGAATAAAGAAATGATGCATAAAAACAAAGGCAAGACAAAACGAAATTTTCGCTTTGTTGTAGCTTCTGGTTTGCAAAAGTATTTATCAATCTTAAAGGATTGTTTTGATGAAGCAACAGAAGCAGTTTCAAGCAGAAGGAAAAATTGATGATAAACATTTTAAAATCCGATAAATTGATTTTCTCGGGAAATTCATTCATTTATAATGATGATAAATCATTCAAAATATATGAATATTTTCTGCATTCATTCAATCAATCAATATTTATTTGTTATTGAATATTTCAATTTTGTCAAACAAACAAAAAAGTAATGGTGTGGGAAGATTTTTAAACCAGAAAAAAAAGTTCAATATTTTTGAAATTGAAAAATATAGAATTCCAAGAAGAAAAAGATCAAATGTCATATTGACAAATGTTTTTTTTTCTGGTTGTTGTTGTCATTGTTATCCTGAATCTTCAATTCAATCCATTCATGTATGTTTGAACTGTATTGAAAATATTGATAAACAACAACAGCAAACAAACATTCTCTCTATCTCTGTATATCTCTAAATCTACATATGTATTTCTCCCACAATCCCAAATGGCTGATATTGATAGTTTTTTAGATGAATCATTTTTTTCCCACTAGTTTTTCCCCTAAAGCCAAACATTGATATGTCGCTATATTTTTAAAAAAATATATTCATCATGTCATTTCAAGCTGTGTTTGTTGTCTAAATTTGACAAATTTTGTTTGTTTCCACCGTTTGATAATACAATCCTATCATGCCCAAAATGAATGTCTTTCTTTTCATTTCATTTCTCGTTTGGATATCATAGACTTTAGCAATGAATTTCTTTCTTGTCTTCGAGGGCTGTTATTCTTTTCTGATTTTGTTTTCACATTTTAAATTGACTAATTTTGGACGAAAAAAACAAAGGTGTAAAATTTGATTTAGATTTTTTTTCTGTTTTTTGTTGTTCCAAATGCAATTTTCAAGCAATAAAATCTCGATGGCCATGGTAAATTTTTTCTATTTTTTGATGGTGATTTATAATAGAAACAAAGATATTTTCATGGTTTGAAAGTCATGGTAACGAAAATGTTGATGATGATTATGACATGAAGATGATGATGATCATCATCATCTTCAAGTTTTCAAGTATTATTTGTCCACCATAGTACAATGACCGTTGACTACTTATTATTATCATTATTTAAAAATGAATGAATAAGATGTCTTATGTAATTGAATGGTCAGTTTCTTTTCTTACTTCTTTCATTCGTTTCTTGACTGCATCATAATTTTAATGATGATATCTTCTTCTTTTTACTAAGAAAAATTACTATAATCAATTAAACAACAACAAAACCAGATTGATATTTATATTATTATCAAGGTTTTTTTCAGAGAATACAATTGAAAAAACTGTTGAAAACTACATAGGTAGAGAGAGAGAGAGAGAGAGAGAAAATGGAAAAAGATTTTTGTAAAATGACGTTTTTACATTGTAATATTTTACCTTATTAACCGGATAATGATGATTGACAAATGAATTTAATGAACTAAATAGAGGTAAAAAAATCTTACATCGATACAGAAACCACCATCGATTATCATCAATATTCATGGTAAAATTGTAATCTAATTAGAAAAAGAAAATATATCAGATTATAAATCGAGTACAGTAGTTGTTTGTTTTCAAAAATTTTTTAAAACAAAATTTCAATTTTCTTTAAAATCTCTGTTTGTTTTCTGTGTGAAAAAAAAGTTTTTCTCATTTTTATTATTATCACCCAAATTTGCCAGTCGATGATGAAAATATATTTCCAGACATATTTATAGCCAAAATGATGGCGATAAAAAAACAAAAATTTTGTTATTTGTGGAATGTGAGAAAATTTTTGTTTTTCCCGTTTGTTCGTTTGTTTGTTCGTTATTTTCTCACATTCACAAACATCCATTTTATTTTTTTCTGTTTTGTTTTGTATGTCATCATCAATCGTTGGCACCTTGTTGTTGTTGTCCACAGTTGATCACAATTGGCTCTGGAATCAAACGGAGGATTTTGGCCAATTTTTAAAAAGATGAACAAGTTTTCTTTCCATTTTGTTGTTGTTATCAATAAATTTCACATCGACATACTTTCCATTTTCAACGTTATTAATTATTCATTTCATTTGATTAATGAATCTATGGATTTATTAGTTTGAAAAATTTGATTTTTTTCCATCATCATCCAAATGATTCCTATGTGAACTACAGCAAAATTTGATTTTTTCTTTCTTTTCGCAAAAATTGAATAGAAAAACAATAATAATCTCATCTCATTGATAATTAATTTTTTTCGATGTTTTTTTTTTTTTGAATGAGAAAAACATTTTACACATCCAAAATGTTTTTTCTTCCTTGATTCGTTCATTTCAAACAGATTAAATCAATTAATCTAATAAATAACATCATAAACACACACACACACACAGCATCGAAATCGTGTATTGAATTGATAATTTTTCCTGTGAAAAAAAGCAAATTTTACTTGTTTTTTACCTTTTACCTGTCTTGCCTTTTACCTGACTTTTTTTCAATCTTTGATTTATATAACACATTTTCAAATCAATTTTGTTTTCGTTTTTTTTTAAAATTCAATTTAAACTTTGTTGTTGTTGTTTGTTGTTCCATTTTTTCTTCTTCGAAAAACAACAACAACAAAAAGATTTTTTTTTCTTTTTGATTGATAAATCTGTTGTCTTTCTCTGTGAACAATATCAGTAGAAAATTCTTAAGAAATGTCCACATTATTTAATGAGAAATTTAAATAATGGATTACATTTCTTTTCAAGGTATTCACTCTCTCTCTCTCTCTCATACGCACACACACGCAAAAGGTTAACAAGTTTTTCTGATGACAATTTTCGTCGTTGTTGTTGTGACTGTCTGTCTGTCATCATGATGTAAACTTTCACCGAATTTGATGGCAGAAAAATGATGACAGACATAGATTGGAAAAAAATAGATTTTGTTTTTCTTTGGTTATTTTATGGCTGAATTTTGTCTTTTTTTTTGTCAAAATGTGGTGTAAAAGGGTTATTTTTAGACCCGAAAATTTATAGATCAGAATTTTTGTTTTTTTCTTTTTTTGGGAGAAAATAATCATCTGAATCATCTGATTGTCAATTGTATTCTCCCCTTTTTCGAATGAAAAATCTTATTTTATCAACCTCATCATCATTCAATGATGATGATGGTAAAATCAAAAAATGGCAAACGTCAACGCCTTGTCGTTGTTTTCGGCTATTTCGACAAATATGTCATCGATGTTTTGTTGTCAAAATCCATCTATCATATCAAAACAAAAAAAAAGGAAAAAAAAATCAATCGAAATCATGTTTGGGTGTGTGTGTGTGTGTGTGTGTGTTATGCAACAACAACATTAACATCGGAATAAATGAAATCTTTTTGTTTCAGAAAATACAAAAAAAAGCATTTGATTGACCGTTGATTGCCTGTATCTTGAAAGTAACTTTGCACTAAATTATCATTGTCGAAGGAAAAACAACAATAAAATGATCGAATTTGAATGAGAATATCAAGATGAAAAAAAGTTTTGTTGGAAAAAAAACATGTGATTTGTTTGCATTTTGGATCAAAAAAAAAAAAAATTTTTAATGAATGATTTTTTCTGAAATGAAAAAATCCAATTTATTTTCATTAATTAGTGATCCGTGTGATGAATGTTGATGTCATCGAAAATGGATTGATCAAAAATCAGTGGCTATTTTGCTGGGAAAAAAGCAAGGAAAATCAACAACAAATTAAAAATTTTGTTAACACTTTGGACACTTTTCTTTGGGTGCAATTTTGCTGAAAAAGAAGAAAAAACAACAACATAACAACTTTGTTTGAATGGATGTAAAAAAGACAAAAACAAAATGATGATGAAAGGAATTTGAACATTGAAATTTCATAAGATTATGTAATAATAATTGTAATTATAATTTCTTAATTTAGTTTGTTTTTCAAATTGTGTAGAGATAGATTAACATATTAATTGTTAAAGTATCAACAACTTGTTGTTGAATCACATCATCATTAAATGATGATTATGTTTGTTGTTCCATCAATGTTTGTTCTTTGTATTTTCAAATTCAATAATTTTTTTCTTGATTCAAATATCATTGTTTCTCTCTGTAAACGTTTTAAGCATATAAAAAATTATACAAAAAAAAACATTGCTCAATCATCAATGGATTCAACCACTAAGGTTATTTCATTCATCTAATTCAGGTTTTTTTTACAGAGAGAGAATATCGAATGGAAAGAAACAAACAAACAGATTCGATTGATATTTTTTTTTCCAAAATAATAGATTTGCTTTACATTCGATGATGATGATGATGATGAAACTAAATTTGATGATTGTTTTGGATTCATATTTCGTTATGCTTTTCTTGTTGTTGTTGTTCTGGTCTGATCACGATTTTCATTCGTTTCAGAAATTCAAGAAAGATTTTAGAAATGAATTTGTTCAGGTTCAACTAACTACTACTACTACTGTTGTTTGTTTGTTTGTTTGGTTAATTTGAATTCAAATTTTTTCTTTAAAAAAAAACAAAATTTCAATGTCGTGAATTTTGTTTTCTTCTTTGTTTCGATGATGATGATCATCATTTGATGATCGAAAAAATCAAACAAACATCCATTTCACTCCCCATTTGAAATTGATATTAATCGGTTTTTTCTGTTTTTTCGTTTGTTTTGTTGTTTGTAGGGTGATCCGGTTTGGTTTGATGATGGTATCAATGAAACATTAACACCAGGAATCGTACATAATGATTGTTCTGATTCAAATCAAATAATTATTGTACATAGTACAATTCCAGGTGATCAGGTAAATGATTTTTTTGCTTTTTTCTTTTTTGAATCGCTTCATATAAATTGATTATTATTTAACCCTTCCTTCTTCTTCTTCTTCTTATTTCTTACCCCACCCGTACAAAAAAAAAAACAAGACAAAAGAATATAATGTACAGAATACACCGAAAACCATTCAAAAACGTTTGGATTTTTTACCAAATATTAATAATCAAAATAATGGTGAAGATGGTATTGATGATATGATTAATTTAAAGTAAGTATTTCTTTCTTTTTCTCTCATTGAACAATTATTATTGATTCATTCGATCTGTGTGTATGTGATCGATCAATTGTTTCGTGATCTGCTCGATAATCAGTCACGATATTATTTTTTTCTTGGTTTCTGTTTTAATTTGCCCCTTTAATTTCAAAAACAAAAAATTTCGCATAAACATGATTTCTTCAGTAAAAAAATCAACTTTTAAAAAGTTTTTTTTTAAATAAAATAATTAGATTATAAAGTAGTATCAAATATCTAAACATCCATGTAAAAACATTATAAAAAAGAATGAAACAAAGTTACAAAAATGATTTAATCCATTCGAAATACAGCGATTATCCTCCGCTATACGATTCGATTGCAATACCGTAATTTTTTGTTTTTGTTTTGTTTCCCATTGATTATCATCATCATGATTATCATATCATTTAAATTGAATTATAAAGCAGAAATCAATTTGCATTTGCATCTTCCTTACCGACACACACACACAATTTGTTCATTTGGAAGGGAAAGATAGAAAAGGATGTTGTATTTATTTCATTGAAGAAATTAAAAATCAAAAACTGATTTGCTGACTGAATAATTTATCAACACAAACCGTTTAGAAACTCAAATTCAAACAGTCATAATAACAACTGACCGTCCACAAACAAGTAATGTTATGATTCGTTAGTTATGTAATAAGTATTACAAAAAAAAATACCTTTATAATGATGATGATGATAATCAAATCAAAAAGAGATTTTCATCATTTCCTGATGTGTGTGTGTGGATCAACAGGTAAATTGAATGGAAAAAGTTTTTTTTGTTCATTCAAATATAGTCAAGTTAAATAGGATTGATTGATTGAAATGTCTAAACAACAAAACGAAAAATATGTCGACAATGATAAAGATTTTTTTTTCTTCATTCAAAATTCATCCATCCTATATAATAGTTATTAAATGGGTTTATTTTGGTTGAATTTGTAAAGTTTTCAAAGTTTTTCTCACACACCAACAAGTGTGTGTGTGTGTTTTAAAAGACTGTTGTAATTTCTGATTGATTGATTGATTTCTTGATTGGATAATAAAATGGAAAATATTTGCGAAAAAAATTTAGAAAATGTTTGGTCGGTTGTTTATCGGTAAACAATCAATAAAAGTAGATGTGAAAAAGTCAAAAAGTCAGAAAAATACCTGGGAGAAACAAAAATTTCGCATTTTACTTCACTATATCGGATATCCGTTTCTATTTATAAACAATTTATAGACGTTCGTTCTTTCTCGTCGTCCAAACATATCAATCATATTCATAGATTTTTTTCTCTCTTTCGACTTATGTAATCGATATATTGATGATTTGACTATAATGTTTTTATCTAATTAATGAATTTATCTTTTTCTCTTTACCTAAAAAAATCCTTTTCAAATTTCAGTGATTTACATGAATCAGCTTTATTCTGGAATCTTAAAAAACGATATGAGCGTAACAAAATCTATGTAAGTTTTTCTATTCTTTGAGTTTTTTCCTTTTAATAATTTTTTGAAATACTTTTTTTTTAGACATTTATCGGTGATATTCTTATATCATTAAATCCATATAAAATGTTTGAAATTTATGGTCTAAATATTGTTAAAAAATATCAAAATTATAATAATAATTATCAATTTTTTTATCAACAACAACAACAACGTTTATCACAGCCACCGTATGTAGTTTTTCGTTATTAACTTTCATTCAACAAAAGTGTGGGGGCTTGACTAATTTCATTTTATTATTTTCATTCTCTTCATTTCCAGACATTTATTTAAAATTGGTGATTTAGCATATCAAAAATTACTGAAAGATAATCAAAGCCAAAGCATTTTAATATGGTTTGTTAAACTTATGAAACATTAAATTTGATTTGTCTAACATGTTTTCTTATTTTCCATTCAATTTTCAATTTTCAAGCGGTGAAAGCGGTTCAGGAAAAACAGAAAATACAAAATTATTATTACAATATTTTGCTGCTATTAATAAATCACCATCAAATATAATAACTGAACAGATTTTAGAATCAATACCATTATTGGAAACATTTGGTAATGCAAAAACAATACTGAATAATAATGCAAGTCGTTATTGTAAATATATTGAAATCTATTTTAACAAGTAAGTAGTATTTGCTATCTAACAATAACAACTGATGATAATTACAATTCAATCAAATTCAATTTCAATTGTTTCCGTATTTTTTCTATTTCTATTTCTATCCCCAACAACAAAAATAGTAATAACGGTATTATTAGTGGTGCTCGTACAATTGAATTTTTACATGAAAAATCACGAATCGTTTCACATAATCAAAATGAACGTAATTTTCATATTTTCTATGAATTATTAGCCGGTTTAAATGATTTGGAAAAAGAAAAATATGGTCTACAAACAGCGGAAAAATATTTTTATCTTAATCAAGGAAATTGTATTGAAATTGATGGAAAAGATGATTCAGAAGATTTTCGTTTTTTAATTGGTGCTATGCAAGTTTTAGGTTTTACCAATGAAGAACAGGATATAATATTTCGTATATTATCATCCATTCTACATTTAGGTAATGTTTATTTTCATCGTAAACAATTTCGTCATGGACAAGAAGGTGTTGAAATTGGTAGTGATGCTGAAATTCAATGGATATCACATCTATTACATATACCTATTGAAGATTTATTCAGAATATTAACATTGAAAATAACTGAAACACGAACTGAAACAATTCATACACCATTAAATATTGATCAAGCATTAGATATTCGTGATGCTATATCAAAATTATTATATATGAGTCTGTTTACATGGCTTGTACATCGTATCAATCATATTGTTTATAAAAGTGGACTATCTTCAAGACGGCCAAAAATAGCCGTACTTGATATGTTTGGTTTTGAAAATCTAAAAGAAAATAATAGTTTTGAACAATTATGTATAAATTATGCAAATGAAATGATGTTCAATTATTATATTAAATGTATATTTAAATTAGAACAAGCTGAATATATGAAGGAAAAAATTGAATGGAAAAATATTGATTATCCGGATAATCAATCAATTATCAATTTAATTTCAAAAAAACCTATTGGAATATTATCATTATTAGAAGATGAAAGTAATTTTCCAAAAGCAAGTGATAATTCATTTTTAGAAAAATGTCATTATAATCATGCATTAAATGATATATATAGTCGTGCTAGAATGAATACATTAGAATTTGGTATTAAACATTTTGAATCGCAAGTTTGGTATAATGTTGAAGGTTTTCTAGAAAAAAATCGTAATATTTTAAAAATCGATATTGTTGATCTATTTCAATCAACTAAAATGCCAATTATGAATAAAATTTTTTATTATTCACGTGAATTAACCGATAATGGACATCGACAATCGCAACAACGTATTGATGGTAGATTTACTACAATGAAACCACGTGCACCAACTGTATCGGCACGTTTTCAAGAATCATTAGCCAATCTATTTGATACTGTTTCACAAACAAATCCATGGTTTATTCGTTGCGTTCGACCGAATAATAATCGTGAACCAATGAAATTTGATGATAAAATTGTTTTTGCACAAATCAAACAATCCGCATTATTGGAAACAATAAATGTTCGCAAAGATGGTTATCCAGTACGAATGAAATATACACAATTTGTATCACGTTATCATATTTTTATAAATACTAGTCAATTACCAAGAGGTACACCATCAAAAGAGATAACTCGATTGATTATTGAAAAATATTTGACAAACGATAATAATGGTTATCGATTAGGATTTTCGAAAATATTTCTTAAAGAATCAACTGAAACTATATTGGAAAAAGAACGATATCGGATAATGATAAAAGCTGTTTCAAAAATTCAAGCTTATATTCGTGGTTATCTGGCTAGACATCGTTATCATAATATGAAACATAGTGCCGTACATATTCAACGTGCTTATCGTGGTTATATACAACGTCGTAATTATCAAACATTAAAACGTGGTATGGTACGTTTACAGGCTACATTTCGTGCTAGACAACAACGAAAAGAATTTGAACAATTTCGTACAACATTAAAACATGAAAAAGAAAGAAAATTTATTGAAAATAAAGCTAAAAAAAATAATAATTTATCATCATCAACATCGAAACAGTCGAATGGTGGTCATTCCAATTCAACAAATGGTGGTGGCGCTGATGATGATGGTAATGGTACATTTAATGATCAAAATTTTCATGATCCAGAATTAGCCAATTTAATGGATAATTTAGAACAATGGAAATGTATTCATCAATATGGTGATATTATTAAACAGATAAAAGCTGTTATACCATCAAAACAACCAAATAAACTACCAAATGATATTGATCATCATTCATTTGCAAAATTTACAAATATTTATTTTCGTTCACAACAATGGCAAGCTAAACAACAACCGATTAAAACACCATTTTTACAGAAAAATTCGGAAAAAGATTTTCATGAATCCATTTCGGTATTTAATTTAATATTAAAATTTCAATATGATCAAGAATTATCAGGGAAAAAAGAAAAACTTTTGGCCGATTATATTGTACAAAAAGGTCTGACAAATTTAAATTTACGTGATGAAATTCTTTGTCAATTATGTAATCAAACATGGCAAAATGATAATATTGATTCATGTGATCGTGCATGGACATTAATGATATATTGTCTTAGTTCATTTTCACCAAGTCCATTACTTTATAAATATTTACTGAAATATGTTTCGGATCATGCACCAAATTTAATTCGTCCAATTCTACAACGATTATTATTAACAAATAATCATTATGAACAATATAATTGTCGAGCTTATCCACCATCACTATTAGAATGGAAAGCAATTTCGAAAAATTGTGGTACATCTATCGAAGTTAATATGGCTAATGGTGATCAAAAACTTTGTCAAATTGATTCATGGAGTACAGCCGAACAAGTTACTACTGAATTATTAAAATCTATTGGTTTTCAAAACAATCACAATGGTTGGAGTATTGATTTTGAAGATAATTTTGGTGATATTTATTCATTAAATGGTGATGATTATATTTTAGATATGATATCACAAATAGAATTATTACCACAATTTCCATCATCAATAAATTATTTTATTGGTTGTAGTAGTCAAACAAGATTGTTAATGATGAATGGTACAAAAAATATGCATATCCATTCAGCACATAATCCTGATCTAATTAATAAATTTAATGTACGTGAAATTATTGAACAAAATTATGAAAATAAATTACCAAATAAACAATCTCATCATCATCATCATCATAATCAACATTTGTTTTTAAAATCAAATGTACAACGACAATTGAATCAAAAATTACTTCGTTCAATGTCAGGTGAAACATTATTACGTACCGATAATGATGATGATAGAATTGGTTTTGGTTTAGCTGTTCATAGTAAACTGAATGAACGTTATTTAAAGAATGCAAGTTCATTTGCAACATTTACACATTTGATTGAAGAAGAATCAACCGCAACTGCATTGGATCAACACGAAAATGAACAAAAATTAAAATTATCGGAAAAAAGTCGTCTAAATCAACGATATATATCGAATTTGAATCAAAAATCACCAATATCAATGGATATGAAAAAATCAAAAGAATTTCGTAATAATCGTAAAAATCTTTATACACGTAAAGGTGATAAACAATCATCATCTTCGGATAAATTACTTAAACAACGTTCAATATCAATGCAAGAATTAGGTTTAGCTGCAAATTCAAATCTAAATATCCGGTATTTTTCCAGAGATAAATTACATAAAACAGCATCACTTACAGGTGGTAGTGATAATGAAGATTCCGATTCATTTCAAAATCAACCAGTACAACTACATTCATTAATGAATTTTCGTGAACCAAATTCTTCACCAGTTTTTGAAAATGGTAAATCTTCGGCGCGTAAAAATAATCATCATCAACGACAATCACAACAAACAAAAGATCCATTACCTGCACATCGTAAATCACCACATGTTATTCGACCAGATTCCTCTACAACAACAACAACATCATCATCATTTGAATCAGATTCATCATCATCATGTTTAAATGATACTGAATCACAAATATGTTCGGATAATAATAATATTAAACAAGAAAATCATAAACGTTATAAAAAATATTCACAAAAACAATCCTCATCATCAGGTTTATCAAAAAGTCAACAATTTTTATCATCATCAACGACAACAAATTCAAATCGTTATAAAGAAACAGGTATATCGGCTGCAATGTCCGATACATCTGAAACACCATCATTAGCATCACATATACGTCATATTGGTATACCATCACATCAATCAGAATTAGATCAATATTTGGATGATCTTTTTAATCCAGTTTTGGATGCACAATTAGATGATGCAATGAGTGATGCTCGATCATTAGCACAATCAATAAAAGGTGGTGCTAATGAAGTTGAGGTTAGTTTACATTTTTACCTAATATGATTTTCATATTTTAATTTTTTTTATTTATAGCAACATCAAAATTCAACACGAATAAGTTTACCAACACAAATTGATCATTCACAAACAGATAATACAAATAATTTATCAAATAGTCAATTACAATTGAATACAATAGCATCATTGAATGGACAGATTGTTGATCCAAATATTCTGCAACAACAAGTTATACAACAACAAATGTATCAAATGCAACAACGTGCATTTCTTGCATCATCATTACAACAAAATCTTGAAATACAAAAACAATTATTACAACAAAATCAACAATTACAACAATTATTAGCACAAACGGTTAGTTCACCATCAACACCTTCGTTAAATGGACAGGATCCATTATTAATGCCACGTAGTACAAGTATGTCATCATTAGCATATCCATTATCTTCATTATCGCCAATATTTCCAATGCAAGCACAATCGACAACCGATTTACCGAATGCATCTAACAATAATAATATGATGCGTCAAGATCGTGCCAAATCCGAAAAACCATCATCATCATCCAATGTTAAATCATTAATTAACAATGACCTAAACATTAAACAAACATCATCATCGACAAATGGTACAAGCATAAAAATTTTACCGATTCCACCACCGCCACCACCACCACCTGCTTCACCAGGAACCGATGTATTTGGTCGTGCTAAAACTGTTCGTATTGGTAAATGGCGTTGGCCACCACCATCCGAACAAAATCAACAATCCGGATCAAATTTTATTGAATTTAAACGTAAAAAACAAATAGAAAAACAATGTAATAATAATGATAATAATAATAATGGTAAAAATGAACGAAGTAGTAGTGAATCTAATGATATAATACGATCAAATGAATCAGAACATTCAAATCAAAATGATAATAATAATGGTTCACAGAATAACAACATTAACAATCAACAACAAATGAAAAATGTTATTATGGGTGTTAATAAAACATCCAGTCATAACAATAATAATGAAAATAAACAAAATTCAAATAATAAAATAACATCCGAACAAAATTTAATACAAAAAGAATTAGTTACAAGAAAATATAGTGATAATCAACAACAACAACAACAACAAATACCTGGTAGTATTGGTAAATTACGTATTAGTGTTGAAATGCGTGCCAAGCTTGAACAATTGACCATTGATCAAAGTGTACGAAGTTCACGTAAAGATAATAAAAAAGGTGTTATACAAAGTCAAAGTATGGATGATTTAGCTAATATGGTTTCAGTAAAAAAATTAAGTGAACAACGTAAAGCATTACTTGAAAGACAATTGATGGGTTCATTACGTAATAATAATGGTCCACAAACATCATTTATGGAGACTACTAGTACACCAAATATTAAACAATCTGTTGATAATATTGTTGGTTTACATACGAATAATAATAATAATGTTGTGATAGATCCACAACAGCCATCATTACCATTATCGACACAGAATTGCCAACAACAACAACAAACATCGGATAATGTTAGTTTAGTTAGTTCGAATTATGAATCATCAAATGTAAAAAAATTTATTAAAAATCATCAAAATCCACATCGTCATTCACCGAATCAATTGCTACGGAAAAGTGGTAGTCGTGAATTTCGTGAACGACGTGAAGAATTAGGTCCATTTAATCGATTTTCCACTGGTTCACAACAATCATCATCAATAGATAGACCAATGTTTACACCGGATCGTTATTTTAAAGATGATTTTCATAGTGAAGATGGTTGTATAGGTGGTGGTGGTGGTGGTGGCCGTCATTCATCAACATCTACTGAACGTCATTCTTATGGTCATCATCATCATCTATCACCAAAACGAAATTCTTCGATGCAACCAAATCATCCACCCCCACCGCCATCATCATTGGATATGCAATCCGATGGTCATGTGATCAATGGACATCGTAATAATAATAGTAATCATCATCATAGTTCAATAAATTCATTGATTTCAGCCGATAAAAAACATCATCGTCAACCACAACCGGGAGGATTTTCATACACTGCAATGGATACACCAGATGGTGATATGATTGGTGGCAACCAATCATCATCAATTCAAAAAATTTCTTCCGAAAAAAATAATCATTTTGATTCATCAACATTAACACGTGATGATCATGAAAAGAAAATCAAAACAAAATTATTTCTTAAAAATGAAATTAATTTTTATGCATATTCAAAATGTAAATTTCGTTTAAAAATGCGTAAAGAAATGTTTACACCAAGTGAAACGATTGAAAATCCAATATTATTGGATTTAATATTTTGGCAAATAGTTAATGATGTTTATCAAACGAATTGCATTCGATTAAATGATAATGAATGTCAACAATTACAAAAATTATTAAAATCCGAAGGCATACATAGTTATAATCCAAATGTTTATAGTGCAAAACAACAATTTAAACGTTCAGTTATTGAATGTGCAAAAGAATTTCCAAGTTATTTTTGTCGATTATATTCAGTTAATGGTGGTAAAACATTATCAAATGTTGATTATTTTGGTATATCACATTCATCTGTTTATCTATTTAAACGTGAAAAAAATTCTACAATCAATATTAATTCAAAACATGATGATTATCTTTCAATTGTTGAAAAATTTAGCTATGATGATATTCAAGAAATCCTGATACCAAATAATTGTACATTTCAAATATTTTTAAATAATACTGATCAATGGATTACACTGTATTCAAACAAGGTATGTGTTGTTTTTCATTTCAAAAATTCCTAACATTTTTTTTTTTTTAAATCCAAATTGAAATCATGCAATTTTGTTTCTCTTCTGATTTCTCTTGATTTATGCAATGAAAAGGCATTACAAATACGTAATATATTGGAAAAATTTATCAATGAATATCAACAAACAAATGTTGAATTTGTTCGTGCTATAAAAGATTGTCAAAATCATCAAGAACCATCAATGCTTTCATTTCGTAAGGATATGATCATTCGTGTTGTTCGTAATAAACATCTTCAACTTGCTAAAGGTATGGTTTGTTTTTATTTGAAAAAATTCTTCTTTTTACAAAAAACTTTTTGAAATGAAATTGAAAATAAGCCAAGTTAATTTTGGTTTGGTTTTTTCCTGTGTTGGTTGATTTTTGTTTCAATTTTTGTTTTTTCGCTTTGAAAAGAAAACCAATTTGGTTTTTCAATTCAGGAAGTTTTGTATTCACATTCACTACAGCATACCTGTGTGAAAAAGCTGAAAATTATTATTATGTTTGTTTGACAGAAAGGCAAGACTTGCTTTTTTCTGGAAAAAAAATTTGATGATTTTGTCCTGTGTGTGTGTGGTGTGCATACATAATACGCCTACACTCACTAACCATCAATGATTTTGAAACGGACACACTTGCATTGACACATCATTAGCTCGTTCGTAAAAAAAAGCTTGCCCATTTCTTTTTCTTTGCTTTTTTCGTTCATTAAATGTATGTCATTTTTAGCTATATTTTTAGTTTGTTTTTTGTTTGTTAAACAAAAAAAAATTGTTTCATTTTGGCAAATATTTTTTTTGTTACACTAAATTGAAACGATAGGATTGTTTTAGGAATCCTGGATTGAATCCAACCAAAAGATATTGATGATGATGATGATGATCACCATCATTAGAAAGAAAAAAATGCTTTTGTTTTATTGCCAATTCTTTTTGTCATTTGATGAAATTGGCCACTTTTTTTTCATTAGTCATCACCATGAAGAAAATATATTAGCTATTCGGGTTTAGCCGCCTACGACACAACTCTACTATTTTGTCAATCGAAGAATTTTTCTTTCTTGAATCCATTGATGATAAACATTTGTTGCGCATTTGGTTGTTGCATTCATTCATTTCATTCATTTTATTACATTTCATTGAGAAATCATTTCATTTCTCAACCAAATATTTATTAAATAGTAATTAAAATGAAGGAGAAAAGAAAAACCAACCAAACCGAATTGAATGAGAATTTCTCAAAATTGTGGACATAGTTAGTTCAGTAGTAATATCAAAAAACTGAACTATTTATTCAACCATCCATAAAAATTGGTGATTATTAGTTAGTTGTTTATGTGTGTGTAAGTAAGTTTTTTCCATTGATAAAGAATGTTGTTGATTTGGTTGGTTGTTTAAAGAAAGAAAGAAAAAAAAATGGTTTTAATGATGATGATGATGTAGTTGTTCGTAAATGAATTGTGGGAGTCAATTGAACAAATTGTCACTTTGTCCACCATAATTTTCTGTTTATTTTTGATCCATTTGGATCAGATTTTTCATTTTGGATTTTTGTTTTCGTACTGACCATCATCATAATAATCATTGTTTCGCTATAGCAAAACAATGATTATATATAGAGAGATTTTCGCTTGGCCAGATTTTCATATATATGCTTTTTTCCACCATATTTTGTGTTGATAATTTTTTCCTTCGTTTTCTTATTTTTCTCTTTTTTTGTCAAATATTTTTCTCTTTTAAGATTTTCTGGAGAAAAAAACTTTTCACTGTGTAACGAGTTGAATTGAATTGAAATGAAATGACAGATTTCCTTTTTGTCGCATGTTTTCACTTCACTTCACTTTGTTGTCGTCAAACATATTATATTAGAATATCGTACGTTTAGTTTATTAAAAGGTAGCTCATCATCGTTTGTGTGTCCAGTTTGTGTGTATTTGATGATAATCCTTATTGAATTGGTCATCTTTGTCTGGTTTTTCTCCAATTCATTCTTCTGTCAATCAACAACAACATTTTGTTTTCAAAAGAAAACTTTATCAATTTGATGACAATCTCTGTGTGTTAGCGACATCATTCCTTCCTTTCATTCATTCAATCAATCAATCTAATCTCATGTTTTTATTATTGGTGGTGGTGGTGGTGGTCTATCCACATTTTATGTCATCTTTTTAAATGAAAATTGTATGTATCTTCTTCATCATCATCATCATTAACGATAGCAAATTATTATCTTTCATTTCAAATTTTGGACATTTTTTTATTTTGGATTTTTTGCTTTTACTAGCCATGTTATCGTTGAAAACAAATTAGAAAGTTTTGTGCACGATTTTTTTTCCGATCCCCACCAATATTGTTGATGAATTTTTTTTTCATTTTCAAATTTCGTTTTCATTTCAATTTATTTCGTTGATGCTTTTTTCATTTTATCGTCGTAGTCAAATTTTCCAAATGATTTTTCGCTGAGTGAAATGAAATTTCTTTTTTAAAAAAAATTTTTGAAATAATTTATCATTTGAAAATGTTGATGATGATGATGGAAAAAATCATACTTCATCACATCGTTATTCATTTTTGGCATCACAGATTTTTACATGCGACTCGTTTGTTTTAACCGATTTTGATCAAATAATTTCGTAATCTCATCCTTATCAATTTTGTTTTTCGGGTAAAATTAAATCCACGGTGACCTGTGTCGGATGATGATGGTAGCCTAGGAGCTTTGCTCTTTGATTTTTTTAAATGTTTTTTCCCATTCAATCATTCATTTAGTCAACAGGTTATTTTTGATTTTTTAATTTTTGGTGTGCTGTATGTGATTGATTTTCAAGCAAAATAATATTTTTCCGGTTTCGTTTCCGTGTTAGTGTGTGTGTTTGGTGTTTGGTGTTGAAACAAAAATCTTAAAGAAAATTTTTTCTTTCTTTCCCAAAAAAATTTTTTTTGGATTCAAATTAGGCTGGGCATTCGGTGTACTTGAATTCGGTGAAAGTGGTCTATTTCAATTATCAAACGTTATACCATTAACACAACAACAAATTCAAACATATCAATTAAGTCGTAATTATCAACAACAATATCATCAAATGGTAAGTTTTCTTTTTGTTGCATTTTTCCCCCTTTGAAATATTGTTGTTATAACTTTTTCAATTTTTCATTTATAAAGGATGAAGATTCATTTCGTAATAATGTTCATAATCGATTATCATCATTAGATTCTACAATGATTAATGGTAATGGTAATATTGGTAATGGTAATGGTCATCATCATTTTAATGGTAGTAAAGAAGATGGTCATTCATCAATGAATACTGCAACAACAACAACAATGATGATGAATGGTGGCTATAATAATCATCATAATCATAATGAACTTAATAGTTTATGGATTGAACATAGAGCGGTCAGTAGTTGTTATTTCATCATTTTGCTCTTAATTTTGAAAAAATCTTTCATTTTCCATAATGTAAATAGGATCAATTTGATGAAGAAAATGTTGGAAATATTAAAAACGGTGGTGTTATCAATGGTAATGGTGATTCAACACCCAATATGGGAACAATATCATTAAATGGTGATACAAATGGAAATTTTTCATTATTACAATTTGCATTGTTTAATTTTCGTGAAAGTCTTAATAAGTATGTGATTTCTGATCTGATTGATTCAAATGATTCTTATTGATTTTTTCTTTCTTCTTTCCTCACAACAACATCAACAACAATAATAACATAGATATGATCTACGTGGCCATCTAAAAGATAATAATAATTCAATTCGTGGTTCAATAAAATTAATTGAAAATTTAAAATCAAAACGTAATTCAAAAATTAAAAATAAAAATGGTACCGATTCAACTAATGATTGGACATGGAGTGAATTTGCTAATCTGGTCAAATATTCAAAAGTAAATATAACACCTGTTGTTTTTTTTTTTGAAAACAACAACAACCAAAAATAAAAATGCTAATTTTTCTTTCACTTTTTTTCCCATTATCATTATCATCATTTAGACACCGATTCAATCATCATTATTAATGTTACCAAATGAATTGAATAAAGTTTCTGTTGAATGTTTTTCAGGTAAGGATTTCTTATTTTTCTGCCCATTTACCGCCACTGTTAACCTGTTGCATATATGCAACCAAATCTAAATGAATGATCACCCTGCAGGTAATGATTTACCAAACTATAATTATAAAAAAAACTACAATGAGAATCAACTTACTTAGAGTAAAATAATATTATCAATCATATCTAGAGCATTTGACATGCTTCAGGTTTTTTTTTCTGGATGTTCATTCATTTGTGATGATTCGTTTGTTTGTTTGTTTGTTTCGCCAAACATGTTGATTGTCATTTTTTTTTATTCATTCATTTTTTGTTTCATTCATTTAAATTCATAGCAATCATGCGTTATATGGGAGATTTATCAATGTTAAAAAATCAGAATGAAGTTGATTGTGTTTATACGATACTTTTGGTAAGTTTTTTTTTTTGTTTTGTTTTGTTGACAATATTTGGGTCACCCGGTTTTTTAAATAATTTTTTTTTCGTTGTAATTTCTGTTCAACAGAATTGTCATCGTTATCCACCGATTCGTGATGAAGTTTATTGTCAATTAATGAAACAAACAACAAGTAATAAAAGTCCAAAACTGTAAGTGTTAATGATGATGGTAGTAGTAAATGGTTAATAATTATTTATCATCCATTTTTTTTGCAAAAATTTGCAGTGATAGCTGTCAACGAGGTTGGAGATTATTTTCAATAATTGCAGCATATTTTGATTGTTCCGAAACATTACGACCATATTTATTTAAATATCTTGAAACAGCTGCATATGATAAACGTCGTGCATTTCATGTTACAGCAAATATAACGTTAAAAAATCTAAAGAAAACATTTAAATTTGGTGGTAGAAAAAATGTACCAAGTATTGAAGAAATTGCAGCCATATCGGCTGGTCGTACATCAAAAAGACAAATGTATCGTCTTCCTGGTGGTACTGAACGTATTTTAAGTACATCATGTACAACAGTTGTTAATGATATTATTGAAGAAATTTGTTTAATGTTAAATGTAACAAATTCATTAGAAATGGAAGAATTTTCACTTTATTGTATTATTGAAGGTGATCCATATACAATGCCATTAAATAGAGATGAATATATATTGGATGTAACAACTGAATTATTAAAAAATGGTCAATTATTTTATCTAATATTTTGTCGTTCAGTTTGGTATTATCCATTAAGATTGGATAGTCATCTTTATATTGAAGTTGTATTCAATCAAGTAGCACCTGATTATTTAGAAGGTTTACTTATACAAATACCAGATGAAAAATTATCCGATGATTTTGTTCAACAAATTGCTCGTATTGCATCATTATTACATCGTGCTGCCGAACTGGAACAAATGCCAACCAAAGATGAGATAAAATATTTATTACCTAAACCTGTTTTAGCATTACGAATAATAAAACCAATACAATGGGTTGAAATGGTACAAAATCATTGGAATGATATGTCAGCATTATCACCGATTGAAGCAAAAGCACAATGTTTAGATATTTTACAAAAATGGCCATTATTTGGTTCTTGTTTTTTTGCTGTCAAAGTAATTATTCTTTAATCTACTGGCACTAAATTTATTAACTGTTTGTTTTTCTTATAATTTTCAGCGAATTCAAAACGATTTTCACACACATTTGGATCATATTTTAGCGCTGAATAAAGATGGTGTTCATTTTCTTGATATGTCAACACATGTAAGTTATTATCAATTTTCAAATTTTTTTTAATTCTCAACCCTTTCATTCCCTAATAGGAAAAAGTTTGGCATCATCCATTTGCTGAAGTAATCTCTACCAGGAAAGTTCGTTCCGAAGATGGTACATTATATTTAGATATGAAATGTGGTAATTTAATGGTACAGAAAATTACAAGAATTCAAACCGATCAGGTAATGATTATTCAACGGATTATTTTTTACAATATTGATTTTTGATTATTGTTTTTTTTATAAATCAATAGGCACATGAAATATCACGCCTAATCAGTCAATATATTGAAATTGAACAACATTTTAAAAACGGAAGAAGTTCATCACAACAACAACAAATGAATGGAAAAATCGAAGAAGATCAATCATTAAGTGATCAATCAACTTGATTTATAAGGAAAACATAGTTTTTTTCAAACAAATTGTGAATACAATTTGAATATAAGTGCCATACAGTTTTTGTTCGACGTTGACATTATCAATCACCATAATTGATCGATGTTCGATACTATCGATGATCGATGATAAATCGAATAATAATCAAAGCGGGAAAAAAATTTTTTTGATGATTTTTTTTTCTTTTTCCTGAAACTATTGCTGGGCCAAGGTGATTTGGCTATTTTATTCCTATAACAATCATCATCATCATTCCATATGGTCATACCTGATTTTCCTCAAACACACACAACTTTTTTTTCTCCTCTATTTTATCATGTATTTTTTGTTCCATCATCATTTTTTTCTTTTTTGAAAGTTTTTCTTCCAAATGCTTCTCAAATCATTAATCGTTAACAACAATGTTGCCATTGATTGACAGAAGCATTTAAAGGCCAATTTTGCCCAATCATATTTTTTTTGTACAAACATTTTCATTTCATTTCATTTCGTTGATTATTTTCATTATTTTTTTTTCCATATTGATGGTATTCATCATCATCAACATTTCAATTGAAGTTCAAAATAAATAAAAAATTTCACAATTCTTTTTCATGCGTTTTTTGTTAAAAAAAATACAAATCCATTGTGTTTTTTGGATAGCTTGCAATAACCGTTTATCTCTCTCTCTCTTTTCACAGAAACACTATAGGTTAATTTGCTGCTGCTTATGATAATGATAATGATAATGGTAATGATCATCGCATCGGTCATTCATCATCATCAAGGTTACCGTTTTTTCATCCACGTTTAAAGCTTGAAAAGATAAATAGGATTATTAAAAAAAAATCCAAAATTTTATCAACGAGAAACAATAAAGTATTCTCTGAATCTATTCCAAAAGCCATTTTCCAACTATTTAATAATCTATCGATCTGTAATGATTGTTTATCAGAAAACTGGCATTTAGATATGTAAGGATGTGTAAATCCTTGATTGTCTACGTGGAAGGTTTATTCATGGCTTGATAACAAGTTTTATGCTGACTTGGTTTAATGGTTCTGATAAGGTGATAAAAATCATCGCCTGATTTAGTGATTTAGCTTATTCAGCTAATCATTCGTACATTGCTTAACTCATCAATAATTGTCACACGTTGTTTTGTATTTAAACACATTGAATTATCCTTGTTCGACATGACGGTGTTCAGAAGCCTCATCAACATGATGGTGCCTAGACACAATCACCTCATCCGCATGCTGGTACATCTCATGCATGTTGTAATTTGTTATTGTTTTTATTTTGTTAATCTTTCTTCAATAAATCTATTTTACAATTGATGACTCGTTATTATTCTTATAAGCAACATTCCTGATTCCCAATCTAAGAAGCCGTAGCTGCAAAAGGATAAAAATTTATAATATCCTTATAAGCCAACAGGATGGATCAAGCTGAATATCACCTGGATGAAATAATGATCGTATTAATTGAACATTGCAGAAAATCGATCGTATGTATGAATCATTGTGAATCGACAACATTGTTGTGAGAAGCTGCAAGCCTAGCAAACTTGTCAAGAAGATAATGACGATTTATTGTGATCGACAGAAGTTCCAAGAATTTGACCTACAATATTATTGAATTTCAACAGACGAAATCTAATTAGCAACAGATAAGTCCAATAGATTATGGATTAATTTTTTCGGGAAGACATCTCAAGAAATTTGCTACCCAGAAGTGTATGCAAGAGATGATCTAATTTTTTGGATTCTACAGAAGACGGTCCACATTTTGGCAGAGGACGTCTGAATTTTTTTTTTGGATCTACAGGCAACGTCTAAATATTACTATCATATGCCACTTCCCCCTTCTCCAGTTTCTTGTATATCGTAAACGGATGAGCTTTCTAAATCGTTTGATGTTTCTTCACTTTGGGTGTTATGATGTGAAAACTAATATAACCACGTTTTCTTGACTTACATTCCAATATTTCCCAGTATTGTTTGTCAACCCCGTCTACCAAGATTATGTTTGGAAACAAATAATCAAATTCAGGAATTACCTTTCTTCTTTTGATGTTCTTGAAAAATCTCAACAATATTGGTTCAACCACTTTGATTTGAGTCACTATTTTATTAGCGCTTCTTACTGACATGATTTCTTTTGTCATTCTTTGTTCGAATTGTCCAATATCGTCCAATAACACTTTTAAAGTTTCAACAGTCTGATTTGAAAATTTTTCATCAAATTTTTTAAATTTTCCGAATTTCTGCTTCCATGTTTTTCACATCAGTGTAGATCCATTGATTCCACAATGTTCCAACCATCCCAATTACAGTGCTAGCTATGTAACATGCTGCAAGAGAACCATCAGATTCTTTACTAAGTTTGAATCACATACACAAACAACTTTTTTTTTGCATAAAAAATTTTTACATCATCTGCACAATACTATCAAAATTATACCCTGTTCTGATGCGGAATTATAGGATTCTGATATATATTACCAGGTATTTTTAAGGTAATGAAAGAAAAAAACAATTTGATAGATTAAAAAAAGAATGTTATTTAATAGTGCAATACTTTGATTGTAATAAATACATTGTTAAATAATAATGATGATGATTTGTATTTAACACAGCAAAAAAATAAATGAGAGAAAAAGAAAGAAAGAATCTATTTTTTATCATCAACTAATAATTCGTGGACTTAAATCACCAATTTCATTATTCAATGATGTCATTGTTTGCTGTTGTTGTTGTTTACCCGTTGTTGTTGTAGGCAGATATTTTGAAGCTGAATGNGTGTGTGTGTGTGTGTGTGTGTGTGTGTGTGTGTGTGTGTGTGTGTAAATTATGTAAAATATATGTAATATAAACCCCAAATTGAAGCGCAATGCGGATACCTAATGACATATATTGATTATTGAAATTGAAAAGTGAATTGAACCTTTTGAAAGTCTTTCAAAATCATACGATTTTTTTTGATGGCCATCAAGACAAAAAAAAAGATTTAGAATGGAAAAAATCAGGATGGAAAAATGATGATGCACAATACCATCAAAATTATATCTGATCTGATCAACCGATGTTGAATTAGAGTCCAGATATATTTAACAAGCCAGTAGGATTCAGTTCATCTATTTTTGGATAAACTCCATAAACTTCATAAATCGAAGTTTATTTAAATTTGAAGAAACAATCAGCCCACGAAGAGACTATTTTTTTTTGAAAATAATAATATTCGAAACTTTACGAAACAAATTAAACTAATGGGCTAACACAAAAGTCCCAAAAATTTAATGGAACCTTCAAAAAGTTCCATTCATAGGAATGTAGACAAACAGGAGCAAATAACATTAAGTCTTTTCCTAGTCGATGATATCCAAAAAAAACTCTCGCTGCAAGTAGAGATATCCTCTCTTCAGATTCAGAAGAGCAGTTGGATGATGCCCCAACTTCTCCTCATTATCAACCAAATCCGGATCCTCAAAGATTATTTTTTACTCCCAATCTGGAGCTAGTGAATCATAATCAAAGAGAACAAAATCCGATAGTTGATAGGCCAATCATTTCTCAAACGCCAGCACCCACGAATACTAATCAACCTAACATTACATTCCAAACACCAACATTTGTAAATAGACAAACAACACATATTCCTAATAATCCAATACTATATCCAACTCAAACATATCCTTCAAATCCAATACACCCCAGTATATTACCATTCCAAGGAGATGGAACAAATCGTATTGAAACTCAATACACAAAACAATTTAATCTAAAATGGGCCGATAAAGTCCCAAAATTTGATGGAACTTTTGAAAAATTCCATTCCTTTATAAACACATTTAATCAACATATTCACTACACAAACTGTGATGATTGCGGTAAGTTACTACTGCTTAGAGAGAAACTAGATCCAAAGTCGCTAGACTTAATAGCTGGGATCTTAGAACCAGACTACATCGAAGCTTATCGAACTGTGGTTAAGTATTACACATCCTCTCATCCACTACAACAAAAATTGAAAGCTAAAGTCGAGAATCTACCAGAAATCCGAAACTGGTACGATACAGATAAAATCTAGCAATCTAGCTATAATCAAAGATGCATATACTGTTCTAGCTCAAAGTTCAAATAACAGATCTTTCCTAGAAACAGATTTCTATTATATAATAGCATCAAAATTCCCGAGAGATGCTGTAAGGGATCTAATGCAGAAGTACGGATCCAAACTTACCGTATCACAGTATCTAACAAACATAAACATGTACATAGAACAAAACGAACAACAACAGATCATTCTGTCCAAGTCTAACTTCATACATTCAAAAAGTCAAAATATTATACCTTTCTATAACAATTTCACTCAAAGAAATTTCAATTTGAACAAATTATAATCCTAGGAACTTCGCACCTAGATACAGACAACAACGACCTACAGTAACATTTCCTTATGAATAACAACAATTAAATTAATCAAATTAATTATCAAATTGGACAACCAAAATATTGTACGTTACAAAAATTCAGCATTAACTATGATTTTACTTCGATAATATTTAGAATACAACTAAATACAATTTAACCACATTCCTATCTCCCTACCTTCCAACAACAATATGGTTTGAAAAACTAAGATTCCATTATTGTTTCTTTCAAAATTCTATCAATTAGAAACAATAATAATACTATTAAGTATTCTCGGAATCAACAGATAAACCTATTCCAAAAGCCATTTTCCAATTATTCAATAATCTATCAAATAGTAATGACTGTCCATCAGAAAACTGGCATCTGGAAAGTTGCAAAATCTACGCTGCAAGAGAACCATCAGATTCTTTACTAAGGTTGAAGATAAATGCAATCAAAATTGACAGACGTTATGAAATTCTTCTTCGAAAGACCCTAAATATTTTGGTAAGAACATCATCATTGAAAGGTCCTTTAGTGTTTCCCATTTTTTCTTAGTATACAAAACATTCTATATTCTTATTCTTTCTTTCTTATAAGTATATACTTGTTATATACGGAGATTATTCTCTGGTTATAATCAATGTACGACAGCTATTTTAACAGGCGTGGTAACAATCCGATTATAACCAGAGAATAATCTCCGTATATAACAAGCCAGTAGGATCAAGAAATTTATCCTGGTAATAATTTAAAAAGTCAAGATTACAAGAAACATTGTTCTGTAAGTTGAAAATTTCTTTTGTTTATTTTGAAAATCTTTGTGAAAATGAGTGAACACAAGAAAAACGATGATCAAGAACGTGAAATTTCAAGAAAAGTTGAAAGGTACCATGAAGCGTACAAAGTTCTAGATGATCTTTCGAAAAACTTTCCTAAAGATTTAACAAGAGACGAGTTGGAAGTCCTGGATTATCGAGTAGCTGAACAGGAAAACAGTATCCTGGAAGTGGCAAACAATTTGTCACAATGGAGCAAACTGAAAAAGAAGATTCAGTTACCTGAACAGGGACAAGCGGCAGATATGATTCAATTAACCCAGACCATGAAGAAAAGAATAATTCAATTGAAAAATGAATTTAATGAGTTATTCAGTAAAGAACCTGGTCTATCAAGAAGTATCAAATTGTCTGAACTTAAACAATCAATGATACAAGGAACTTCTAAAGATTTTAATTTAGAAGAAAATTTTACAACCCCAATTAGTGCTTATCCGACAATGGGGCAAACCTATCGAAAAACAATGATGAGTCCAAAATTGAAGACTCAAATATTGCCGAAACCTATCTACACACATTCCACTCCTTTTGGAACATTTTCTGGAGGAAATTTTGAAACTGCTCAAAATATAACACCAATATTGAATAACGATTTGGCACAATTGAAAGAACAGATGAGTCAATTAACTAATCTGGTTCAATGATCCCATTACAAGTAATTTTTTTTCTGTACTCAATGCCACATCAAAAAAAAAGAAAACTTGACTTTTCCTTTTCCTTTCTTTTTTGTGTTCAATTTCATTTTCAATATCTTTCAAAATCAATCAACACACAAACAACTTTTTGCGCTCAACTTTTTACATCACAGCTGCACAATACTATCAAAATTATATCCTGTTCCTGCTGGTCTGATCAACTGATGCTGAATTATTGGGTCCAGTGATATATTACATATATTTTTTTTAAGGTAAAGGAAGGGAAAAAGAAAGAATGAAACAAACAATTTGTTTTGGTTAAAAAAAAGATGTTATTAAATGTTATTTAATAGTGCACCTTCATAGTTACATTTGTTAAATAATAATGATGATGAATTGTATTTAACACAGCAAAAAAAATAAATGAGGGAAAGAATAAAGAAAGAAAGAAAGAATCTATTTTTTATCATCAACTAATAATTCGTGGACTTAAATCACCAATTTCATTATTCAATGATGTCATTGTTTGCTGTTGTTGTTGTTTACCCGTTGTTGTTGTAGGCAGATATTTTGAAGCTGAATGATGGTGATGATTGTGGTGATGATGGTGGTGATGGCGGTGTTGATGACCACCACTATATGGTCTTCGATCTGCTGTACTTTTTCTACCCGATGATGATGATGATGGTAATGATGCTTTTAATTTTCTTTTAATTATAGCAATATTATATGCTTTTAAACGATCATCATTATCACTGCTACTTGTTTTACCTTCATCATCAATATCATTATCATCATCATCATCATCATTATCGTTATCACTTGAACTTATTGCTGATGTTTTTCTTCTTAAACGTCCATATGCATGACAGGTTCCAAATTCATGTATTCTACCAACTGAACTTGAACGTCTTGAATATAAACTATTATAATCATTATCATCATCATCATCATCATAATCATTATCTTCATAATCTGTTGAACTATTTGCTGTATATAATTGTTGTTGTTGTTGATGTTGATGATAACTTGATGACATTGGTCGTGATCTATTTGATGATAATCCAGATGATGGACATGAACTACGATCAATTGCTTTTTGTCTACGTAATCTAGCACGTATACGTTGTCCAGATAGTGATGCTGATGTATTTGCTGAACTAGCACTAATATTTCCACCATTACCATTACCATTACCATTACTATTACTATTACAATTTTTCTTTGGTTCAGCAATCGGTGATGATATACAGCTTTGTCCTTCACCATAACCCGAATCAAATGTACGACGTTGTGGTACACCACGAATCATTTGTGTTTGATTATTACTTTGATTTGTTGTTGTTGTTGTTACTAAATCTTGTTGTTCATTTGATTTATTTATCAAATCAATTGGAATCGATATTAAATCATTACAATCATCTAATGCTATGGAATTTTCTTGTGCAGTTGTATCCTGTGAATCGGCCATACTAAAACTAATATCTTTTGATGATGATGAATAACATTGATTTAATCGTCGATTTCTTCGTCGTAATTTTGCTTTTACACTTCCATATTGTGATCCACCACGTTGACGTATTGGACTTTCTAAAGCTCTAACAAACTGTTAATTGTTTGTTTGTTTGTTATGAGCAAAAAAAATTATTAATAAAAATAGATAAAATTAAACAATCCAAATGAAAACGTACCAAACTATCATTCAAATCATTATTGGTTTTTGATGATTCACGACTTAATTCTAATGCACTTTTATAAATAGGATCATTCAATGCTTTTTCCAATAATTTTTCTGTTAATGGTTTTTTTGATGATTGATTACGAATTGATTCAGAATATTCTGTACCATTTTGACTACCACCATTTTCACTTTCACATATTTTTCTTTCTCTTTCAACTAATGATTCAATTACTTTAACCATATCGGTATAAAGACTGGCAGTTTTACGTATCATTGCACTTTGTAATGCTGATTGTAATGGTTCATCCAGATCAAGATGAGCTGTTGGATCTAATTGATCTAAATGATTTAATGATTTTTTCTTATTTTTTGATTTTAAACGATCCGAACATTCGGATACAGGTGAACCAGCAACCTGTGAACTACTTGATAATGATTGTTGATTATTAAAATTTATTCTTGTCAATGATAATGCATGTCGAACTTCTTCTTTCCAAATACGTTGTTTATTACGAAATTCTTCCAATTTAATATCATTAAATTCACGTGATGCAATTTCAATATGAGCAATAATCTGTTGAAATGATGGACGATTACGTGGTTTATTTTTCCAACTCATTTGCATTAAAAGTCGATAACCTTTTGGAAATGATTCAGGCAGAGGAAGACTAAGATTAGAATTACCAACACCATATATAATAGTTGATTGTTCAAAATCACGATATGGAATTTCTAATGTTAATAATTCCCATAAAACAACACCAAAACTCCATATATCAACTTTTTCCGAACAAAGTTCAGAACGAATAACTTCAGGTGCCATCCAAGCAACCGTACCGGCAAATGACATAATTTTTGAACAATCACTTAATTGTCTACTTGTACCAAAATCCGATATTTTCAATACACTATTATTCGATATCAATACGTTTGGTGATTTAAGATCACGATGTATTATTTTATGTTGATGCAAATAATTCATTCCGGATGCAATCTGATGTGACCAATCAATCACTTGTGCTGGTGGCATATATTCACATTTTTTTAAATATTCATATAACTGTCCATATGGACAGAATTCCATCACAATACAATAATTGGCACTTTGTGTACAAACACCTTTAAAGGCAACAATATTTTTATGATTTAATTTTCGTAAATGTTTAATTTCTGTTTCACATTTTTCACGCATTTTTTTCACTGCAACTAATTCTTGATTTAATGTTGCAACATAAACTGAACCTTGTGCACCACTACCTAAAAATTGCATATCTTTCAAATTTTCATATGGAATTTCACAATTATTTTTTCCATCTTTAAATCCTTTACTGCTTATTATACCGATAATCGGTTTGAAACAACCAAATACACCACCCAACCAATTTTGATGATGTGATATTTTCCCGTGTGGATTTTGTGAATGACGTATATGTTGCAGGTGAACATCCATTGCGCTTTGATTATGATATGGTTGTCCAATCATCATATTTGGATCAATATTTTCATGATGTTCACATGATATTATGGCACGATTCTGATATTGTACAATATCATCTAATGAAAAACTTCGTCGAAATAAATGTGCACGTATAAATGGTCTATCATCATTACTACAATCTTCTTGTTGTTTCTGTTGATTATTTGAATCATTTACAGAATCATCAACTTTTGACGATTCAATCCTATTTGAATTTTTTCTTCCATATGATATTGGTGCCTGTGTTACATCCAATATAAGCTGATGATTGTTATGATCGTTATCGCTAAACCTGTTGTTTGAATTAAGAGAGAGAGAGAGAGAGAGAGAGAGAGAGAGAGAGAGAGAGAGAACAAGAATAATGAATCTTTGTAAAGTCTAGTGGATATTAGGAAACAAAAAAAAAAGTTCACTAACCTTTTTGAATCGCCATTGTTATTATCTTTGGTTGGAGAGTACATTGGTGATGGTAAAGTTGATGAAGTTGATTGTTGTTGTTGATAATTTGAATTATCATAGTTAAAAAAATTTGGTGATTCTAGTTGACGAAATATTCCCTGTACATCATTATCAGGTAACACTGTACCATGTTGTTTTAGATTACGTTTTAAAGTTGACATTTTTTCTTTTTTCTAATGATGATGGTGGTGGCCTTTGAACTTCTTGCGTGCAAAGAATTACGAAATTTTCTAATTGGATTTAAGTTGAAACAAAGGCGAAAAACTCTTTATCTCTTCCTCACACACACACAAACACAGGCGTAATTAATATTTGAAAAAAAGTTTTTCTAAAAATCCTGAGAATGAAATTGTTCCTTTTTAGATCAATCTTTTTTTTGGTTTTTTAATCATTGATTTTTGATTTGATTTAGTTTTAGCTGTTGCTGTTGATACATTATCTAAAACAGATAAAAGAGAGAGAAACAAAAAAAAAGGATATTTTAATTAAAAGATGTAAACTCGATCTTGTGCATCTTTGTTGAAAATTTACTGATAATAAAAAAACATTAATTAATTTAAATTTTAAATTTTTGAATTGGATTTTGCAAATAAGATAAGAAACAAAAATCGCACATTGCAATTACTTAATCATCATTTGATTATGACTGATTTTTTTGGTTGTTGTTGTTGATTTCATCATGTCTTTTCCCAAAAACAAACAACAACAACTACTACTACGACAATCTTACATCCCAATCTTGCATCTCAACACCAGGACAAATTAGTTTGTTTGCTTTCCCGTTCCGATTGAATGAATGAAAAAAATGTGGCCACGAATGTGGCAAATTCACAAACAATGTACTATAGTGTAAATTAAAAAATTTAACAAAAAAAAATTATCACTTCTCTATTCCAAAATACACTTGTGTACCATATATAATACTATCTTGGTAACTGTGCTATTGTTTGTAATGTACAATTTATAATTTTTGGCGCTGGCTATTTTGTTTTTGTTCAAGTATTGCATTTGTATGTCGTAATTTATATATGAATATATGCTATATATACAAATGGGCGCCATACTTTTTTTTTATTATAATATATCTGTGAACAACAAAACTGTGATTATTTGAATGAATTCAAATAGTTTCTCTTATTTTCAAATCTGAATACATGTCAATGCCGTCTGAAATGAATTTGAATCTCTTTTTGGGATTTGATTTTCTCTATCTACAATCAAGTTAATCTGAAAAAAATGAAGCTAATTTTTTTAAAAACTAATTGATTTGCCTTATATGTTTATAACAAAATATTAAAATGACTAACATCATCAGTGTGTAACTCTTTTATTAATTTATTGGTAAAGATAATTTTGTATTCAAGATGTAGGCGTGAAAGCCAAATTGAACATATTTCTTATATAACGGGATAACTTAATGATGATGACGAATATTTTTGTTTGATTTGTTTTGAAAAAAAAATCAAAATACAGGTCAAATGATGATGATTAATCATTATTGCTTACCTTTAATTTCGATAATATAATGATGATTCAATTTTTTAATGAAAATTTTTGTAGAAAATTAGAACAAAATTGGAGGTAAAAAAATAGAAAATTTTTCAGTTGTTTTCACTTTAGGTAATTTGTATGACGATTTAATTAAGATTTTATTGCTGCATTTCATTGATTTCTATGGATTATCAAATCCAAATTTTTTTGAAAGAATATTCACGTGGTTTTTTAAATGTGAAAATTATCTGTGTCTAAATGTGTCAATGTTATGTCAATTGACATACACACACAAACAATCAACACAAACAGATAACCCACTATGAATATTATTTTGCAGATTCAGTTCTGAATCGAACGAATATCAAACGTTAAATGATCAACATTAAATTTTGGGTGTTTTTTTATCATTTTTTCTTTTGGTTATTCTTGGTTCAATGTATATGAAAACAAAACAAAGAAAAACGCTATGACAACGAAAATGACGAAGAATATTATTTTCAATGAATGAATGTAAAATGACAGAATCAAACGAAAACGAAAATCCGAAGAAGAAGAAAAAAAACTGAATGAGAAACACACACACACACAGAGACACGAATAAATTTTTTGGTTTTTCGATTGGATCGATTGATTTTTCCTTTGCTTTCTTTTGCTTTCGTTGTTAGTTAGTTTGTGTCAATAATATTCGAAACAAAAACAGAAAAAAAAATTTCGTATTACGTACGTATCTTATGTACTAATATTAGAATTGTACAACACCTTGACCAATAGAAAAAAATTTTCACAATAAGAATATGGCTTACACAGGCACAGGTGTGCTATTCGATTTATGAAAGGTTTTATTTCTTTTTTCACTACTGACAGTTCAGTTCTTGACAAGATATATTATTGAAGTATGGTGGGAAATGAAAAAAGAAATAAAGAAATACCTTGAGGGTTAATGCGGCAGCAACCAGCCAAAAATCAAGTAAAATGAATGAATGAAAGAGAGAGAAATATTGTCTGAAGGTAAATGTTGAATGTAAATTCTACTTTGTCGAAGTTGAAACTTGAAAAAAAAGAAATTCAAAAAATTTTACAAAAATGATTTGAGAGAAAAGAGGAAGAGGTAGCTTTGTTGGTTGCTTACTCTGGAATAAAAATGGCAATACTGGTTTAGTGAGTTTTTGGATGTTTCTTTGGCGCAATTCAATTCTCTCTATGTGTAGGCATGGCTTTAATTTTTTCACTTGTCGTCAATAGTGGATTTTGTCTCTCTCCTGTCTTTTTTCTTCTGTTGATTATTGTTTGAACATGGTTGACTTGTTATCATTTTTCTCTCTTCTAATTATTTATTCAGTTCCAGGTTTTTTTAAAAACATCTCATTTTCAAGAAACAAAATCAAACCAAAACAAAAGAGAGAATATAACCTTCACTCTAGATAAAATATTTGGGTTTTTTTTACTGTTTTTTTTTTGTCAATGTTCATATAATATCAGTGTTGATTGATGTCGGGATAATGCATGCAAAAGAAAAGAAAAGAAAAGAAAAGGAAAAAAAACTGGTTTATGACCATGGAGTTTTCTTCTTTCCCCCTCCCCGAAAAAAGATCTAGGTTTTGAATTTTTTTCAAGTTATTTTGTTTCTCCATTGAAACAATGTCTTCTTCTTCTTCTTCTTATCGATCACTGAATCATCAGAACAAACAAACATTCCATTCAATATTTTTTTTTGCGGTCAAATCCAAAAGGAAAAAAATTCTTGCCTTAGGTCAAAAAGACAAGATTTTCATAACAAAAAATTGCCTTATTTACTTTTCTAAATAACAATTTTTTTTAACCCCGTGGAGAACCAAACCATTTTCTTTCTTTGTTTCTTTTTTTCCTCCGAATCATTATTATTATCATGACATAATGGTATATTCAACAACAACAACAACAAAAAACTGTTGAAAATATCAGAATCGAGAAAAAAAATTTCAAGTACAACCAAACACCAACCAACCAACCAATGGTATTACCATATTACAACAGATCGATCAATCATTAATCTACCTGGTAAATGATAGAACTACCTGTACCTGTAAATTGCACGTACATTATGAATATTCTTAATAGTTCCGGTCATTGAATATTCAAGAGGGAAAAAACAAACAAATGATGATACTAATAAAAAAAAGAGTATGCGTATTGTCATGACAACAAACGATTATTAGAAATCGTTAGAAGAAAAAAAAACAACCAAAAATTCTGCTACAAGAATTTTCAAAAAAAACTACCACTATTCAAATTCTGATGAAGAATTTTTTTTGTCTCAAACGTTTTCATTACGTCTACCTTTTTTTTTCAATAAATGATTAAATGACGTCAATTCGTGAAAGCCATTCATAATCGGGCGAAGAAGAAGAAGAAGAAAAAAGAAGTAAAATTTTGTTACATTTTTTTTTAGGGCCGATCATATTGGAAATTTCTTTCTTGTCATTTTCAATAATTATTATGTTTTTTTTTCGGTTGATCATCATTTTGATATTGAAAAAGATAATCTATGTGATTTCAACAGAATAAGTTTGTTGATCACGTAATGATAATGATGATCAGGTCTAGCAATAAAAATTAATGATTATCCATTTTGTGGTAACAAAACAAAACAAAAAAGAAAAAAAAAGTTGATTAATAATGATCAGAATATTCTGACCGACCGGATTCTGTATGTGTGTATATGAATTTATGAAAGAATTTGCACTGTGTTTTTTTATTTTTCATTGTTTGTTTGATTCTGTTTGTCCCCACAAAAAAAAGAAGTAATAATTATATAATCATTGTTCAATGTCAAGGACAGAATTATCATAAATTCATTTTAGATTCAAGGTAATGAAAAGGAAGAAAGAGAGAATGATTTCATTTCATTTCAAAGTCAAATTTTTTTTATGGCGGTGGTGGTGGTGGGTAGGTGGGAATATACCTGGCAGAATATTTATTCATTGAAGGTAATTTGAAAAATGACAAATTTTTTTCTACCTTGTTTTCTGTGGGTTGGGAACATTATTATTAATGTTGAAAATGAAAAAAGTTTTTTTTTGTTCTTGCTTTCTGGTTTCTGGTTGATCATTATCATTGATATGAGAAGAAAAAAAAAATTCCAATGAATTTTTTTTTACCACTCCGTTTCCAGAATTTTTTACCTTTAGAATAATTCTTGGTTAGTCGTTATCACATGATAATTATCATTCAACACTGTTGCAATATTATTGATTATCATCCATGGGGAGAGAGGGAGAGAGAGAGAGATTCTATATTCTGGGAAATTCAATGTTATAAAAATGCCATCTATCGATTGTTAATTGTAATTAAATTTGGATTAAATAATTTAAATAATTTAATTAAGAATTTACAATTGGTAGAGAAAAACATTTTATATATTAAAAATGTTTGAATAAATTACAAAATTTGTTTTTTGTTTTGTTTTGTTTTTTATGTTATTTTTTTCGAAATATGGGTTGCATACAATCAACCTGTCAAACAAATAATAATCAACAACAGGATACATTTTCCAAATATTCATCAATCAGTGATCAAGTAGAAATCGATGAATCGGATTGTATAAAAATTTCCAATTCAAATACGGAAAAAAGTCAACAATTAATAATGATGAAAAAAATGATAGATGATAAAAATATTTTTATGCCAAAATTATCAAAAAATTCAATTAGAATACCAGCAATTAAAGTTGATTATCGTAAATTAAAAGCTAAAATGGAACAAGAAGAAATATTTCGTAAAGCAGCAGCAAAAATTGGTTTTCTAAGTAAATTACAGGATGATGATTCTGTGGATGATAATAATACCGATATTATGGTTACTAAAATTGAAGGACAAAAATTTTCATCAGCAATTTGTAGTGGTATAGAAAAAATTTTACCAACAAATGAAAAAGGTAAACAAAAAAAATTATCCACATTAAATAACGATGATGTTGGTGGTAAATCGAAATTAACATCAATCAAAAATCAAAATGTTAAATCAAAATTATCATCAATAAAAAATGAAAATAGTAAATTATCAAAATTATTATCACCTAAAAATGATTATTGTAATGTAAAAAAATCAATTTCATCAATAAATAGTAATAGATCAGGAAATCAATCAAAATTTACACCATCATTTTCAAATATATTTGATGTACAATCATCATCATCATCATCATTCAGACCAAAACATTCATCATCATTACAAAGTGATTCTGGTTCAACACAAACAATATATACTGATTCATTATCAGTTTTATCAAGTACAAAATCAATTAAATCGGATTTTATATCAACACGTTCAAATAATAGTCAAATAGGAAGAATAAATGAATTGCAAAAAAATGAACAACAAACAAAATCACATTCAAGTATTGAAGATATTTAAAGAAAAAAAACAGAAATTACTTTTTGTGTTTTATTAATTATAAATTATAACTTTTTTTACAAACAAACACATTTATTAAGAATAATTTAAATGTATTATCAATTTATTTAGATAATTAAAATGATGATCTAATGGTAATAATAAATTTGAATATTTTTGAATCAATTTTTCATAATGATTACGTTGTTTTTGACATGAACATTGATTATTGTCGTTTTTTCGAATTGATTCCGGTTGTTTTCCGTAGAATATTTCTAGAAAAATATGTACAAAATACTGAACGGAATAATAATCAGCTTTGTTTGATATAATAATTAATGATTGTAATGAATTTTCCTGTAATTCATTTACAATTCCTTTTGAACATGTATAAAGTAAAAGAATTGGTAATATTTTACAAATATCATCGGATTGTAATTTAATATTTACAGCTAATTTTCCAAATGATTTAAGTAATTCTAATTCAATAAAATAATTCATTGTTTTTAATGTTTCATTATGACAATGTTTACGATAATAATCGATACGTTTATCGAAATGAATTTGTAGAAAATTGATTAATGCAGGTATAATTTCTTTACTAATACGACGAAGTAAAAAATCACCACATAATTCATTGGCCAACATTAGACAATCGAATGCATTCTTAACGACAACCGGATGTTCTAAATCCAATGACAATAATCGTACTAATGAATCCCAAAATCGATGAACATATGGAAGAAGTATATCTATTAAAAATGGTGGAGAAAACAAACAAAGTGTTAATCAAAATGTTTTTTTTTCTGGATAAAATTAAACAAAAGCAAAAAATTACCTTCATAAGATCGTAATAATCGCATTGATTCGAATGATAATTTTAATAAATTTAAACGAATATTAATATTTGGATCATTAAGTAACATTGGACATAGATGAAAAATATTTGCAACACGTGATTTTATGATTGGAGATTGAAGTATTCTAAGATTTTCATCCATTTTATCATCATGATGATCAACGTTTTCATCAATGATGGTATTTTGAAAACTATTCAAATCTACTGGTGAAGATGTTTTGAGATCTTTTTCCATAGCTGATAATGTACGAGCATAGCATTCAACATCTTCAATCAAGTCATCCATTTGATCGTTTTGATCAACATTATTTTCAATCATAAAAGTGGTAGTAGTCGGCGATTCACCATGAACATCATACAACAATGTTATCAACCGGACATATGCATAAAGTATTTCAATCAATTTATTCAATTCACTCGTATCAATATCAATCAAACGTATTGAATAATATTTTAATAATATTAAAATCTGATCAATTAATCGATGAAGATATTCTATTTGTGATGATGAAGAAATAGGCGACTTATTGTCATCATTGTTTGATCGATGATAATCAATAATCAATTCGATTATAGTAAGCAATGAATTTTGAATTGTTTTGATTGAATAAAAATCATATGTATAAGAATTGGAAATTTCACCCGATTTTCTATGTTGAACAATAACACTATAATCCAATCCGATACTAAACGAACTGAAAATATAATCCAAATTATTCATTATCATTTGATTTAATAAAGATTTTGTATTATTTTTGTTCAACGGTTGCTGTTCGGGATTTAAATGTTGTCCCATTAAAATCATACAATATTTAGCAACGCGGAAAACAAGATTATTATTATTTTGTTGTTGATAACCAATCGATTGTAATAGATCAAGAAAAAATGATTTAAAAAATTTTGTACGTATTTCATTCGGGTCAAATAATAAATATAATATGGTTGTTCCTTGCATCAATAGACAATGTTGAAATAATTTTCTTTGATGTAATTCATTTGTATTGATTTTTTCTTCGTTGTTTTCCTGGTTATTTGATGAACAAATTTGTGCAATACTATCGATGGTAAGATATTTATTATTATCCGTTTGAATCATTAATAAATCATCCTGAATATAAATATCAATCATATGTAATTTTTTAGAATAATCATTAAGAAATTCTTGAAGATAATTATCGATTTGTTTACCATCGTAAACATGTAAACGAGTTACATTAGCTAGAAAAATATTTGTAATCAATATGACGGTTGGATCAAAATCCGAATATTCCAGCAGATAAGATAAATGATCAAAAATAATTTGTAATGTTTGAAAATTTGAAAAAATACATAAATCTTTTATAAAACATTTATAACATTGAAATAATTCTTTATCATCCGAATTATTAAGATATTTAAAATATTTATCAAAATGAAAAATATCAAATGTATGTTCGATAATTCGTTGATGATCATGATTTAAATCGAATGAATCATCAACATCTTCATATACAGCATATTTCGAATGTTTAAAATCAAATTCCGATAGATTTATTAATGTACGAAACAGATGATGATTATGTTGTTCTAATTTCAAAAAATCATATATTCCCGTTCGGTTTAATGTATGTATGAAACCAATCAGAATTTGAAATGATGATTTTAAACAAGTTTTCGTTACAATTCGATTCGAATTATGATTGTGAATATTTCGAAATGTATAAGGCATTTGTGTAAGATGATCGAATAATTTTTTCTGTAAAATTTCAATCATATTCAATTTTTCTAGGATTTTTGCTGAAAAATTTTTACACAGATCATTCATTTCATTCCGGTGTTCATCCTGTTGTTCATTAATAGAAATTGATCCAATATAATTCAAAGGAATTTTGATTAAATTATCTATTTGTTTTTGAACAAATTTTTCATCATCACAATTAAACAATAAACTTTTGCTAAATTTTAATAAATTTAATCGTACATTTAGATCAGTATGTTCGATCAGTATATCGATAATATCGGAAATTATTGTTGATAAATTTCGATAAAATTTTTCATCATTCAATAATTCTTCAGTAAATTTTCCAATATTTTCGAAAACAATTAAAAAAACAATGTTCAACAATCGTAAAGCGGCGATGATAACATTGGATTGTAAATTATGATAATCACCATTCGAACAACGATTTAATAGTTTCCAAATTTTTGACAATAAACCAGGTAAAATTGATGCAATAAATTTCGAAAATCTTTCAAATTTTTCATCATTTTTTTGATTCGAATTTAAAGAATTATAATTAAAATCAGATAATTGTTTATCGATAATTTTCAAATACATTGTTGACATTAAATCTAATGACGCAGTTTTTAATGGTTGATAATCATTTTCAATAATGATTTGTAATAAATTATTCGTAAGCATACCGTACATTGTTTCAAACTGTACTGTTCCTGTTTGATTGAAAATAAAATCTCTGAACATAGATTGATTACATGTTGATAACAGTTGAATTGTACAATCAATCAATAATTTAGTAGAATTATCACTTAAATGGATTATCTTTGAATCATTATTTCGTTGATTTGATGATTGTCTATCGATTAATAAGGAAAACATTTTGAAAATTGTATCAAAAATTTTTGAATCTTTAATCGAAACTTTTTGAAATAGAATCTGATAGATTTCCAAACATTTTCGAAAAAGTTGATCAGCACTGGAACAACAACGAAAAAAATCAAATTATAATCAATTTCAAATTACACAATAATCATTACCTGAATTTAGAATTCTTTACGGATTTTGGTATTTCAGCCAAAATCATTTGAATTGTAAATATTAAACGATTATAATTTGATTGAAAAAATTTTTGACTAAGATTCGAATTCTGTAGAAATTGTTTAATATCATCAAGTTTATTTGGATCTGGTGCAAATAAACAAGATTCACATTTAATTGCTAATGATTTTGTTTGTAAATAATCAATATTATTAGCCATTTTTGGTTTTAAATTAATCAGAAAATTTATTTATTTTTTATTTATTTTTTTAAACAGAATAAACAAAACAAACAGATTCATATAACACATGTGAAAAAGATTCTTTTGGATTATAACATAAACAAGTACTGACATCTATTGAATAACAATGTGAGTAAATCGAATGAATTAATTTTTAAATTTTTCCATATCCAATTGCAGTTGAACATTTAATTGTTTATCGTTTGACAATAATGATTGATCATTACGATTTAAAGCTAAAAATCTTGAACATTGTTGACGAACAAATAAATCATTATGTTTATAGGCAATTTGATAGATTTGAATACAATTTTTCATTGTAAGATATTTCATTAAATGTTGAACGATTGTTTTGGCCATTTGATTATCGGAATTTATAATTGCCAAACGATATAATTGATAATAATTTTCTTTATTCAATATTCTTTTCAAAACTGATGAACAAAGTTCAGTGATTAATGTTTCATCATTAGCTTTACGGGCAAGCATATAGATTTTTTCAAAATTTTCAAAATTAACCAAAGTTTTAGCAATAATATTGGCCATTTTTAATTGTAAACATTGATCGAAAAAATCTCTTTGTATCATTAATTCATATAATCGAAGACAATTTATTGTTGATAAACGATCATTAGCTAATTGCCATAATTTTTCTTCAAATTCTTCATCTAAATAATTAGATGATGCCAGTATAAAATCGATAATATTTTTCGATGTTATTTTCGATATAATATCATTATGAAATTTTTTAATAAAATCATTTGAAAATGATTTATGATTTTGCATTATTAATTTATAAAAATCAGTACCATTTCTTTGATTTAAATTTGTTTGAATAAATTTTTCTATATGTAATAAAATAATACGATCATCAAATGTTGTTGCCAATTCTGTGAATCTATTCAAATTGATCAGATTAAAATTTTCAACAAATGTTGGTCGTAATAATGTTAATGTTTGTAAATCTTGATATTGTTGTATTAATTCATATAATTGTAAACAATTAAAAATATTTATATGTTGAATAAATATTTTACAAATATATTCTATAAATTTATTATCATCAATATATGTTTTTACAATACGATATATAATTGATATATTTTCTTCATCTAAATTATTTACTAAACATTTATTTATAAACGATTTAATTTGTTCATCTTCATAATATAATGCCAATAAAAATATTAATGGTAATGTATTTGAATTAATAAACATTTTTGATGATAAATGTTTACGTATTGATTTGAGCATATTTTCATCATGTTCTTGTTTAGCTAATGAATAAAATTGACAATAAATTGCTGGTACTAATAATGTTTCTTGTCCAGAAAATATTATTACCGATTCTAACCAACGAAAATCATTATTTAATTGAAATAATTTTGTTTTAATAAAATAGGTGATACTTGTATTCGAATCCATTTCAACCAAAACTTGGTCAAGAAAATTTTGACGATTAATTTCAAAATTTTCTGGATCTCTTGTAAATGCAACAATAAGCATATGAAGATATTGATGATTATTATCATTAAATAAACCACCATATGATTCAAAATCTAATGAAAATAGATAAAAATAGAAAACATTAACCAAATGTTTTCGTAGGCAGAATTTTATTCGTTTCAATATGGCCGGTATTAGATCATATCTACGATACATAAAACAACATTTATAAATCTGTAACAATATTATTGTAACCATATTTTCATTCATAAAACGTATACAATCACGTTTTTCCGGATCATATTGTATGGCCAAATCTAATAATACTTTATTATCATCCAATAATTCACGTTTATAATAATCACATAATTTTGGTTCAATTTTTTCTTCCGAATAACGATAATTAATATTGATAAAATCATAAAGTAGACTGAATATTTTTTTTATAATTTTTGGCTGATTATATTGTAATGCATCTTCGAAAAATTTTCCACAATTATGAATACTAATGTAGAGAAAAAAATTCACTGAAAAAATTGCAGATGATGAACAAGATGTCGATGATATTGGATAATTTGATTGATATTTATCCATCAATGAAACAATTTGTATATAATTTTCAACATTTAAACGTTCACGTATAATATTTTCTAATTTTTCACGTAATGAATCATTCAAACTATAATGTGCAATTAAATCTTGTAATAACATTCGTTGTTGAAAATATTCATCATCATCATCATTATCATTCAGATTGATTTGCCAAAGTGTTTGATAATTATCATTATAACAAAAATATAAATATTGAAAGAGGAATGAATATGGATAATTATTAATCATAATTCTGTTTGCATTTGTTGGTGATTCAATTGAATGTTTCAATAGAATTTCACATTTTTTCGAAATAATTGATCGTTGAACATATAATGTACGTGGTAATTCACCATCATCGATAGCAGTAATTAATTCCAAATCTGAACAATTTGGATTATTAAAATCAGTATTACAATCAATATTCATTGGTAATTTGATTAATCCAGGTGTATTAGGATGAACATAAAGATTAGTTATATCGGATATTGAATTAGAATTTGTAGCAAATAATTTGGGATCATCATAATTCCAAACAAAACATTTCCGTTCTGTTTTTGAATAAAGAATAATATGATTATTATTCCAATTTGTACTAATAATTTGAATATTATCTTCAATTTGTTGAAAATCCAATAATTTATCTTGATTAAAACAATGAAAAATTTTACCATTGTTTGTTTGTAGTGCACATATATCACGACAACCATAAACTTTTTCGAAGAAATCATCCGGTTTCAGTTTTAATTTGATTAAAGTTGGTCGTTTAAAATAAATCGATGCCATTCGTCCCCAAACAAATACATTTCCATCATTATTTAACATTATTGAACTTGTATAACCACAAGCAATATCTTTGGCATGAAATTTATGAATTTTCGATAGTAATTTTGTTGGTAAAATTAATTTAAATGACATTTGTGAACATTGATTGAATTCATTATCACCCCAAGACCAAATATTACCATCAATATCTAATGCTAATGAATGAAGAGAACCACAAGCAATTTTTGAAAATCTTATACGATTACGTATCAATGTAAATTGTTTAACCATATAAATATTTTTCAATCCAATTTGTCCATTAGAATTATTTCCACAACCATAAACATAGCCAAGATTAGTTAACAATAAAATAAAATTACTACCAATTTGTATTGTTTGGATTTCTTTGTCAAAAATTTGTTGTTCAATTTTCATTGGATATTCATGGATACGATCCGTTGATAAACCAAACCAACCATTTGAATTATCACCATAAACAAAAATACCATCCTGATGAAGAAAAATAGCCGATTGACCATCATGAAATATTTGAAATTTTCGAACATTTTGTAAAAATTCTTTAGATATTTTTCGTAATAATGGCCAAAAAACTAGATTTTTTGTACGAAAAATTTCATCATCATCTTTTTCTTTATTGTTTTTTAACGAAAGATTATTCTAAAGTAAAAGTAAAGTAAAAAAAATAATGATTAATGAAAAAAAAGAGAGATTATAATTAGAATCGATTTGAAACGTACATTTAAATCCATTCTTTATTTTGTAAATTGTATGAAAAGAAAATGTTTGCATTTTTTTCTTCGCTCCAAAATGACACGGAAATTTGCTATTTCATCACACACACACACGTATAATGTTCGAAATGATGAACATTACTGAATGGTGAATTTTCTGGAAAATTTTCCAAATTTTTTTTTCTTTTCCGGAAAAATTTTCTCGAATGAAAAAAAAATCTACCAAAATTTTATTCAAAATTTTATTTGAAACAAGGAAAAAACTGACAATTTTTTTGTAATAAAAAGATAAAAAGTCAATCAAATGACCAAATTAATCAATTTTTTATTAATAATTTTTTATTAAAAATGAATTACAGCTGTAATAAAAAAAATTCTAGAATTTTAAACAATTTTTTTTATTTCTAATGATGACTATTCGAATGGCCATGATCATCGTGATGTCCACCACCACCACCACCACCATGATGACCATCTTTATTAAAATAATTTTCATAGATTGCTGTAACAATCAATAATGGTACAGCATATTTCCAACCATAGGTAATCAAACTAGCAATACGCCATGCTTCGGTACCAAATTGTTTACGATTATAACGCCATACTTCGTTCCTTTTTACGGAAAAGAATCAATATATTAATTTCCCTGATAAATTAATGATTCGTATATAAAAAATTTTACCTTAACCAATGGGATTTTAATCCACGTGCAGCTAAACGTCGTTGAATTGTCAACAATTCGGGAGCATCTTCAACTTTGTAGATTTTATAATCAGGTATATAAGCACCTGGTGGTAGATTTAATCCCGGTGTTGGTTTTCGTGGAGCCGAAGGACCAGTATCACTAATTGGACCACCAAAAATACGACTAACAAGTCCCATTATTGGATCCGAAACAAACAAAAAAAAATAATGATAAACCGAAAACAAAAAAAATCCAAATGAAAAAAAAATGAAAACAAAACACAACCTGCTTGTCCTCTGTTATTTTCTCAACCATGTTCATAGATGACGGATAATAAAAAAAAACTCACATGTTATTCGAAATTTTTTTGAATTTCGAAAATTTTTTTGTTTATTTGGGTTTACTTTTCTATTTTTTTCATTTGTATAATGGCTGGAAGTAGAGTGGAAAAACTTTCAACCATATTCAAAAGGTAAAAGTTTCTGAAATGAATTTTTAATGAATTTCTTTATTACATAAATAGATATACTGGTCTAATAAAATCCGGTGCTGTTTTGGAAGAAAATCGTCCAATTTGGTATGATATTTATAAACATTTTCCACCATCAATTGAACCATTAGCCATTCGACCCGAACCAGAAATCGATATCAAACCAATTTTCTATCCAGAAGATATTCTACGATCGTAAGTTTTAATATTTTTGAAAAAATTGCTTGGGTTTACTAAATGTAATGTTTCTTTTTTTGTCAAAAATTTAGTCGATTCTTTCGAACATATGGTGATTCAATAATGATACATGATTTTATATCATCAAAACCATCTGATTTAAAAACATCCAGAATCGGTATTGGTGAAATGTTTATTGCAAAATATTTACAATTAGCACAATCAAAAGGTTTGGATGAAATTGATCTAAATAGTCAAGAATTATTCGATGAAACGGAAAAATCTATTCAAACTGATTGTGGTGTACAATTAAAACGTCGTAAAGATTATGATCAAGGGAATCGTACAATCATATCAACAACATCATCGTCATAGAATATAGTTTCTTTTTTTTTGTATTAAAAATGATAAATAATAAATAATAAAATAAAGAAAAACAAACATAATTCTCGATATTTAGCGCGGTTCTTTTGATCCTAATTGGTTTTTCGTTGTTGTTGTTGTTGCTTTGTTGATATAACTTTGGAAACAAAACCAATCATCATCATCATTATTTCATTATAATAAAGTTTATCCAAAAACAAACATAGTTTGGTCGTTGAAATGATGATAGGAAAAAAAAACACTAAATGATAATCGTAAACGGAATAATCTTTATCACAATATTATCAGCATCATCATTTAATCAATCCTTTTTCCTGTTTGCATTTTGTTGTTGTTTCGGGCGGTCGAAAAACTTTGATTTTCGTTTTTTCTAATCATCACCATTATCGCCATAATCATTGTAACATCGATTTCATTTTTTCTGCCATTAAAAAAAAATTATAAACGATTTCATCATCATTTTTACATTTTTTGTTGTTGGCACTTACCGATGGCAAACCTTTCTCTCTTTTCGAAAATCCACATTTTTAATTTTCTGTAAACATTCTATCATCGGTTGTTTTGTTTTTTTGTCTATCTGAAGTATTTACCATTCTTCTTCTTCTTCTAATGACCTTTTAAAAGAAACTTTGATGCCGACATACCGAAAGAATTCAAAAATCCAAACATTCGAATAATTTCGTCATCTAAGTGACTATTTACACACAAAATGATCGAATCCGAATGATAATAATATTCGAACGAATTCGTTCGATTTATTGTTTCTTCGTCGTTTATCTTTTTTCAAAATGTGTGATAATTCGTTTATATTTATTTTGTAAAATGTTTTTTTTTTGTTTTTGGTGCCATAAAGTTATTTTATTCTCGTTGTTTTTTTTCGGGAAGATATATTCACATTTAAATAGATAGATAGAGATTTTAGCCTGTTGCTCTCTGTGTTGTCATTACGATTCGATTGATAATGTTTATAGATAGGAAAATCGTAGCTATAGTTTTTTCTTTCTCTTTTCGTTCTTTTGCAAAACAAATCCAAAGAAATTATATTTATAAATTCGTCTTCTTGTGTCGGCATTATTTATTTTTATTTCTTGTTGTTGCTGGTAATATCTTCGTCGGCGAATTGTTTATAACTTTGTTGTTGTTGTTGTTCATTGATCGTATTTGTCTTCTATGTGTCTGTGTGTTTGTGTATGTCGGCAAATTACTTGCTTGACCATCAATCGCGAATCAACTATTCCTATTTCTATCTATCTATTTTCATTTTTTTTTTTTTTGGTTTTCATACCGAGGCAACCAACCAAACAACGAATCAATCGACAAACAACATTATTTTACAACCAAATCATCATCATCACCACCAAAGCTTTTTTTCCAAAGAATAAGAACTGGTCATCATCATCATCATCATCGAAAGAGTGGTACTTTGAAGATATTATATCGATCAAAACACACACACACACAACACACACACACACACAGTATGTTTGCCGAATAAAATAGCCAAAGTTCTCTGTCTCTGTTGTATGGGTATGGCGAAAAGTATGAAATAAAAACATTCAAAAGATCTTTAGTGAGAAAAACAAAAACAAAAACTAAAAAAAAGAAGAAAATTCAACAATTCTTGTACCGAGGGTATTAAAGGTGGTTTTTTTTCATTGCCAACAAACAAGTTGAATGGACAAGACAAACGATAACAACAATATTTGCCTTCAATGAACATGTTGTTGTTTTTTTCACAGTGAAGACAAGAAAAAAAGACTGAATATTATTATCATCATCATCATCACACGTTCGAGGTTCTTCTTCACATTTTATTTTTCTCGTTTCATTTCGGTCAACACCGCGAACCAACAACTGCCAAATAAAACAAGACCGATCTATGATCATAAGATGATTGGCTATGTGTATGGTGGTAATGTTGAATCAATTCTTGTCGACTGTTGTTGTTATTTGGTTCGTTGATCATTCGCATTCAAATGTTTAAACTGAACACTTCGTTGTTTTGAAACTTTTTTCTTTTTCTCCCAAATAATGTAAAACATGTGATCCATATATTGATCCATATTCAATTTGTCAATTTGTATTTTTAATATGAATTTTTCTTGTTTGTTTGTTTGAATATACACACTGTGCAAAGTGAAAAATGGAGAAAAAAATGTATCAAAAACAACAGATTTTGAATATTTTTCTTTTATTTGTATTAACATTTTTTGATTTTTGTTTGGCTGATCAACAACAACAACAACAACAACAACAACAAAATCTTATCGGTGATAATAATAATGAAGTGATGACTACATTAAATCCATTAATATTAAATTCATCAACAACAACAAAAGATTATCAAAGGATTCGACCAAAATGGTTAATCCATTTGATTAACAGTAATAATAATAATATAGCAACAAATTTCAGTCATCAACATCAACATAATCAATCATTATCATTGAATTTAGGTGATCATTTAGCTAAAATTAATGATAAATATCAACAACAACAACAACAAAATTCAAATTCAACACGTTTCAATATTTTTATTAATCATGTGATTCTAAATAAAAATAATCATAATCATAATCATTCATTAAATAAATCATCAATACAAATAAATAATGATTGTATTGATGGAAAAACATATCATAATTATCGTACCGGTCATTGTCATGAATGTTTAACAAAATGTCCATCAGGTGCAATTATGTTACGTCCATGTAATCGTACACATAATATGGAATGTGTTTGTACACAAGGATGGTATATGTCAATATTGGATGGTACATGTAAACCATGTTCCGAATGTCCATCTGGTTATGGTAAGAATCTTTTATTTTATTTTTATTTCAAATGTAATTCAAATATCACTAAAACCACATATGTTTTCGTATGCATGTATATGATCAAAAATAGATCTTTTTTTTGATGACACAAAGACAATCTTTTGTTTAAATTTTCTGCTAAAAGATTCTGTTTTGTTGATAAACTGGAATTTTTGTTATTTCAAAATGTCCAAAAATATTCATTTGATTCAAATAAACAATGAATCATTATTGTATGTTTGTGAGTGTGAAGATTTTGAGAAACTATTCGGTGAAAAACATCAGAAATTGAAATGGATCATCATTTATTTATCTATTTTTTTATGATTCTCTATTTCTCTTTGGTCATATATATTTTTTCCTACAAATATTTATTTGTTTAGGTTTGTCATCATCATCATTTTTTTAAATTCAATTTTACGATTGTAAAATTTTTTTTTATTTGCATTTCAACAATTTCAAATATCGATCAATTTATTATTGGGTCTTTTGTTGTTGAAATTCAATGTAAAATAAGAAGAGAAAGAGAGAGAAACAAAATAATAAAATCAAACATGTGTTTTCTTGGGAGAGAGAGAGAGAGAGAGAGAGAGAGAGAGAGAGAAAAGATCAAAAGATTTTTTTCATTTATTCAATAAGGTCGGCACTTTTTAGAAAAAATTTGTGTATTAAAAGAATGATACAAGGGTGATAGATATTTGAATTCGGTCAAGAAAAAAATTGTCACCAATAAAAACCAAATGATAATGACAACCAATGTTGACGAATAGAGAAAATAAAATAAAAAAGTTCCCGATTGACAAGTACAAGGATTGTAATCGATATTTTTTTTTTGTCCAACCAGAAAAATTGATTCCGATTTTTTTTCCGCTTTGCTTGTTCGCTGACCATAAAACATTGAATTGACTTTCGCATTTTTTTTTCTTTTGGTTTTATTACAGGCCAATATTTTTCCTCTCTTATATGTGTAGTGAAACAGTTTTTTTTTTGCTGTTATGGCTGTTATAATCATTTATATTAACCCTATTCTATTTTTTTGTGCTCTACTTTAATTTAGGTGTATGGCGTACATGTAGGTGGTCTCGTAACACTGTTTGTCGACAATGTCAACCGGGAACATTTTCCGGCGTTTCAGTTGGCACGCTTGGTTGCATACCATGCTCCAAGTGTGGTCCTAATCAAGGTTAGTTTTTAAATTATCAGCCTTTTTTTTCCTATACAATCATCATTGCTGTCATGCCAATCAAATTATTGATTATCGATTATCGACCTTATTTCGGGCTAACAATGACAATGAGAAAAAATGAATTTTTTTCTAATTTACAAAATTTACCACACAGAAAATAATTAACTTTAATGTTCATTTTTTTCAATTTTTCAATAGAAATGATTTCCGGATGTGATGGTAACCGTGATACAGTCTGTATTGGTAAGTAATCATCATTTTAATTCGATTTTGATTTTGATCAATCGATTTGTCCATTTTTACTATACACACACTGTTTGATTTGAATTTTACATCATCATTATTATTGTATGATTGAAAAATATCATTCACATTCTCATGATTGTTATTACAATAATGATGAGAATAGCATCCATAGCCATTTTATCATCTGGTTGTTCATTGTTTTGATCGACCATCTCTCATTCGACGAGAATATAATGATTAATTTTTTTAGTCACGAATTTTTCTCATCTCTTTTTGTGTGTGTGTGTGTGTGTGTGTTATTATTGGGTTCAGTTCATTTTCAACCAAAAAAAAAACATCTTTCATTTAAAAAGAATCTACCTTATTCGAAAATGAATTTCAAAAAAATTCATTTCCATAACCACTGTTGTTCATTAGTTTATCTTAATTACCTTTACTAGATAATTGAACATATGAAAAAAAAACATCAGCCAGGTAAAAACATCAATTAATTGATTTTTGTTTTCTCTTGATTCAACGATTCATTTTGTTTCACTGCTTTCAAAGACAAATTTGTTAGGCATAAAAATTGACTAATTCATTCAAAAAAAATTTTTTCTTCATTCATATTTATTGAAATTTTGTCGAGTGCTTTATAAATAAAAAAAAATCTTCAACATTTCCGATATCATTTCGTTGATGATTCTTTGATGTAATGAAATGATTCGAAATTTTCCGAAAGCAAGCTAGAGAAGGAGAGAAATGTTTGAATTCCGTGAACGGTCAAGTGAAACAGAAATTTTCTTCTTCTTTTTTTCCATTAAAAAAGTGAGATCACTTAATGATGATGATGATCATCATCATCATCATATCACCTGAAAAGAAAATTCATTCCGATAGACTTTGAAGGAAAATTTTTTGTTAAGGTACTACACAGGTAAAGCAAAGCTGTCATTTTAGATTTAATTGAACCATATATATGGTGTTTGGTGTGTTGGTATATATTGTGAACAACACTTACTTACAGTGTTCGTAGTCAGGATTTTTTTCTTTATTTCGCCATAGGAAAATAAGAAAAAAAACCTCGCCTTTTATCTATACGGTTGATCATCATCATCATTATCGTTCGTTCTTGGTCGGCGATTCGATTTTTTTTTTGGTTCGGTTGATGCTGCCGTATTAATTTTGACTTAGCCAAGATAAGATATTTTTTTTAAAGGCACCAACTTTGACCTATCGACCTTTTTTTCAAAATTTTAGTGAAGAAGAAAAAAATATAAAATTCAAAGTTTGCATTCATTTTTCTTTTCGTTCTTCTTTTGGTTGAAGCAAATTATAAGTTATTAGAATTATTAAGGAAAAAAAAAGTCGGTGGTGAATGGTTGTTATCTTCCAAAAACCATGGCCAATCATTGATTGTTATTATTATGTTTTGTTGTGTTGTTATTCTCCATACATTATCATTATTTTTGTTTTTTTCTTCTCCTTCGTTTGGTCATGGCATTCATTCATTTGTTCATCATTTGAATCTTGTGGAAAAAAAAGGTCAAAGGTTCTTTTTTTTCTTTCTTTTCTCACTTTTTTTTTCTTCAGGAGAATCTTGAGACAGGAGAATAGATGAATGAATGAATGATGATGATGATGATGATGATCAAATGTAAATGTCTTGAAAAAAGTGAGCCAAAGAAAAGGTGAGAAAAAGGCGTTCCATTCTGTTGGTTGGTTGGTTGTTTTTATATATGGCATCAAACTAATAATCATTATTTGTCGGCGATCGAAAATAAAAATTGATGATAAAGGAACAAAACAAAGCAATGAAAAAGAAAAAATCTTTTCATAGAAACTTTGTTGAAAACAAAATTCTTGTTCACTGTCGAACTTGATAATATTATCGGTTTATTTGAATCGAAAAAAAAGGCAGCATTCATAAATCGATGATAATAATAATAATAATAATAATCTTTGATCATCTTAATAATAATAATGATGATGATGATTTGTTTGAATCGAATGCAAAAGATTCCCGTGGCCAGTAAAGAAAAAATGTCGGAAAGTTGCTTTTATCCACCATAAAATGTATTATGAAACATATATTATAATAGATTATAATAATTACCTTTGATTTTGGTTTGTTTTTTTTTTGTTTTGAACACTTGAACTTCAAGTGGACACGCGAACACATATTTTATTATTTTGAAAATATATTTGTGGGTATCTATGGATGTGTTGTGTATATGTAAATAAGATTTTTGAAAAAAATCATAATGTCAATTTGATTAGCTATATTTTTGTTTTTGATTTCCGTATTTTATAACATTATTTTTTTTATAAATTACTTACAGATCGATCAGCTTTGATGGATTCATATTTGAATACGATTGATGATGGACAACAACCATCCGAAAATGATGATTCAATCATATTCAATTCGAATAATGGTAATAATCCTATAGTTGGTTCATCATCATTATCTTCATCATCATCATCGTCTACATCAAATTTGGATCGAATTCGAAATCATACGAATGGTGTACATCTTTTACCATTATATATTTCAATGTTGGTGGTCATTGTTTTTACATTCTGTATCTATGCATTGATACAATTGAAATGTAATAATTCACTTATGTTACGTGTTGATCATCAACGAGTAACCGATTCTTCAAGTTTACATATGCATAATCATCAAACAAAACTTTTGCCACCTCATCCACCTCCTTATAATGCCAACAATAATATATTCACATCTCCTATTCAAACATGTCCACAGCATCATCAATATTCCTATAACATTCCAGCATGGTTATCAAGCCAAACAACCGATATATCACCATATCAATCACCATCACCACATTATCATCATTCAGCTATGCCTCTATTTTCATCAGCATTGAATAGAAAAGAATCATTACAAAGAAAATTCCATAATAATACTAATAATAATAATAATCGTTCGACACCATTAACAACTAATCATTATGGACAAAAAACCTATAATGAACTATTAATTGGTCCAACTAGTCCTACATCAACAACATCCACATCGATTCAATCGGTTCCATTGATCAGCGATGATGTTGAACATTTAACTATTGAAATTCGTCAAGCATTGGAAAATATGCTTGGAAAAGATACAATGATTTGGCGTTCGTTAGCCAAAGAATTAGGTATGTATACAACACATAGAATCAATCTATTGCAATATTCTATTTCAATTTTTCATAGGATATGATGAAAAACATATCGTACAATTCGAAGCCAAAGCAACGACTATCACCAATGGTTTAACAGTAGTCGATACATTCAAAGCTATTCGTTTATTATTATTGGATTGGTCATCTCAGATGACTACATCACCCGATGATCATCATCATCAGCAACAACAACAACAATCAACGGAAACTGGAAATTCTGGTCCACCTTCATTAGCTACATTGAGCAATGCTTTGATAAGAATAGGCCGTGTTGATTGCGCTCGAGTTATTGTCCGACAGAATTATCAACAACAACAAAGATAATAACAAACAAACAGAAGAATCGCACATCAACATCAAGGCAATAAAACTTTTGCAAAAAAGGAAAAAAAATCTAATCACAATTTCATTGTTGTCTATAATGTCCATACTTTTTTTTAGTTTGAAATTTTTCATCAAACAACAAATGTGTGAAATTCCTCAAGAATTCATAGCCTGAAGATATTTTGACACATTGTTTTTTTTTATATTCAACATTTTCAATCATCTCATTCTTTTCTGTAATAATTTTTGTACAATAAAAAAAATCCTTGAATCTCATAATTTATTTTTTTTAATGTTCGAAATAATCCAATGACGAAATTGATGAACATTTGTATAAACACCGGGCAATGAACCATCACAAGATAATCCACCAAACGAAACAATTCCAATGATTTCATAGTAATGATTATATAAATGACGAAATAATGGCCCACCAGAATCACCTTGTTTTATAGAAATCAGATTAAACAAAAAGAGAGAGAGAGAGAAAAAAAATGAGATTAAACAATTGTCATTATATGAACATAGTTTACAAAAAAAAAAATAAAATTAGATAATTATCTGGCAAGAATCTTGATGATATGATGAAAAATAACATAATGTTTTTTTCGGAACAATGAATGATAAACTATTTCGATATAATTCACTACAATTCTCGTGTGGCCATGGTTTCAATTTTGCTTTCAATAAATGTTTCGATTGTTGTTGTTGATTTTGTATAAATCGATGATTTGATACGGTCGTTCCCCAGCCGGCAACAATAGCTATTTTATCTATTCGTTTAGATAATAATGATGATCGAGGTAATCGTATAATGTAATCTTGTTTCAATCGAATCGGTTTAGCCGTTTTTAATAGACAAATATCATTATCCAATGTATTCGAATCAAATTTTGAATGAACAAATGCTGAATGTAAACGATAAATTTTTCTTTGTTTAATTTCATCAATATAATCAGGATTGACGAATGCAATTGTTTGATTCAAAAAAAATGATACATTCATTATACAATGAGCAGCGGTTAGAATCCATTGTTTATGTATAATAGAACCAGCACAAAAATGTTTCCATTCACTGTTTTCATTAGTAAATTTTGAATATTGTAATGATACAATGAATGGAAATTCATTACATTGTATCAATGTTGTTGTTATTGAAAAAATGTATAAAAAAATTTGCATAATTAATTAATTGGATTGGATTTCTTATCAGGAAAAACCAAAAACAAAAAACATGAAACAAATTTGTTATAATTTAATGGAATTTTATTTCATTATTATTATTAATTAATCAATTTTTTTCACAGTTTTTTTTTCATTTTTTTTTCACAGAAAAATTAATAAAAATCAAATTTCATCATTTGAAATCGACAAAAAAAAGAAGAAGAAAAAAATAATGACAAGTGAGTTAAAGCGAGTGAAAGATAAACAAATTGAAATGAAAAAACAACAAATGACATTTGATGTTCAATGAAATGAAGGAAGGAAGGAAGATTAATTATACAAAGGGTTAAAAATAATTTTCAAAAAAAAAGAATGTTGATGATGATGACACATATGATGATTTGGAAAAAAAACAGTTAAAATTTTTTTTTTGTTTGTTTTTTTATAATTATTTTAATTAAATAAAAATTGAATTCGAAGAGAGAAAAAATGAAAAATAAACAAAATAAACAAACAAAACGAATAAATTCGAATTCTGTTTAATGACTTTTGGATGTAGTGATTTCGATTGGAAATTCTTGTTCATTTTTTTTTTGTTTTTGTTTTTTTTGTTTTGTTTTATCATAAACAGAAGATTTACAGAGAGCGAAAAAAGTCCAAAAAAAACATGATGATAAATTGTTTAAAAAATAATTTTTTTTTTATAATAATAATAGAAAAAAGCCCGATACTGCCAATCGATGATTTGATGTAATCCTGTTGATGTAATTCTTTATCAAATTCTTGATTCAATAAACAAACACAAACAAACAACGATTATTATCGATGATTACACACATACGCACCATTATTCATCATCAAGTGAAAAAGCAAGAAGAAAAATATAATCATCTATATAATTTACATATAGAGATAGAGAGAAAAATGAAGAAATAAATATTCGAAATAACATAACATTTGAATTATACATTCAGAATTATATATTTTTGTTTTTGTTTTAGTTTTGTAATAATAATTAAAATAATAATGGCAAATGATGATCAAAAATACAAGAAGCCATATTTGATGAAAATGTCCAGCACGGACATTGACCTAAAACTGATATAAATATTTTCAAAAAAACAAAGAAAAAAAATGATAAACAATTTGTGTGTAATGGTGTGGATAATTAAAAAAAAAAAAAATTCAAAAAATCAAATGAAACATTTCTGAAAAATAATTATAATTATAACAAGTCGCCGAAAGCAAAGCGAAAAAAAATTCGAGGATGAGATACAAACAATCAATAATCAACAATGAGATTTTTAAAAAATAAAAAATAAAATTAACAAAACAGGAAAGAAGAAAAGAAAAATTTTTTTTGCAAAGTTATCGATGAAACAGGTGGGATGTGATGAATAAACAACGTTTGAATAATGATCATCGAATGAAGAAAAATAAAACATTTTTTTTTTGGGTTTTTTTTTGGTTTTTTTTACGGTTTTCGATGATAAAGATGTTTATCATCGATTTGATTGATTTTGATTTTTTTTCTTTTGTTAAACAAAACAAACAAACAAAAATAACACTTGTGAAAATTATGTTTACAAATATAAAATCATGTTAGCATTCGAAAAAAAACGCACACACATACACACTTCGGAAGAAGAAAAGAAGAAGAAAAAAGATTGATCGGAAATTGATTACATAAGTCAGATTGAGAGAAATTAGAAATATCTAGATAGCCAGATCGGTATTCAAGTTCATCATGTTTGTTGATTGTTGGAATTGAATGGCCATTATGGATGGATGAATGAATGATTAGTTAGTTGATTGGTTGATGAATCGATTCTTCATAATTCCAAAATTTTCATCTAATTTTGTATGATTCTTGCTGTAAATTTTTTTGATGTTTGGACACATATCAGATCGACGTATGTATGGTTGATTGATTGGTGGCTTATGGCTGGAATATCTGTTTGTGTATCTTTTTTCCTATTTCACATTTCTAACCATTTTTTGTATTTTATGTAAGAATAATTTCGAAGAGAATTTCTTTTACATCCACAACAACAACAAAAACAGAAAAATAAAATGATCACACTGTGTTTGAATTGGATTTATAAAAAAAGAATGAAGAAAATTCACAATGATTTTTTGTATGTAATGTAGATGTTTGCAAAAAAAATGAGATGCAAACAAACGAAAAAAAACCCGATGAATGATAGATGATGAGAGACAATGGTTAAACAGGAAAAAAAGAAATACGGATGATAATCACATTATGAAAAACTGTTTTTGTTTGTTGGTGGTGGTGTAAATGTAGGTTTTAAAGGTGTTTTTGCTTGTGTAAAAACAAAAGAAAAGAAAACAATCAACAGTTAGAAAGCTGCATGAATATCGACAAAAATTTTGAAAACAAAATAAAGGGGAATTCTTTTCTTTTTTCAAATAAGTTATTTTTGATATATCTCTGAATTATCGGGTGGTTGATTTTAATGAGAATTTTTCATTTCATTTCTTTTTTTTAAACAAAAATATTTTTCAAAACAAAGGTGTTTTACAAATATTATACCACACACACGCACACACACACACTATTTCGGTTTTCTGACAACAATTTCGTGTACTAAACATAAATCAAGATTGAATTTCAAGAAAAAATTTGATTTTTTTGTTTGTTTGTATTTGTTGTATCTTGAAATTTTACAGAAAATAATGAATAAGTTATTTGTTTTTGTTTTTTTTTGCCACACTTTTTCATCGAAATTTTTATTGAATTTATCATGAATGATGATGGTAGTAAAAAATTCTTTCAAATTTGTAATGAATTTGTAATTCTAGTTTCCATTTATAAGCAGACTGTAATTATAATTGTTATATGAAATTATTAGTATTTTTTTTTGATATATAAAAATCTTGAAGATGAATAACCGATGACAAAAAAAATGGATTATATAAGAGAAGTGTGTTTGTGTGTGTGTGTAAAGATCAAAAGAGATCATTTTCCAAAAAAAAAACAATGTAAACGAAAAGAATGAACAAATGATTATATTTGTATTTGATGACTTGAATTATTTTTTTTTTCGTTTTTTTTCTTATGATAATGAGCAATAGATGATAAATTCAATTCTTTACACTTCTTTTTTCGATGGTATTTTATAAATAAAATTCTGGTGGTATCACTTTATAAAATTTTGTTTGTTTACTATACATTCTTAGAAACTGGAATAAAAAATATAGTTTTTTTTCAATTCGATTCGAAGACAATATTGAGTAATTTCGAAAGGCGTTTCTGACGTTATGTGGAGTAGGCGTATTTGTATTTGTATGTAAGTTATCTGGATAAACAGATTCCACAACCAATGATGATGACATGTATATAAAGATATATTAAAGCCAAAATGCTTGTTTTGTTTCATTTCTAAGTCAGGGAAAAAAGAATCAGGTATTATTTTATTAGTAAATGCGTTGATTTCAAAAAACTTACCACCAATGTATGGGACAAAGCGTTTGTGGAAGCTGATGAATTAGTAGTAGCCGAACGAGGTATATTATTCGTAGCAATCAATGATGACGACGACGATGATGATGATGCTGATGATGGCACATTGCCACCGCTAACGTTACATAATGGAGAATTATTATTATTCGAATCATTCATAGTATCTATAAAAATAGTGTTGGAATTGTTGTTCATTGTAGAAGCCGTATCGGCGGTAGTCTCCATTTTACCACGTTTAGCTATTTGTGAATAAGTTAATTTACTCAATGCTGATTGGGAATGTTCACAATCCATATATCCATTCGTTCCATTATCTAAAGAACTATTGTTACTATTAATCGATTCGATACTATTTTGTAGTTGTACTGTTTTCTTATTCGGATTATTTACTAATGATGACTTGATATTTGTTGTTGCGCTGGACACAGGTTGTTCAAAAGATCCATGACATGAATCAGAATCTTTGACAGATAAATTAATATCATTACTGATAGTTGTCGTTAATGAAGATTTTCCTTGTCCTTTGTTCATTGTAACGATATTGCCATTTATCGTTTTTGATTCACCATTAGTAATATTGCTAAATGAAGTCTGTTGTTGTTTACGATTATTATGACTAGTAGCAGTATTTGTATTTGTATTGGATCGATTGTTTGTTGTTGTTGCAGCTGAAATTGTCGTCGTAGTCGTCGATGATGATGATGATGATGAGAATGTTGTTGCACCATTATGTTCATGGGAAATAGATGAAGATGATGATGATGAGAGAGGAGGACAAGATTGATTATGATCACCAATTATGTATACATTATCACCCGATTGGCCTTTGACTACATCAGCCATACTATCATGATGCTTTGTTGATTTTGAATGATGTTCCGATGAAGAGGAAATGGATGTATTAGGCACATTCGGTGTTGTTCTATTTACATCAGACGAATCTTTGCTCATCGAATCTGATGTTTGAACAGTGGTAGACATATTTGTTTGTTGATCATCTGATATGATACCAGGTAATGGAGGAAATGCATTGGCCAACAGATCAAATGATTGTTCGGTGGCTACTGTTGAATTTGGTTGTTGTTGATGATGATGATGATTATGTTGATGATGGCCATGACCGGAACCATTTCGATTTGAGCTTCCAGAACCACCACTACCTCGATTATTATTATTATTATAGGAAGATTTTCCGGAATTACCAGCAGATGAGCTATTACGTGGATATCGAGATGATTTTTCAGGCCGATTGTTGGTCGAATCATTAATATTTGAGCCACCACTATTACGATCACTAGATTTCGAAGAATTAGAATTCGAACGATAAGGAGAACTCTGATTGGATGAATTAGCTCTTGTTGTGTTTGATGTTTGTTGAGGCATTCCAGAATTGTATGTTTGTTTGGTGTTTGACGAAGACGACGAAGATGATGATGACGACATGTTACGATTTGAAGTATTCGTTGGGCATTGACCCGAATTATTATTATTGATCACAGTTTGTTGATTAACCGAACGGTTTGAAGAATTTGGAATTGTCGCCTGTGTATTTCGTGTTGTTGTTTGTTGTTCTTCTTTCATCGAAGATTTATCAACATTGGATTTATTGTTCCAGTTGGATGATGATGAAGAATGTGGCACTAAATTCGAGGTAAAATTGTTGTTGTTGTTGTTGCTATTGTTTTCAGAACTAGCAGCATTCGAATGATTATGATTACTAGAAGATTGCACCACCTTATTGTTATTATTGGGATAAGTTGACGACGACGAAGACGATGTTGAAGGATTTGACTTAGATGATTGATGATGATTGGCAGCTGAAGATTTGTTTGATAAAGATGTGGATGATGAAATTTTGTTGTTGATCGTCGTATCGATTGAATTTCCGGCCATCGGATGTGTCTGACTCGATGATGATTGGGTGGGAGTTGTAGTATTATTATTGTTACTACCGTTATTGCCAGATGAACTTTGCCCAACAGCAGACGTCATTGCTGATGATGATGGTAGCGGTTGCTGCTGTTGTTGATGATAATGACTTTGATTTGATCCATGATGGCCACCATAATTGCCTCCATGATGAGAATTAGAGGAATTGTGATGATGTTGACCATATGATGAGCCACCACCACCACCAGAATTATTGTATTTGTTGGAATTATATCCATTACCTCCACGGTAAGGTTTACCATTTCCAGACATGTTTGCTCCATTGTTAGCACCATATCCACCGCCACCACCTCGATGATGTGATTGTGATCCATGAGATTTCATGTACGAAGATTGATACGATGAATTATGATGGGCATATGGCTGGCCAACATTTGACGATGGTGTCGCATAACCAAAACTATATCGATGATTTCCTCCGCCATTAGATGGATTCAACATTGGTGCCACCATTTGTACAGTATTGAATTCTGAATTGCCATTAGCCGAAATAACACCAGGTGGGGCAGAACCAACACCATTATTAGAAGCTCCAATAACATGGTTTCCATTTACAATTTGACAATTTGTGGTTGTTGGAATAAAAATTGCTTGCGGAATGCAAACACTACCGGGAGGAGGTGTGGGACCACCTGAATGTCCTGTTGTAGATCCAGTCATTCCTACATTACTATTCGGTGTATAATGTGGTGCCAGACCATTGGCAACAAACACTGTACTAAGATCATATGCATTCGATATAGATGTCATTATTGGTGCATAGAATGGTGTTGGTGGATAAACCTGAAATCAAACATACAGTTCAAAAAATGAATTCAAAATAAATAGATTGATAACTTACTCTAGTTAAAGGAGGCACATTGTAAGGATAAACATTGGCGGCATTCGGATATGGTATTGCATTCAATGTCGATTCGGCAGTTCCTGGTGGTCCACCAGGAATAGTAGCACTTGTTGGCAATAAGACAGTAGTTGTCGAATGATTTGGTTGTTGGTTACTTGCATTAATGAATGATCCAGACATACTAGATACGGGTGAAACGGCAGCCGAATGACTGGATATGGTAGAACCAACGGGACTAGGAGCAGTCACAATTCCTATTGGACTTATCACATTGTGTGGCGGTACTGGCATTGGAGCACCAAGGACTACAGTATTTGGTTTACCATTAGGTCCCAATACTGGATTCGTGTTTGTTTGATTCGTATGATGACGAACAGTTGGTTTGGCTTTAATACGAGCTAAAATAGGTATCTGTGTCGTTGGATAGTATACCAAATCATCACGTAAGTAAGTCATTGCTTTTTGAGCATCTTCATCACCATGGAAGTAGAGATAATAGGATTGATTATGTGTTGATTCACATTTTTCCAATTTGACTGGACATTTAGATTCTTCGAAAATTTTTATTATTGTATCTCGTGTAATCTCAACGGGTACATCACGTAATATGACTACACGTCGTTTTGAATTTGGTTTCACTTTTGTACCGGTTTCATCGACAGTAACTTCAGTACTGTCTCGTAATACTTGAACAACCAAATCTAAATCATTTGTCAGGCGACGTATCTTATCAAAATTGGCCACAATCGAAATGGCAACATATTGTTCATCATCCATTTGTGAAACTAGATATTGATCTTTTGATAGATTTTTATATGAAAAATAATATTCTAATTGATGACGTAATTGTTCACAAAGTTCTTTATATGGAAGGCCTTGTACATTTGCTGGGCTTGGTGTAACTGAACGTTCATTATTTCCACCTAAAATATAAAGGAATAATGAAACAAACTTATAGCTAATAATTAAAATAAACTTACCATCCGATGAGATTTGTTCATTACCTATATTGGCCATATTTTTGGTCAATTCATCCACCATTGAATCATCCATACTAGCTGTCATATTGAAATCGGCAGTATCTCGATCACCATTCGGCATTTGTTGTTGGCAATCATAAGTAGAGTTGTTAGCAATCAAATCAACATTTTCCATAATGTCCATTTTAGTATTATTATCTTTCATATTAATTATGTCGTTGTCTCGTCCAATATTTTTAAAATTACTTTTTAAACTTTTTTTACCAGACACCGACGATGTTATCTTTGATGAAACACTGTTGTCAAAATTTGTTTCGACAATGTTTTTAGCTTCAGGATCATCAACAACAATAATATTTTTATTATCGATGTCTGATTGCTGACCAGCAGCAATACTGGCTGCCGACGACGACCACGATAAACAAGATGTTGATGTTGTTGAAATTTCTTTTTTTCGTTTCTTAGCTACAGATGAAGTTAGTATAGTAGTTGTTTTATGGCCACTATGATGATGATTTTCAACAGCAACAGCCGAAGAAGAAGCAGTAACGATGTGCTTATTATTAACGGACACTATTTTTTCTTTTTGTAAGCTTTCTTCGACACCACCGTTTTCTATTATTATTTTTTGTTGTTTTTCGATTTTTTCCTTCTGTTGTTGACGATGATGATGATGATGATTTTTATCGATCAATATCTTATTATTATTATTATTATTATTATTCGTTATCGTATGGCTACTACTAATAATATTATTATTATCGATCGTTTCGATGACTTTTTTTGTTGTTGGAATGATTATATTGTCGTTATTCACAACAATTTCGATCTTATTTTCATTTGTTTTAGCCGATTTTTTTAATGAAGAAAATTTTATCTTTGGAATTTTTTCATTAATACAATCACCATTAATATTATTATCAATTAAATGATGATGTTGTTTTTGATGATGACGATGATGATGATTATGATGATGATTGGATGTTGTTGATGAACTTGATATTGTTGGTGATGACGATGATGATGATGAAGGTGTGGACAAAATTAACAATGGTATACATCGATTATTATTGTAACCATTACTATTTTCATTATTATTATTGGAATCATCATCATCATTTTCATTATTATTATTATCAAGGCTTTTAATTTGTTCTTCTTCAAATGATAATGATGATGATGACAATAACAAAGAAGATTCTTTTGTATTAATTAATAAATTTAAATGGCCATCATTATTATTTTTATTTTCATTTTCATCATTATTCACATTGTTAACATTCGACCTTTTTACATTATTATTCGTAATGATTTTTGTTGAATTTTCCAGTTGTTGTTGTTGTTGTTGTTGATCAGTTTGAATAATGATGTCATCATTATGATTATGATGATTATTACTCCTACTTAATGATGATGATGATAATGTTGATAATCCTATTTTGGTTGTCAAGAAGCAACACAAAAACAAAACAAAAACAAATACAAACAAAAAAATGAAGGTAAAATTATTTAATCATCAAAAAAAAAGAAAAAATAATAATAAAAACAAATTTGAAGACAATTTTAATTTTCCAAACTTCTTTGAGAGAGTGACAACGAAAAAAAAAATCGAACCGGTATACCGGTTACGCAACAGCAATCACCAGTATCTCTCTCTCTCTCTCCCTTGCATTACCTTTTTTTTCTTATCATCATAAATCACCATTATCCCACACACATTATATAAAGATATCCACTTGCTTGGATAAAATATCTAAGTTTATAGGGGTGGCGTTAATGAGGTGGGTGTTTGAAGTTTATTTTTTTCTTCTTTTCTTTCTAATCTTAATAATATTTTTTTGTTAATAAGAAAGATCAACGAGAAAGCAAAATCTTTAAACACACACATACACAAACACAAGTGCAAATGCAAGTGCAAAAAAAATGAACAGGATAATTATTCAACAAAGATTTCAACTCTACCTTCAATCATCAAAGTTTTTGTTTTTTCATTATTTAAATTGTGTCATTATTGAATGATATTCATAAAATAAAATAAACAAAGAATAAAAGAATGACAATGTTTTGGAATGATTTATTTGAATTCAATGTAAATGATATACATTATCAATCCAAAAAATTTAAAAAACAAATGAAATAATCATGGCCATCATCATTAGGATATTATTATGATAATGATCCGATTTTTTTAATATTAATAAATGTCAATCATTATATATTGATTTTCATTCACAAAACAAAAACAACAACAAAATAAGATTCTCATTCTTATTCTCTCTAGACAATTTTTTTATCATCTAATCATTACATCTAATCATAAATAGACATATATATTTTGCAAATTGTTACCACATATTAGTCATTTCAAGTGGCGCCATGCAAACAAAAAAAAAATCAATAAGAAGCAACAACAACAAAAATCTCAAAGATTATTACGATGTTAGCAAAAAAGGATACATATCCAACAACATAGACACTTAAAAGATTATTATCATCATCATTACTATCATCAAATTATTGTTACGTGCATTTCTGATTTGGAAAAAAAAATCATGAATTGGCAGAAAACAAAACAAGGAGATTCTTGATATATTGGTTGATACACCTTTCACATGCAGATAAATTTATTCAATTTTTGAATGATTTATTATTGTTCGGCTGCAAATAAAATCAATCAATCAAAAAATTAAAGAGACAAACAAACGATTAAAAAAAACAAGATGAACTTCAAGGAGAATTCTATCACTGGAAAAAAACTCAAGATATAAACATAAACTAAAATGAAATTATCGACACACACACACACGCACAGAAGCAAAAAAAAAAGGAAAAATTACCGAAAAAAATACCCGAAAATAAATGAAATGGAAAAATGAATGAATGGATAAAACGAACGAACGAATGAAGAAATCGAAAAAACAACAACAACCGTTGTAATGATAACGAATTGAATTTTTTTCTTCTTCTTCTTCTTTTTTCTCATTGAAATTATAACGATGATGATGATGATGATTTAGTAGAATGTGTGGCAAAATAAAATATCAACAACAAAAAAAAAACAAACAGTTAAAATAGACGCAATAATAGGAAGGAAAAAAAAATTGAAAATTATGTCTGCAGGATCACGATGCCTAAATCAACGACGACGACTACGACATCGGTGATGATGATGACACGGATTTTTTTTTGTTGGCAGGGTTTTTTTGTCGTTTAATTTGGCTGATTATGGCGCATAGATATTCATCATCATCATCATTCTTTTCTATCTTTTTTTTACTGTTTAATTTAACTTAAGAAACACCTCTCTCTCTCTCGGTATTTTCTGAATGGTTGGTTTGTAAAGAAAAAACAAGAAATTCTTGCGATGGCTCGATGATTCTGAACGTTGATAAGTGTTGTTGTCGTTGTTGATGATGTTGATAATAAAGATGCGTTAACCATGCAAAACTACAACAACAAAAAAACGACGAAAATCTGATGATGATAATGGTAGATTCATACACATCCAAAACCACTATTACAAACAAATAACGAAAGTTAAAGATTAAATAGAAAAAGGTCAATTTTTTTTTGTTTTGTTTTGTTGAAACAAATGTTGAATGGGAAACAAATAACATCACCAAACATCAAATATCACACCGCACACATCCAATTCATCTAAATATCAGATAATGGTAAATTCATTCCTTTTTTTTCTGAAATTGATGTTAACCACCAACAAAAAAAAACAATCATTATTTGGATACGAATATTTTTCAGATAAATAACGGAAGACAACAACAATAACAAATGAAAATCGCAAACCTTGCAAACAATTAAAAGTAAAGGACAAAACAAAAAAATTTTCGATTCTTTCGAAATCCAAAATAAAATCATCATTCTTATCCAGGCTACACACAAATACACAACAACAAACTTCTTGAAACACCATCAACACATAACCAACCAACCAACAATAATAATAACAACAATCAATGGAAGTAGCCAATATAATAAAAAGTAAAGAAAAAAGTAAAATATACATCTACACTTATATGAATGAATACCACATACGAATATAAAAAAAAATTCAAATATCAATGGTAAAAATGATGATGAAATATATAACAAACAAACAAATGAATACAAATATACAAATACACAAACAGAAAAAACATATTATACAGACCTAGATATTATTTAGTTAGTTTTTATTTTAATATGTTTTCAAGTAAGTATATACTGATGATGATCATCAAAGTGATGAGTTGTATGTTTTTTTTTTGTTTATGTATGTTGTGTGTGCGAGTATCATCATCATATATAAATTGTGAGTGAGTTTTTTTTTTCGTAAATATTTTTACTATCACATTCTCATTTTGTTTTGAGTCGTCGTCGTCATGAATATTTTGATTCAAAAGGGGGAGGAAAACAAAAACGAAATGATCACATCATTATTTGGATGTTCTGGGGATATAGCTGCTGTGGTCAATATACACAAACACACACACACACACATCTATATACTACGAATACAAACACAAAAGATTGAAAAAAAAGATAACGTTACTTACGTTATGTGAAAATTATTATACTGGGGAAAAACACAAACAAAAAAAATTCTAGTTGCCTATGATAATGGTGGTGGTGGTGGTGGTTGATATTTTGTGCTGGTCGTTTCATACAAATGTATCCATTAAACAAAACAAAACAAAAAAAATTGGTACCGTTTTTTGGCTATATCTGTGTAGATCTCTTGTTGATTTTGAATCACAGGATATCAGTATGTTTAGAAAACAAAGGGGGTATTCAGTAGTTTTGTTTAGTTGTTGCTTATTTTGTTGTTGAATTCAACAGAACAGATATTCATAAAAAACCAAAAACAAAAAACATAGTCAAATAACATTCAAAAAACAAAACAAAACAAAACAAAAAAACTGATCGAGGATACACGCACGCATAAACGCATGCATTTTTTTTTTTGTTTTGTTTTGTTTGGAAAGACTCAATTTTGGATGTGTTCGAATAATATATTTGTCTCTGTGTGTGCTGTGTGTTTGGAATGGAATGCAGCAGCAGCAGCAGCAGCAGACTAACCGCTAGCAGTATTTGTGGTGGTAGGACATAGGATCCAGTGCTAATCCATATGATAAAGAGTAGTATACGAGTATGTGTATCCAAGAAAAAAAACATTCGAAAGGAAGTGGAAAGTTATCCTCCTCCTCCTCCTTATTTATTTTTTATTTTTTTTGTTGAAATTTTTTTTGATATCCAAAAAAAAAGAGGTTGATAAATGATTGATATTTTAGAATTGAAAATTACCACACACACACACACAATCAACAATCAACAGAAGAAAGAAAAAAAAATTGAATGAATGAAGAAAATCTGGGCGCGCAATTGAGTTTTTTTTTTGTATCCGAATAAAAAAAAAGAAAAAATAATAATTTTCCTCTCCCTCTCTCAATCCTCTCCTTGTGTATGCTACTACAACCAAACAATCAACCAACCGACCAATGTGAATCCGTGGATTGTGAAAACTATTTTCACTTAAAATGGTTTTTTATGGAAATGGCTTGTGTTACTATAGTGAATTTGAATGTTAATTTTTTTGATTTTTTGTTTTTTTGGTAGAATAATTAAACAAATAGAAGAAAAAAAAACAATAATATCATTATTGAAAAATGATGTAATTATTGATTTTGTTAAAAGGGAAAGCCAAAATCAAAGTAGAAATAATAAAAACGGAACATCGGATAAATAGTCATTCATAAATGATAGGACAATTTGAATTCAAAGGAAACCAATTTTAATTTTGAAATTTTTTAAAATTAATTGGATTTCCAGAATGGATTATTAATTTTACATCCAATCTAATCACAATAGCTATTAACAAACAAAACAAAACAGAGAAAAAAATCAAAACAAAATGACGCCCATGTTTTTGGCTACATTGACGGGCCACATTTGTTTTCTTCTTCTTACATAATGATGATGATTGAAGCAGAAAGAAAATTACCAATCAAGATAACGATAAAAGAAGACAAGTTGTTGTTGTTGATTCAAAATTTGTTATTTATGGTGGGGGGAGGATAAAATAAAATAAATAAACGAAAGATTTACAAAAAAAAATTTTATCATTGTTTTTTTTCGTTTCTTCTTCTTCGAATACATGTGTGATAAAAAAAAAAAATACTAACCGGACAACAACATGCTCGGAGACATGCATAAATGACATGCATGTTTACAAAAAAAAAAAATAATGAAATTGTTTGTATGTGATGTGATCATGATATGATTCCCGAACGTGAAAAAAAAGAAGAAAAACATTTTTTCTTGAAAGAAGAAAAATGGAACAACAAGTAAGTGAAGAAAAAAATTTTTCCCGAACAAAATTGTTTACCGAGAAAAAAAAACTACGATGAAAAAACAAAATAAACAACGACGACGACGACGACAAAATGATGAATTTTTTTTTTCATATTCGAAATGGATGTAATATCGTCGTCGTCGTCGTCGTCGTCGTAGTGGTAATGATGAATTTCATGAAAAATTCAACAAAATGCCGACAAAAAAAAACAACATTTTGGGATTTTTTCTATCCATCATCATAACCATCATCATCATAATTCAACTTGTTCGAATTGATGATGATGATGATGCTGGATAAGAATGCGGAAGTGAATTGAACAACCACCACCACCGTTGTTGTTGTTGTTGGAGCCATACAATCATCATCGTCAAACATCAATACCGCACTGTGTTTGTCTGTGATCACTATAATACTCTCTTCTTTTTTTTTCATGGTGGTCTTTTTTCCCTCTTCAAAAATGGAAAAAATCCATAGGTAAAAATATACACGTTTTTTTTGATGACCTGAGAACGAGAGAGAGACAGAGACAGACAAACAAGATGATATAAGTTGAACAAGTTTCAAAACCGAATTGTGTGTGTGTGTCTATGTCAATTCATTTCATTTGAAACAAAATCAACGATATTTTCCATTTTGCAAAGAATTAAAAAATTTGTTTTTGTTTTTTTGGTTTCGATTCAGGATATATTCAGTACATTGATAATTTGGCTAAATATACCTTATCGAATTCGATTGGGTATATTTAGCCAAATTTTTTTCTTTTGAATATTTTCGGCGCCAATTTGACAACAAAAAAAAAAATGAAATTTTGAAAATCAAAACAAATTCATTTCCAATATTTTATCGCCAAAAGGTATTTTTATGAAATATAAAAGCAATAGATAAAACAACACACACAGACATAAAGCAACAACGACAATAATAATGAAAATGATGATGAAAAAAATGATAAACAATCACTTATCA